CAATGGGCTCGATGCACATATATGACCGCGATGCTATCATCGGATTTAAAATATGCGAATAAATCGTGTTGATGGCTGTCCTATCCAACCCTGTGGCGGCGAAGTGTAAACGCACTTTCTGGAACACATCAACGCGTGGTCTCCCTTCGGCAGAAATCATCATGTTCTTCAGTTCATGCAGGGCGAATCCTTTCCCAGGCATCATAGCCATGGCATGGTCCAACATCTGAGGAGTCGCATATGTGTCCTTAATCTTATACCGAGATAAAGTCTGGAATAAGGATGCAGGGTTCTGCGCAAATTCTACTGGTGATAGAAGGTAAGTTGGCGCGCCAACAAAAATACCCATCAGGATACTATGTATAAAGCCAAGGCCACTCGTACTACGCACACATCCCATAACGGGACGCGAGCTAGTCATTTGGCAAGTTTCCTTCTGCACTTTACAAACACCCATAATCGTATCATGGCCAAGTTGAACAGCCAGGCGACGTTGATCAGGCGTCCAGTATATCCACACAAGGGCAGGGAATCCTGGCTGAACCCATGCCGGTTGCATTGTTAGACCAAGATCTCTGCAACCACTGTTTTGCTTGGAGGGTTTTGTCGTATTATAAATAGGCGGCATGCTAATCTTTAGTGCCTGAGCAGACTGCTTCAGATGCTGAGAGACAACTTTCAGCTTTAGAAGGTGGTCCACCTCCTGATTGGCTATAATCGCCTTAACCTTGTATTCGGCAATTATATGGAGTATTGCTGGCGCATCTTCACTGAGCCGGTTCTGATCAAGTGGTGCCATCGGTATAACCGTTACTCCAAGACAGAAGCAAGCATGAACTGCATATACGAAGTCTTCGGAGTGCGTATACATGAGCATCAAGCAATTACCTGCTCTGACCTTCACCTTGTTCTTGAGGTACATGGCCACAGCAGCAACCTTGGTGTCAAACTTCTTCCAAGTGATCCCCTTAGCTTCCTTGCCCCTGCTGTCAATGGTGCAGTAGGAAAGCTCCTCAGCCTGTCGGGCAACGCGCCATTGTGACAAATCAACAATACTGGTGAAGTTGTTCAACGGGGTCGAGGTCCTGTCATCGATAACTACTTCGCGAGGGTCGAACCCAGAGTATTGTTTCTCTCCTGGTAGGAGAATATCCTCTCGAGTCTGTGACGCCAAAGGAGACCATATGCCTCCCATCGGGTCAACGCCAACTGGAAGATTAAGAACAGCCCTTTCAACGCCAAATTTGACGTGCACACAGGGCAGATTTCCAAGGTCAAACTCTTTCCGGCAAAGCATGTTTCCAATCTCCCGGCGGCCGTTCTTGAAAACCTTGGGTAGCGTGTTTGGTGCGGTTATCATGACGCAGTATACGCGAAGATGGTGTTCTTGCATGAGAACCTCCATGCATCTTTCGGACAATGAGTCGAGCAATGCAGTATCGAGCTGACGCGGCGGACCCCCTGAAGTGGTCGGTGCTGTTGAGGCGGACTGTGACTCCAGTAACACAATTGGAAGATGTTCGTCGTTAACAAATACGTCGAATGCTGAACAATCGAAGATCTTTGGCACATTCTTCATAATGCTGACGATAATATGCTGGACGAAGAAGTAACGGAATTCGGCAATCTCATGGCCATGCTCAACCCATTCAACCTTTTGTCGAAGGCGATCTTCGTACAATCCCAAGACAAATACTTTTCCCTCGATTACCGTGCCCAATAAGCCGGTACGGAGAAATTCTGGCTCAATTACCATTGGCGTTGGGTCACCATGGGCGAATTTGTATGGTCGAGCATGGAATATTTGCTCCGTATGTTTTGGAAGTGCCCAGAAACCCCCTGAAAGAGACGGCGAGTCGACCCAGATCTCTCCAATAGTGTGAGGGGATGCTAATAATCCTGTCTCGGGGTCCACTACTGCCAAAGTTGCGTCTGGTATCGGGTAACCAAAGGCACCAACGCGGACTGTGCCAGCCTCGTTTCCTCTCTTCTTAGCTTCGTCGCCAATCGCGATCACAACGACTTCATTCGTCTTCAAAGCCTCACGATCTAAGAGTGCCTCTCCAAGTTCAGTTCTTTCTTTCCTCTCCGTGGGTGTTGTTGTCGCACCTCCTCCAATGAGACTACCAAAACCGTTCTGGCCAGAAATTCTCTCTTTCTCTTTCTCTCCAGCCTTGTCTTTATGTCTCTCATCAATCGATGACGTTTCCGAGCCTACCTCCAGGCTCAAAGGGCAACCCATCCTCTCTTCTCCTCCAAGCCAATCCCTCATGCTGATCACCATGCCACCGTGTTCAGGTAGGCAAAGCATTGGAGCTACAAGTTCTCGTGCTCGAGGATTGCGCATAGGTTTCAGCCATCTATCGGCCAGAACTTCGTGGAATTCGCAGTCCACAGTGAGGGTATCAATCAAACAGAGCCTGACGTGCTGGAAATTCGGTTCCATGCCCTTCTTAAAATTTCGGGTCGTCATCGGATCTTGCTGGTAATTGTATGCCGCACGCTTCAGCCCCGGATAATCTGCTAGCATTAGGGTAGCTTTGTACTTGGTAATTATGTGAGCATATAGCCCTGGCGTCTCAACCGCAGCCCGCTCTATCCAAACATTGGTGTGACCCCCGTATACAGTCAACAGCACACCCATTATCATCCCAATACCATGTCGAGGATCCAAATATGATAATAATATGTCGCCCTTAGTTGACTTCGATCCTGACATTGGCCGTCCGCTTTTATCCCGTAGCGACGAGTTAAATGTGTCGCCACCTGTGTTTGACGGGACAGTATCCAGTATCGCACTTAAACATGCCATTTGATGCATTATTGTTCGATGGCTCATAACCACTCCGCGCAAGTCTCCAGTCGGCGCCCGCGAGAACTCAATGTATGCCAGGTCAGGTACAGCCAATGGTGGAGTTTCGTCCTTCTTTTTGGGATGAAAGCTGCCGAATTCGTTTGTCTTCCACCATTCAACACCGCGAGGCCAGGTCAACTTCTGTGCTGTTATATCTCTTTGAAACGCCTTCAGGTTGTTATCGGTGGTAAGTGCCAAATGTGCCTGGGTCGACGTAAGAATAGTGTTCAGCTTCACATAATCCTCGAGATCATTGATTGGAACTGCGACGACTCCGGCAATAAAACAGCCAAGGAGGGCAATGGCAAACTCTATGATCTCCGTGTCGCGGTATATTAAAGCTACGCGATCTCCGCGATAGAGTGAGCTCTTGTCTCGGATAACCTGTGCTACCTTCTCCGCTCTGCTGCTCAACTTATCCCAGGTTATAGACGATATCTCTTTTCCTTTGCTGTCCAGTACCCAGTACGCTGGTGCTCTTCCTGTGGTTCGGCTGCGATGGCGTAACACCGCTGCTATGTTATCGAATTTCGACATAGGGGTAATTCCATCATGAGGATCGTATACCGCGAAGGGTACATCTCGCGGCTCGAGTGGCATTTGGTAGTCAAGAGCCGCTGGAGGCGGGAGATCACTGGCTGTAAGCATTGGCGGGGCCACACCTGCCGTAGGAGAGAATGTTTCGCTAACTGAGTATCTATGCATTCCACCGGCATAAGCATGTTGTTGTGGCTGGTTGTCATAAGCTTGTTGGCCTGCAAAGTCTGAAAAATAGACCTGCTGAGCATCAAGCATAGTTCCACCCTGGCTTTCGTCATACATTGTCCCCCTATGGGATTGATCGTACATCAGTGTTCCTGCCTGGCTCTGAATATATTGTTGGGGTTGTTGCTCCTGGTACCCTTCTTGATGTTCTGCATTATAGGTATAGTTCGCACCAGACGCCATCGACATAGCTGACCCCTGAGAGGGCCCAGGTGAAAATGGATTCCCACCAACATCCAGATACAGGGACTCTTGTGCCTGCATGGGTGGTCTGGGGATATTTAGCGAATCAATGGGTGTCATTCCCCGGGTTTCCGGGTTTGGTGAGAGCTCAGACTTTATCTCTTCACTATATGGTTGGTAGGTGTTCGGGGGTGGCTCAAAGCGGCCAGAAGGGATTCTGGCAGGCGATTGAGCAGGTATATCGGGTGAATCGCTGTATGCGGTTGAATATCGCTGGTATCCCTCCGAGTCGCCGCCATTGGGCGCTGCGAGCGAAGCATGGCGAGAGCCGTCATTTGTGCGGCGGGGTGAATCGTCTGGCGCATGGATTCGTAGACCCCTTGGTTCCGCCAAAGATGAAGGCCCTAGGTATTGAGCCAGTAATTGCGTTCGGCGCTTCTGGTATCTAAGAGACGGGAAATGTCAGCAAATGCGCCATGCGATGGCTCCAAGCTAGCACTGGTTCGTGTGTCGCAAGCTTCGTTGAACAGGACCATACCCTTTTTGTGTGATATCCCCTTCCTATTGGTAACTATTAGCATGTACCAAATCAAATGTAATGTGCCAATGGTTTGAGTGAACAAAAGCTGAGTGGGAAACATTATACACATCCCCGCACTCAATAAGGCGGCTCGTGGCTCGTGGCTCTGGATTGAGCATGTTGTGAGACATACCTCTAGCTCGAGCTCAAGCTCCTCGAGTTTGGCGCGCAGCTCTGGGTTATCTTCTGCGTCCATTGTGGGTGGCCCTCGGTCGACTGTTTAGAAGCAGGTCATACGGAAACCGGCACCATTCACGAAGTCGCAAGTTGCGGTCCAAATGTAGCTCGCATGCAGGTGGGATGGCCCATGTGTTGCGCTCAATCTCAATAAATGGATAAAAAAGATCGATAAGCAGAGCTTAAAGAGGCACGGTGTAACAATAGAACAAGTTTGTTTCGGTAGAAGTGATAAATCTACTGTTCGTGCTCTGTCTCAGGAACGCTGACAAGTTAGCCTTGCCCGCGCGACCCAGGATAGATACGAGCCTGATGTGTGGATGCAACCTCGATAATCAGGCCGATAATGACGATCCATTGCGGGCCGCACGGCGCCTCTGGCCAAGGGATTACCTAAGCGCCAATGCGGATCAACAACAAAAGCTAAACCGCATATTTAAATCGTTTTTCAATTCCCAATCTTTACATACAAAAAAGCACGATGCGCTCGTCCTTGTTGTGTAGTAGCGGTCCCAACAGATTCGCCTCAGGTTGATGCACAACTGGCTCACTCAAACTGTAGGCAGCTTTTTCTTCGCTCTGATCAAGTTCATGTTGTACGCGTGTCGCAGTCAAAGCCCTCGAAGGGCCATCTTGTCGGTAAGTCGCACTTGTTTTCTATCCAAATGGGGCATCCCCGTGTATGGACTGCATTGGACAGCCTCTGACCAAATGATGAATACCATGCTGTAACTTCTCAAGGCCCTATGGGCTTGCTGATGACACACTTGGAGACCTTCTGATATCAAGTCGTCCAATAACGCGTTTTACTCTAAATTCATAATTATGATGGTTTTCTAACTTTCATTACAGGAAACCCTCCATTTGGTAAAAATAGCTTCTGATTCTGATACGGCCGCCTAAATACGGTATGGGCTCCAGGTTTGTGGGTGTGGCTTTACCAATGTCGTCGTGACTACAGCTACCTTTGTTCCTCATTGATGCTCTACCTTTCATTCTCGTTGCTTGTCAAAGTGGCACAGCCAATGGATAAAACTATCTTTATTATGCATAGCCAATAGCTGTAGATACCGAATGGAGAGATAATTATAATTCCATTGTTACTTGCTTTGTCGTTGTCTTCGCTTTATTAATCTTCGAGCATTCCTCTTTGACCGTGAGACAATGGACGCTTTTCAAAGGCAAATATGTATATAAGTTCGCATGTGCCTCTCATTTGCTTTGTTGTATATTTTTGCTCTGTTTTATGTTCTTACTGTGTTGCATATTCTTACTGCTCGTCGAAAATCCACGACGATATACTCTTCTTCAAGTCAAAACAGGTTGCAAACTGGATTTCGCTGGTCGAAATTCAATGGATTCTCCAAAGCAGCATATATTTGGACTTGGCCTCACTTTGGAGGCAGATAGCGATGCAGCTCACGCGAATGACGATGGTTTGGGGCTGTTCGGCGATGCATGCGACGTTGGTGTAGGTTGCGGAAATACTGACCCAGAGCGCCAAGGTACGGAGGATGTGAGCTTCAACCAAGATATCTTTATTAATTCACAGATACAGCTGCTCATAAGAGATGAGACACCGAGGCTTCCTTCCAATAACTCCCCGGATATTCAACAGCAGCCCGCCATAAGGAGCGAGTCACCAATATCTCCCCTCAATAACTCATCGGACATTCAACAGCATCCCATCATAATACAGGTACCACGGAGCCCTCCTTTCATCAAGTCCCCGGATATTCAACAGCAATCCGGCATAAGAAACGAGTCACCACAAATCCCATCCAATAACCCTTGGGGTGTTCAGCAGCAGCCCATCACAGGAAATGAGCCAACGGCGTCCCCCTTCAATAACTACGACTCCTGTGGCACTGAACAACAGCCTATCATAATAAAGGAGACGCCAGAGCTTCTTTCCGATAACTCTTGGGATAATCAGCAGCAGCACGTCGATGTTGTCAACGCGGCCAACAGTTCACAACCACTACTGGGAGATGTATACAATGATGTATGGGACCTGCCATCGCCAAGCGACCCGATCTGGTCTCTATTTACCCAGGGTCCATTCCAGCCTCAGACGAGTAACGACGCCAGCAATCATGAAACGATTCCCGGTGCCTATGGTGAACACATTCCACAACAGCACCCACTCCAGACTCAGGCGAACAACGGCACCAGCGATCAAACAAATCCCGGTGCCTATGTCGAGCACAATCCAGGACAGCCCTCATTCCAGAATCAGACGGACATCAGCAATAGCAATCATGAAACGAATCTCGGTGTCACTAATGAATACAATCCAGGATTCGCTGAACATTCTCAAATTCCACAAGCACAAGCATCTTATATCAACCAAGACATACCACATACCACCCAGCCTCAACAAGGCAGCCCTCCTCCCATCAGCCAAGGTATATCAAGTGATACTATCAACGAGCTCTCCGAGCTCCATCCACTACGACAGTACCTTGCTCAATCTTCGCAGCAGCCCCAGGGATCGCTCAAGCGAGTAGCAGAAGAGGAATATATCCCAGTGCCAAATTATGCCCCGATATTGCAGAAACCCTCAGCCAAACGCCTCAAGACCAACAACGGCACCGCCGTTCCAGTTCCCCGGAAGGTCAAAGTCAACAATGGGGGAGTCAACGTCAACCCGCGCACAGCCAGGCGTATCGAGCTCGATCCGACACAGTACTACCAACCCCTCGCACAAACACCACAGAGCTGGGGCACCATCAACCCCGATGGCAGGCACAGGTTCCGCTACAACGGTTTCGGCGAACTCAAACCCGGGATGACGTTTACAAGCGAGGAGATGTTAGAATACCTAATCGTGAAATTCCCACGCACCGACAACCTAAAATCCAACAACCCAAGTCTCTTCATCCAATGCGTCCCCTCCGACTCAAACAGCCGCTACCCCACAACCATCTCCAACAAATGCCGATTCACAGACTGCCCCGTCAAAATGCGCACGATCCCCAGCGGGCATTTCCGCGTCGCTTTCGACGAGCAGAATAATGAAAATCTGGACCCGTATCATTGCGCTGGCTATGTGCATCTTTACTGCCTCGAACGCTTCTGTAGCTTCAGTTGCTTGGCGGAGTACTGCAATTTCGTCCCTGATACCAGGGAGTTGCGCGAGGGAAGGAATAGAATGTCTATTACGCGCGACCATTCCGAGTTTGCGCGCATGTGCATGGTGTACATGGAGAATTCCAGACAACTGGATCCCCACGCACTTGGCTGGGAATATAGGAATACCCTTTGTAGCTTGCTGACTGGGGAGTATCTTAGGCTTGAAGCTAGGGTGAGACGCGCTACGAGGGAGAGGCAGGGGGGAAATAATATTGGTGTCCATGGGAATGATATGGAGTTGTATGCTTGGGGTCAAGAGCATAAAGTGCTATTGCGGGCGATGGCGGCTCAGAACAGGCCGAAGAAGAGGAAACGGTGCTTTGATGAAGAGGAGGAGGATTGAAACCAATGGTTATGAGTACCTTTGGGATATATAATCTAGCAGACATTATATTGTTGCTTTTAATTAATGACACATGATAATATTTATACAATAAAGCCACTTCCTGGGGTTGGAGCCGCTGAATTTACCAGGGCGTGGTTGCTGCTTTACGCACCCACTACCTCACGCTAAATCTTCGAATCTGCCGGCACGTGATCACATCGGTTACGGACCCTTCAAGGTCCCCGTCCAGTTTCCTGTGTCTTACTTTCTCTTTCCGTTTCCCTCTTTTCTGCTCGTCCCAAGGTACCACTAGCCATCATGACCATGAGGGCCATCACACAGGGGGGACCACTAATCCACTGATCTCAAGGTTATGTATGGCAGAGCGGACGAGATGCCTAGTTTTCTTGAGTCTATGGTCGATGTGACAGTTACTTTCATAAACATCATTAAGACTCGCGTATGGCAGAGGGCACAGGATACTTCATTCTCGTTTGTGCTGAGGTCGCTCCTAACTTTTTCTGTTTTTAGGATTCCAGCTGTTGGTGTTTCGTATATGTTTCTGGCCCAACTAGGCCAACCACCAACTGGGCTAGTTAGCCAATGGGTCCAGTTGTTCGTGTTGGATTTGAGGCGCAGCTTCAGCCTTGCAGCACACGACACACCTAGAGTTATGAGAGATAGAGGAACTACATATGTTTCAATTCCCCAAAGATATAGTGCTTGAATGCTATACTTTATTTCCTCATACATATATGCTATACAAAACTTGACGTGAAATCGATGCCATGTCTTCGCGTATATGGGATCCCTACAGCGTCCTAAACATTATCGGCCGCAACAGCAACTCAGCGACTTGTGTCGGTAAAACGAAATTTAACAAACGATGCCGTTGGGACATTTCGGACGCAAACATTCGAGAGATTTGCATGATTCTAGATGAAAGGGAAACAAAGCGCCCGAAGTATGCTAAGAATCGTCTCAGAAAACTCGCAGAGCTAAGTCTTTGCAACGACTATCATCGAGGCCAAGCTAGTCAAGTTATGGAGGCGTGGGAAGACGCAATCGACGATGCTGAGGCGAACTTGGCCAATGACTCTCAAACTATCGACGACTTGAAGTTGAAGCTTCGAGAAAGAAAGAACAAAATCGCACAACAATCGAAAAATCTAGAACTAGCCGCTAAGAACGAGGATGTCTTACATAACAAGGTAGAGCAACAACGATCCCAGCTTGCTCGTCAAAGGAGAGACCTTGACCAGGCTATGCAAAAACTGGAAGGCTCCCTCGTCAGAATGGAGAAGCTAGAGGCAGAGGAATCAATTGCGCGCAAAAAGTCGGATAATCTAGAGCATGGTCTCGTCCAAGCAGCGGCGAGGCAAGCGTCACTATTACAAGAAGTAGCGTCCTTGCAGCAACATCACGCAATTGAGCTAGGAAACACTGCACATCTACGTAGCGAGTGTGACAACTTGAAGGCAGAGCTTTCCAACGCCCAAAATTCAATCCTACAGGCCCAGCTTAACCTTGCAAAGAGCCACAAAGCTAGGGACGCACAGAAGACTGAGCTTGATAGTCTCCGAGTTACACTCAAAGTAAACATGGCTAAGCTATCAGATAGCCACGTCGCCACCGAAAAACAGATTGCAAAGCTTAATAACGCCCAAAACAGAATCAAACAAGTTCAACTCGACCTTCAAACTCTCCGCAACGCTAATGTGGAACTGGAGGCAAATCTTACAGCTGCCCTAAGTACACTCAAGCAAACCCGGCTCGATTTTGAAAACAATCTTCAAACTGCTGAGAAACAGCAGGCAGAGCTTGCTAACGTCCAAACGACACTGGACCAGACTGTTGTTGAGCTTGTTAATAGCCGTAAGAGCAATGAAGAACAGGAGGTAGAGCTTTCTATTGTAAAGAAGTTACTCCAGCAAACCGAGCTTGATCTCGAAACGAGCCGCAAGGTCGACAAGAATCAAAAAGCCGACCTCGAACACAACCTCAAGGCTAACGAAGAGCAGAATGCCGAGCTTGCTGGTGCTCAAGTCCTTCTAAAAGCCTCGCAGGTAGAGCTTGCGATTAGTCTTAAAATCGCTTTAGAGCAGAAAGAAACTGCCGATGCTGTGGTGACGCGGATGCAGGCGCAGATCGTCGAGTTAGAGAAACAGCTGTCAAGAGGCTTCATGGACAGAGTGGTGTTGAGATTTAAGATGTGGTTTGCAACAGTGATGAGGGGAATAAGAGCGACAGCAGGAGGGCGAAGTGAACAAGGGGAAGAGGGTTCCCTAATGATGGTTTAAATGGGCTTTTTATTTTTTATTTGTTAGGTCTGGATGGAAGGGCAAGAACGACCCATAGGCCAGATACAAACGGAAGGCGCTTCCCCTACGAGCCAAAAAATCACATCCAATACAAAAGCGTGCACCCATCTAGTTCAAATATATCAACATCGCCGCATATTATATAAATGAATATTAGAATTAAAAATATATATATACCCTGCCAAGTAACTCCTGATATAATTCAAAGGGGATATGGTTTAGTGGTATAACGCTTCTTTAGCACCTGATCATCTGATCAAGTACGATTTAGAAGAGGTCCGGCGTTCGATTCGCCGTTTCTCCACATTTGTTGTCATTTTTTTGGCCTGTCAAATAAGCGACCTCACAAATCTTATATTATAACAAAGACTGAGAGAGACGCAATACCCATGCTACAGCATTTTTTTTTGGAGGGTGTCGGGAGGCCTTCGTTGCTAGTATTTTTTATAATATTTAATATATCTAACTCCCCATCCTCATCACAGGGAGCCATTATTTTTTAAATTACCCCCATTGTCACCAACAGGAAGGAGCGACCCAGACCGCCGACTTCTCACAAAAGGAAGGCACGATGCTACGGACCTACAAGGGAAGGAACGAACGAGCCAATCAATACACGAGGGAAGGCACGAGGAGACCTTACGTTAACTTATCTCTAGCTGAAATCATGAAGAAGTGTCATTATTGACGGAAAGAGCGAACCAAAATACGTAATTTCTCACAGTGGGGGAAGGTGCGAAGGACAGGCACATTCAACAACCGTCAATTGAGACTCTCAAAACTACAAAAACCACAAACAAGAAGATCAAAAAAGAATCAACAAGTCTGTCTAGTAACAGCAGTAAGATAAGATCCTCCAAACCCCATGGAGTAGCCCATATAACCTCATACAAAAAAATCCATTTGCGAAAATAAAACTCCAACACACAATAATAACCTCGTCAACACCAACCAACCACCCCTCTCATTTTGTTTTCATCCCACATTAAACTCAAAAAAAAAAAGCCAAAAGAAAACGAAAAAAGAGTTACTCCAAACAAAGAATCAAAAGAACCTCGTACATAAAATCAAACCCCCAACCCCAAATACCAAATCCAGTGATGAGCTCTTCACACACTAGATCCCCCCTATACACCAAACCCACCCCCATCCCATGAAAGAGACATACATACGCCATATCAATACGCCCCATGCACAAACTTCAACAAACCCGTTCTGCTGCTGCCAATCCAATCTCTGCCAGCCAGCCTATCTCCTCGACTTCGGCATAGCAAGCATCTTAAGCCTACTCAAACTCAACCCCCCCGCCCTCCTCGCCGGACTCGGAATACTACTCTTCGGCGCCATCTGCTCCTTCACAATCTTCTTCGCCATCGTCTCCACCTCCCCCTCCATCACATTTCCCCTCCTCTTCTTCGGCGAGCGCTCCTCCTGCCCCTCATCAGCAGACTCCGCAACACGCGCCCTCTTCTTCTTCATCTCCGGCGCCGTCACATCCATCTCATCCGGCGACGCAGCGCGCGCACGCTTCTTATTCGCCAACCCGTGCGGAATGGCAGGTGCCTCGTTCTCCTTGTCTGCGTCAGGGAATGCGCCCGGCATGGCGGTGGGAGGGAGGATGCTGGAACGTACTTGGCGGATGCTTGATTGTCCTGGGGACGTGCCCAGGTTGCGCTGCTGTGGTGGCACGGGGGGAGTGCCGAATTTGATGGTCTGGCCGCTGGTGAAGGTGAAGACGCCTGGGACGGCGGGGATAGCTGGGACGACTGCGATGGGCTGCAGGGGCGTGCGTGAGAGGGTGGGGGAGGAGGGGAGTTGGGGCAGGGAGGGGTAGGTGATGGTGCTCTCGGGTTGCTTCTCGGTTGGGCGGGTAACAGATTTGGAGGCCGATGGGAGGGTGGGGTAGGCCACTGAGTTGAGGTTGGCGAAGGACTTTGAGCGGGGGATGTTGGACTTGAGTGGTGTAGGGGAGTGGTGGGGCTCGTTCTTCGTGGCAGTGGTGGGAGTGAAGTTGACATGCTTAGTGCTCTTTGAACGAGGGAGGGTTTTGGCCGTAGGTGTTGCTGGTGCAGATGGAATCTCCTGACGAAGATTTGCCCTGCTAGGGCTCTTCATCAATGATGGAATGGAGCTTGGCGGAGGCGGCATAGTATTATCCGCATGAGCGGTTGGACGACGAAGGATAGACTTCATCTTGTCGGTGAATTTGTGGGTAGATTCCGACCTGGAGAGGCTAGACAGGTTATTCATGGTAGCAGACTTGACGAGCCCGGGCGTCAAAGCGATCTTTGAAGGAGACCGACGCAAAACATTCTGAGGTGTACCATCCTGCTTAATGCCAGCAGCACGTGCAAGCGAAGACTGTGTTGGGGTAGAAAGCGAGTTCAAAAAGTTCGCGGTACGTCCAGTAGTCGGCGTTGATGGCTTGCTCGGCGGCTGCATGTTAGCATCCCTCGAGCTTGGTCTGGCAAATGACGTATCACGAGCACCCATTTGGCGAGCACGCTTTGCTGGAGCCTCATTATCGGGGCAAACCGATGGTCGAACCAACTTGATGGTCTGTTTGGCAGGGCTGGCATCTCGGTCAGCCAGGTTGGCCTTTGACTGGGTGCGCTTGAGGGTTTTGGCAAGTGGTGTGGTTTGCTTGGCAGGGTTGACATCTCGATCAGCCAGGTTTGCCTTCGACTGGGTTCGCTTGAGAGACTTTGCAACCGGTGTGATGCGTCCAGGCTGGGCTCTGAAAGCAGAAGGATGGGCAGCAATAGAATCCATCTTCTTAAACTCCGCCATATGGACATCACTATATCGACCAGCCTTGCCCTTCGGCTGCGCAAACTTTCGTCCAGAAAGTACGCCGAGGATGTCACCCCCATTCATAGCGATCTCCTCGTCTCTCTTAGCAGCAAGCTCTGCCTTGATGCGTCGAGCATCCTCACGGATCTCATCCATCATCTGCTGGGCCTCAGGACCCAGGGAAGGGGCTGGCTTCGCAAATCTGAACTCGAATTCCGACGACGAATTTATGTTGAGCTTCGACGGTGTCTCCGGCTTTCTCGCCCCAATATCAGTGAAGCCATGTCTAATACCCTCGTCTTCCTTCTTTGTAGTGCTTTGCTGGTTCTTGCTCGGGTGCATCTCTTCGCGCGGAGGCTTGATACGTCCCGCCGTCGTCGGGGTGTTGGGAACTTGCGGTGAAGCTTCGACGACGTCGAAGGTCGAGCGAGCAGCAGCACCGCGGCTGGGGGTTCCCTCCTGCTCACCAATCGGTGCAAGGTTATTGGAGGTGGGTTCATTTCTCTGTGTGGCAGCACAGTTGGGTCAGCATGGTTGAAAGTGGAAACCGTGGTGCGTGAAAGGAAGGCCGCAAACGGATTTGCTTACCTTGTAAGGGGTGTTTTTGCTCCCCCGAATCCTCGACGAGCGGCGTCGAAGAGGGGACATGGCGAATTCTTTGCGATGGGTTCGGTTTGGTAAAAAGTTTGGATATTCTGGATAGGGACACACTTGCAGTGATGGAAATAGAATTACCCTTCCCAGGCTATTCTTGGAAAGGTTTGGGAGTGGGGTTGTGGGATTAATTGGAGGAGTTAAGGTGTCCGAAGATAAGATTCGTCGGGGGGCTTGTTTGTTTACGTGTGGTCATAGCTCCTAGCGACAAGGGTGTTGGTGATAGCAGCCTCAGGCACCTACAACATTTTTCAAGGCGACAATAAAAATAAAAATAGAGTAAGGTACATTGAGTCTAGTACCACCATACAAACAAGAGCCGGTGAACTTTCCCCAGATACGTTCTAACTTTATGGCCCTGGCTATATCGCATTTCGGCACTTTCAGGTATCACTATTCTATCTAAGAGCGAACACCTAGTGAACACCTCGCACATCATCAATCTCAATGCATGTAACCCCTGTGGTGCTCACTCTTGGCGGCTAAGCAAGAAGAACCATAGTATAGCGGGCCACAGAGAGGGTCTAGAGGGTCCTCAGTGTGCGACGGACTCTCGAGCGATGGCCGCATCGAGAGGGCCCGATCGAGTAGGTATGCGCACTGAACACTGCCGCCGACAGCAGATCCTGTGACAGCTATAGGGAGAAACCAGCACATAGCATTATGAGGGACGAGGGATGAGGAGGTCTGTCTGTCTGTCTTTCTCTCCAATGGCGGTGTTCCATCACACTTGCCAACGCCGTGTATGATCCCGCGGTTCTGGTCAGGAGGAGGGATCGTGCATACCTTCCTGTGCGTCCCCCATCTGATTCAAGTCATGCGGCTTTGAAAGCTTTGCAAAGGGCCTCGACCTCCTCAAACCGCAGAAGGCGAGTCGCAAACATGCCGTGTTCCCCCTCTCAGACCACGTGAGCTTGAGGTATAAACTAGAACTATAGTAGAATCCAACGTGACTGCCGACCCTGCCTATGGATGTGCAGGACCAGCAGGATCCCTTACATGGAGTACGTGCTTCTTGGTGCATGTTCTGTGAGGTGACGAATCTGGCTGGGCCTGCGGGCGGATGAATGTTTGGGCGGGGAGGACCGGCATGGCGAATTCCGCTGGGCAGGGCAGGGAGGGAGCGTGAACCTGGATGGATGGTCTTGGTCTGGTCTGCTGATGTGAGGAGAGGCAGGGAAAGGAGGGCTTGGAATGGGATGGAATGGGAAGGGGGAGTTGGTTGAGTGAAAAACTCTTCCTTGCTCTCACACGATTTCAAAGAAGAAGAAAGCACGACATTATGGGTCGGTGGTGTGTCGTCTCCCTTTTAATACATGCGTAGTAGATATCAGATATATCAGATAAGGCACTAGAGATATCAACCCCCCCAAACCCCCAATGATCTGTAGTCCAGGATGCTTCAGATAAGGTTGTAGGGAGAGATAAGGATTGCTACAGGAGTTTGGTTGGAAAGATTGGAGAAACGCCACTCGTGAGGCATAAGAAACGCCCATCCCCCACAGCCTGGCCGTCTCCGAGGAGATACTGAACTGCGCCTATTCTAAGAAACAAGGCGTCGTGGATCCAGCCGAATCAGTCTGCCTGGCGTATCCAATAATGCCCACTACCACGCCTAGTATGGAGTTTTCTCGGTGGAGGACGCAATCCCATCGCTCTTCACACCGGACTCTACAGTTCGTGCGTGCAGTTCGTGTGAAAGTTCGTATGTTCCACTACTCCAGCTTGCAGCATGCACGGAGCTCTTCCGTGTTAACCGAGCGAGTGAAGCAAGTCTCAAGCTGGCGAAACCTGTCGTCGAACCTGTCGTCGTCCCTGGCCTCAGCTTGAAGAATTCCAGAGACACCGGACTGCCGACATGTCACATCCCATCGTATAAATTGACCCTGTAACTGTCTAATTAACCCCTCGCCGAACACCTACGGCAAGTTCCCCCTCCCCCGTGACTTCCGCCACAGAAACCAGAAGAGAAAGCGCCATTTACAGTTCGAAGTACGAAGGCGTGTTCAAAATCCCAGACTGTCTCCACATCTACCGCCAACGGACCCATAAACCACAGCGCAAAGCGAACGAACGAAAGAAAAAAAAGAGGGTCAGGATCGCATCCCACATCCCTTAGTAAGCTCCACCCCGCCGACCACGGCATCTCATTGCGCCGCACCGCCCAGCGCCAAAAACGCACTAGCCTTTGACCCCCTCCACCCCTCTTCCCAGCCAATAGCCGCCTCACGCAGTCCCGGGTAGCAAAAATCTCTTCGCGCAAATTATGGCCAGGTGACGTCCTGAAGCGGGCAAGTGGTGGTGCTTGGCGATGGGGGCCCTTGGCGGTTCTTTTTTTGCACTTGCCAACGTCACTTTTTAGTGGGGGGGGGGTAAGGCAAGTCCGGAGGCGGGCACCATGATGGCTTGGGCTGGGTTGAGGGAGGAGGTGACGATTATGCTATTTCGGGCAGGTCGAAACGAAGGCGAGGAGTGGGAGAGGGATTGGACCCCACATTTCAGCCTGTATGGCTAGAATGGTGCAAAGGAAGCAAGTGTTGGGATCTTCCATATATAACGCGGGACGAACGGTACTCTAGACCCCTAAAGTTCTGGCCATTAAGGTGGCTTTGCGATAACGGAGGCGGCTTTTGTTTACTGTGTAGTTTATTTCTGATGCCTCGAGTCTCCTTCTTGATTGACAGGCAGTGAGTGAGCGGGCAGGCGTGCCTTTCCTTTGAATGAAGACATCGTCGCCCTCTTGGACTTTGCCAAGTGAGTAGCAGTGGCCCAGGTACCGTGCGTTGGCGAGCCCATCCCGCCATCATGTCCGCGGTTGGTCCGAAGCATCAACGAAGTGGGTATATCGACGAAAGGAAGAGGGAAGGCTTTCTCCCCCCTCCCCCCACCCTATGCGTCCTACATCGGCGCCATGTCAAGGTGCATCGGATTAGTGGGAAAAGGCTACATGGCTTCCTTGTCTTACTTGTAAGAAATAGCGCTGGTTTCCTTCTTAGCCCGCTCATCATGCCCATGTCGACCGTCCGTCCGCTTCCTGGCCTGGCAAGGCAAGAACAGACGCCGATGAGGGGTGTGATGTGCGATGTGCGGTGCAGGACCTGGGAACGGACGCAGCGACTTGCGCGATTGCGCGCCCCTTGCCTGTCCTTGGGATGTGTGCGGGGAAAGCCAATCATGGGCGCGAGGGAAGGGCCCTGATGAGCATGGGTGATGGGATATGCATCGTACTAATACAGGAGGGTAGTGGGTAGTAGTGCTGTTACGCACGAACTAGATAGGGTACCGGCAATCTTTGGTTGCATGATGATGGCGGCGTTTTTTTGCTTTTTTTCGCACAAGGGGGGCTTTTGGCGGCAGGCATGGGTTTGTTTGGAGCACGGATGGGATCGTGCTGCCTGGCTGGATGGGATGGCTGGCTAGATGGTTGTTGCAGGTGGTTGTTGCAGTTTTACAGGCAGAGTGCAGGGCAAGTGTGCAGGCGGGTACATGCTGCTCTCCCGAACAGCCACCCTTCGCCGAATGGGTACGACACGACGTGGGTGGTTTGGTGGTTGGAGGGAAGGAATGACGGATGGTATGGAAAAGTCAAGCATACAGAAGCATTCAAGGAAGGAGGAGAGATGGGCACAAGTACATACACTAGAGTTCTCTTTGCTTCTACTGTGGACATCATACTACAGATGTCCACAATTGAAGTACGAAGGCGATGCGAGTAAGGCTTGGAGAAGAAGTAAAGGGGATCCATAGCGAATGACGCAGCATCGTGGGCTTCTTTCTCCACGTACGTATATGTACGTCTCTAGGTCTCTACCATAGTACTACGCTCATCTCTGTGTCTGTCTGTACTCTAGCTTGGCGGAGTGGCGGACTTGTTTCGATCCCCTCCCCTCCCATCCCATCCCATCCACATCATCCCTCGCATCATCATCCCTCGTTCTACTTCCAGTGCTCTCCTTTCCTCTCCTCTCCTCCGCGTCTCTTCCAAGCCAAGCCCCTCCAAGTCCGACCGCCATGGGGGCCCCCACTCCACTCTTATAACGGCGTCGGGCGCCGGGATCACCGACTACTTGCAGCCAGCACCTGCAGCAAGCACCAGCACCACGGCCATCTTTTGCCAGCCCGTTCGCAAGGACATCAGTTCCCCATGAAGCAAGAAGTCAGTGCAGGAGTTGCAGCCAAGAGTCAAGTTGCAGGCCGTCTGTTCCTTGACCATACCACACACTATACTCCATACTAGAGTAACTTTGTATGGTGGTATGTGCTGTGCTGTGCTGTGCTGTGCCCTCAAATACAGTACTGCACGCGGAAACATAGACGCCAATATCCACCCACCTAGCCCAGCCCTTTTTACTTTCGTCTCCTCCTATTCCTCTTTCGGGATACTAGCTCCGTGTCTGTGTTTCTGGTGTTTCTGCCTCGTCGCGGTGCTAGAAGGTGTCACAGTACCATTAGACGACTAGACGTACGTCCCATGTCCCACGTCCGCGTCCACATACATACATCGTTCATCGTACATCGTACATCACGCCGCTTACTCGAGTGTACTCTACTTACCAGTCAGTATAACAGGCCTCCTAGTATAATATAGCCAGTCGTAGTCTCAGCCCATTAAGAACGTCTAGTCGTCTAGTCGTATAGTCCGTATAGTTAAACCATACCATACCACTTCGTACACTCTAGTAGGGGGAAAAAATGGCTACAAAAAAAAAGATGGGCTTGGCGGGTCTTTCTTTGCCCCAGCCTTTTATTCGAATAAACACAATTCACTGGTCCCCCATCCATCCCCATCCATCCCCATCCGTTCCCTCCGTCCCCACGTAACCGCAGACCCCTGGTCTGGTCCCCTCCTCTAGGCCTTAACCCTTCTTTCCTAACAATTCTTCACCACCACTCCCATCATCCACCCTCTCCCAGTGCCAGTCAGTGGCACCCACCTTAACCACACCCACCCACCTACCACAACCACCCCCCAGTCCTTCACCATCAATCCATCCACCTCCTAAAAAAGACCCCTGCTCTTTCTATTCTTTCTGCTCCTTTGCCCCCCCCATCCATCCACCAACCCCCCCCCCTACTACCATCATAACCCCCTCCCCTCCACATATTCCCCTCCCCCTCCCAAAAAAACAACAACAGCTTTAAACTAACTCAATCGCCTTCTGCCACTTTTCCCCTCTTCTTTAACTCCTTCCCCCAACAATTCCTTTTTCGTGTTCCCCCCCCCTACACACATAAACCATCCGCTTTCACTACTACTACCACTACTACTGCTACACTACTCTCGCCTCAAAGAATATCCTCTACTCCCACACCCATTATATGTTTTCATTACCCAACTCTTTACACACAGAAACACTTCTGCCTCCAGACGTTGCTGTTTCCTTACTCGATCCCAGCCTACTACGCTACACTTATCACATCTCATCGTCGCTACTACTACCATTACCGCTACTACGACCACCACCGCTGCCACTACCGCTTACCCCGGATATACGCGTCTAGATCAGGTACTCTGCACCTTGCCTGCAAACCCTTGGAATACTCCCCGTAGTAGACGCGCTCGAACAACCTACCACACACCGCCGCTACTCTCACTACTCTACTCTTACCTTCTACCTCCCACGTAGACTCGCCGTCACCCTCTTGGCTAACGCAGCTTTGTCGTCTACCCCCCAGACTACAAAGGTTTTGCCGTATGGCGGTCGCGCAAAGGAGATTCCCAGTCAATCTTTGAAGTCTGCCCCTCCTAGCAATGGACGAGAAGATGTCGATCGACAAGAAAGAAGACATGAGAGAGGCTTCTGTGGACTCCATGGAGTCTACCCCCGAGGCCGACGCCGGACCGCCCAACCAGGAACATACCGAGCAGCCCAAGCGCAAGGGAGGCCGCAAGCCAGTATGTAACACCAGCCGGAGACACTGTGCCTGGCAAACAGTCGCTGACCTTTCTACTTAGATATACGCCACCTCCGAGGAGCGCAAGCAGCGGAACCGACAGGCCCAGGCGGCTTTCCGTGAGCGCCGTACCGAGTACATCAAGCAGCTGGAGGAGACTATCCGAGTCCATGAGACAAACCTCCACAGCCTCCAGACCGCCCATAGAAGCGCGGCGGACGAGTGCCTCATGCTCAGATACAAGAACTCCCTGCTGGAGCGGATCCTGCTCGAGAAGGGTACGTTATACGATATAAATTATAAGGCGGAGGTACTGACTTATTTACAGGAATCGACGTCCAGTCCGAATTGCGCGCAAAGACAGGCAGCCCTTCTCTTGGTCCCACTCATATGCCCCAGGGAATGGCCATGCCTCCAACGGTCCAACGGGCAATCATGAACCGTCACCACCAGGCACGACGATCGAACTCGAACATCGCACCCAAGCTTGAGCCTGTGGTGCCTCTTGGTAACCCCTCACCACAATCTCGGCCAACACCCTCGTCCCACCACTCTTCGCCAACCTCGACATCTCCCGGGTTTGCGCAAGCAAACGTGTTGACACCTCCAGCGCCAGAAGCTCAGATTCAGCAGCAGCAGCGTGCTCACCAGCCGCTGAAGCCGCAGATGAACCACGGGCTCGGTGTTTCGGTAGGACCGCAAAATGCTGGACTCGGACCGGCTTTGAAGGGAATACAGGCCGCCGCTGGGGCCGGAGATGCTCCTGCAGCGTACTACCCCTCTTTCCAGAATCACATCGAACAACTAGGTAAGCTAGCCCAACCCCCCCTCTGGTTCGCTGGAGACAGCCCTGTCGAGTCTGGTCCTAACTCCGTGGCCACAGAACAAGAATACGACGCTCAGACCGACATCGTCTCCGACCAAGACCAACCCGAATCTGCCGGCCCAGGACCATACCCTACGCCATTCGCACTTCCACCGATGATGAACCCCCAACAACAACAACAGCAACAACAACGCCAGCAGCCTCGGACAACACAGGCCGGCGAGCACGTACCCGGATTCAACTCGATGACCCAGCAGCTGCTGGACCCTTACGACCCGATGCTGGACATGGACCCATTCGGCCTGTCGGCGAGCATGCACTTCCCCACCCAATTTACCTTTGACACGAGTTCGATGCGCTGAGACCGGAAATGTTAATGATACCCTCGGAAATAAAAGTTTTTGTACCTTTTTTTGGAGTTCTCACACACACAAAATGGCATTGCAGGCGCAATTTGGGAGGGGAATTTTTGCTTGTTTATAGGGGTTTATTTTATTTTATTATCTCTGGGCTTCGGAAATGGGCATCCTGCTCTCGGATATGGCTATTTTTGGGAAGGCCCGCCGGGAGGATAAATACAACGGAATGGTAAATAATAAATCATGAAAAACGATTGGACGCGGAGACGGAGTATAGGGCGGCTGGCAAAGGGCGGGGGGCATAACTGGGAGGCTGGACTGGGGCATTAAGGCAGAACTACTGTAGGGGATCAAATGGGTATCATCATTATCGAAGGCGACTTGAGTGTCGCTGGTCTCCGCGATGGCTACACAGTACACGGGAGCCGCTGCATTGCTGTAGTTAAGCTGGCTTTTCCCGAAGCTTCAAAAAAACATATCGAAAAATGGAAGGGGGGGGAAGGAGGAGGAACGGAGGAAGGAGGGGCAAGAGGGGTCGTCGTCATGGGGAGGACGGGCGAGCTTTGAGCTTTTGAGCTATGTCGAATGATATGTAGGAGGGTGGGGTCAGATGTACCTCTTAAAATAGCAAAAAATGCACAGCGGGCGTCGAGAGGAATTGTGTTTGGTTGGAGTCGTCATCGTTTGGAGTGTGTAAGCCAATTGTAGCGGGTGTAATTGAGTTTTAATTGATTGACGTTGAGGGGGTTGAAACTGGAATAGGAAGACTTCGTTTCGTCTCGTTTGTGCACTAGAATAATGGAATAAATAATGGATTTTCTTTTAAGATATTAATCGCCACAGTTATACTTATACTGTAGTACAATTCTCTATAAATGTAGTTTTTCTATAATGTAGTACAAATAGTAGAGTTAGAGTAACTAAACTATTCCATTAGACTAACTAACATAACTCCATACTTATTATAGCACTACGTAGTTGTTAATAGTACAGACAGTACTACTGGTCACTCTTTGCCCTACTTAAGCGAGAATGCAGCAAGGCGGAAATTTGAGGCATTACCGCATTTTGGCTACTACTGAAAGTTCTCGCCCTGCCAAACCGCTTTTGCCGTCTTCCATCGCACTTCAAGCCCAACCCAAGCTTCAGCAGCAACTTCACCATCTCGAGAGACAGGATCCTGATATATAGGATCTGTCCATCTCGAATCCCTCCAACCACCTACTCGAATTGTTTACTCGGTAGCAAGGCCTTCTTCGGAGGCACTTGAGCTAGGCGGACACGATGACTGACACCGTCGTTTCAAAGGTAAAGCGCAAAAATCCAATCCCCAAATCCCGATCAATTGCAGCTGCCGCGTCTGCGATTGCAGCAGCTGCGAAGACGGGCGAATGCGCGTGTTCTTTCGAGCTCGCGCAGTAAACATTGACCATGACTCGGATTGGAAGCTAACTCGTGTGATTTGCAGAACCTGTACGAGCTTCTCGGTATGACACCATCAACCCGTCGAAAAAACCCCACCGGAATTCTCGATGGCAAGCTACAAACGATGGGAATGGGAAGACTGACAGACGTGTCGTTTAGGAAACAACCACGATGAGGACTCCGACAAGGAGCCCGAGCCACCTGTGAAGGTCATCGACAGGACTCCCGCTCGCACCGACAAGCGCAGCGCCCCCCGCGAGGCCCCAGGCGCCCCAGCGAACGTCGCCCCCCGTCGTGGACCCGGTGGCAACGAGGGAGGTTCGTAAACAATTCCCCGTGGCGCGAGTCAATTGAGCTTTCTGAGCTTTCCCCAGGCCAAATAGCGCTAGGATTTTTTAGCGCCAAGCAAGCTAACCTCGGTGTTTGATATACAGCTTACCGTGACCGCAACGCCGGCAGCGCCAACAACCGCACCAAGCCGACTGAGGACCGCACTGCTGGTACCTACGGTGGCCGTGGCGGCCGTGGTGGACCCCGTGGTGGACGTGGCGGACCTCGCCTGAACGACCGTCACTCCCGCGCTGTCGTCGGGTGAGCATCATCCCGTTCCCAATTGATACGCATGACCAAAAGCTAACTTCCCTTCCCAGTGACGCCGACAAGCAGGTTGCTCACGGCTGGGGCGGTGAGACCGGAGAGGCCGCCGGTGCCGACGAGGTCGCCGGTGAGGCCCTCGCCAAGGCCGACGGCAAGGTCGCTCTGACCGAGGACGGCGACGCCGCCCCCGTCAACGCCGACGGCCGCACCCCCGAGGAGGAGGAGCAGGACAACAACGTGTCCTACGCCGACTACCTCATCGCTCAAGCCGAGAAGCTCTCCCTCTCCGCCTCCGCCACCCGCAAGGCCAACGAGGGCACCAAGGCGGACAAGAAGTGGGCCAGCGCCAGCGAGCTCAAGAAGGAGGAGGAGGAGGCCTTCATCGCCGCCGCCGCCACCAAGGCCAAGCGCGCCCGCGAGCGCAAGCAGAAGGAGGTCGTTGAGATTGACCAGCGCTTCGTCGAGCAGCCCAGCCGTGACTCCGGCCGTGGCGGCCGCGGACGCGGTGACGGACCCCGTCGCGGCGGTGATCGCGGCGAGCGCGGCAACTTCCGTGGCGAGCGCGGTGCCTTCCGTGGTCCTCGCGGTGATGGCGCCCCTCGTGGCGGACGTGGTGGTCCCCGTGGTGGTGCCCCGCGCACTGGTGGTGGTGCCCCCAGAGGCGGCGCTGCTCCCATCAACACTGAGGACCAGAAGGCTTTCCCCAGCCTGGGCGCTTAAGTGCTGCCTCACTGTTCATCGCAGTTACGCTGCTACTCTTTGCCATCTTCGATTACTTAACCTCTTTTATGGGAACCTTTTTAATTAATGGATTCTGATCTGGGAGGGGGTGTTCGGGTGGTGTTTTTAGTTAGCAAGCAAGTTGGTTACTCCTCTCGCCAAAATAAATGAGAGGGGACGAATAGGTGGATGGTGGTGCGGGGGGGATGGATAAACTGGAAAATCTTTCTGTGTGTTGTTGTGGTTGTCTTATACTTTTTTTGTTTTGGCGTCCGTTCTCAACTGCGGATTGCTGGAGGAAAAGGGTTTTTATTAAAGAAATTAGGAAAAAATGTGAATTAGTACTACTACTGCTTAATGCTTTGAACGTGTTGTGTTGAAGAGGATGTGATTTTTGATAGGAATGTTGGCTGGTGGACATATTGTTATCTTATATAATACTACTTATGTTAAAAGGATTTAAAATTTATAGTATTATTCTTATTACACTCGCAGATAACAAGCAAACGATCGTCGTTGATAAGTCGAGGCCCCCCTGATGTTATCTGTCGTAAGCATTTGGCGAATACGCAGCCACAGCTTAGCCGCACATAAGAATTGAGTACGCAGTTACAAGAGAGGTGTCGGTACAGGGCTCAGGTGGACTTAAAGGTTAAATTAATCTTCTAGCCTGTGTTGTGTTTCTCAATTCCAAATAATTCCTAAGCAAGTCGTACTGTTCTTCATCCAAATCCAAATCCAACCACGTCATCATAACCAAACCTACAATAAAAATCCATCCCACATATTCGGATGGTGACCTAAAATCCCGTCACACAGTACTCCTTGTCATCATTTCGATCCCAGTTTTGCGGCCTTGTATCCCGTCTCGTGACGATGCCGTTGTATCTCGGCGGTGGGCTGCTAGGGGTATTCTGCTGATATTGATACTGGTATGGCACCACCTGCTGCTCGAAACGGCCATAGTTGTCTGTAGTATACCGCTCATCGTGCGTCGGATCATGCCTATCCCTTGGATGAAACCGTTCGCCAGACAGTGCGCCGTCGTAAGAATAGTCCAGTTGCGGATCTTCTTGCCAATCATACACTTCTTCCGGATTCTGCCTCGTGCCATGCGGAGATCGAGGTTCACGAGAGGCGATGTCGGATGTAGGGTTGTTGACGATCATCAGATATAGCACATCTGAATTCGCCTCAATGCTCTTAATGGACTTCAAAAGGCCCTGGTCCTTCCTATTTGCTGTGGATGAGCCAGAGCCATTCACGATACCCCGCACACCTGATATAAGTCGAGGGCGCCCACGTCCAAAACTTCCGCCATGGCCGGACCTCTCCGCTAGATTTGAAACAAGTCCGTGTATAAGATGCCCACGTTCGTTTCCATTATCCTTTGGCCCTCTACGGCCTTCCCTTTGAGCGTTTCGTTCCTCTTTTCTCGATCTTTTGCTCGTTTCTTTGTCACTCTGTCGGTCGTTTCCAGATATTGTCGATAGTAAGCTGCCGTTATTGTTGGTCGAAGTCGGGTCAGCGAAGCGGTTACCGAACTTTGGAGCTGGTCCGGCAAGGGGTGAGCCTGGATTACCTTCCGCCTAATGATATGTTAGACGACCTGCTACTTAGTCCACGGAGTAAACACTTACAAATCGTGCCCGTGCTCGACGGTCATGGTAGTCAGAGATAAAATCGGTGATCTTGTCAAGGCGATTGGATGGTTGATCAGTGGGAAGAGATCCGGCCTCGAAAAAAATTAGAGGAGACGCCTCGGGCATTTGGAATCTTTGGGTTCGAATATTTTCTGGATTTTCGAACCTGTTTGCTGCAGTGTCTTGCAATTGCGAAGAAGAAATTGAATTAGTATTGACAATCGTGCTGGATTGCTCTGGCTTGTATGTCATAACCATAGCAAACAATCCATGGGGGACGAAGAGCTCTTCGTTCATTCTATCCAAGTATGTCTTTGTTCTGATGAAGGAAAATTAAGCCATCAGTATGGGTGTCTAGATCTTTCGAACGCCAAGTAGGCTTACTTATGATTGGTCTGAGATTGTTTTGCATATTGTACAGCAATTGGCAGAGCAGTTGAAATGACGATGGGCGCGATTCCTGGAGCAAATCCCACTCCAAGTGCTGCCACGTTGACAGCATCCAGGTAAGGAGAAGACTGTTAATCAAATGCTAGTAAGCGTTGATCGATTATGGAACGAAATTCGCCACCGGGCATGAAATGAGATTAACAGACCTGACTCTCTCTGTTAAATGACTCAATGAACGACAGAAATGTTTCTTGATCAATGCCGCAACCTTCGAGGGCGGGAGCATACGCCCTGGACCAACCACGACTTTTATTTTCTGGCCTGCGCTGAGGGATAATAACGGGATATGAGAGACCTCCTTGAGTTAAAAGCTGCTCCGAGCAAAATTGTTGCTCGTCGTAAATTTCGTTGCCTGTCTCATTGAACTCTGTTCGTGCATAGTTCTCGTCACTAAAGTGCGCAAGTTGAGACTGCTGAAACCCATCCAGGCTTCTCGAATGGTAGTTCGCTCCTTCTTATTTCAGTATTTGGAGATTTGAAGTTGTCCTGTGGCAGAGAACCTACTTTCGTATCTTGAAGAGTCGTAGACCCTGGGGGATTGTGAACTCTGGGCCGAAGCAGCTTCCATGGCAAGGCCAATGCCTGATGATAGAAGACCTCTCAGTTTCCCCATGGCTTCTGATACAGGCAGAGTCTTTTTGATGAGGAAAGATATAGGTTGGCGTATCCAAAAATAGGACGTAAATTAAAATAGTAGATAGGTAAAATGTGTGAATATAAGAAACACCCGAGGAAGCACCTACAGCAATACCCACCGCTTTATAGAATGGAATTGTGTACTGTCGCGAATATTTGCATTTGCTAAGCCTTTACGAACACCAGTTCCGAATGGGGACATTAAGACGTAGCAATGCCACAAAAATGATTACTCAAGAGCATCATAGCAGAAGCCCAAAATGGAAACAAAGTTCGTTGAGGTAGCTCCGAGGTCTTGGCTTCTAGATTCCTCTCCAGCTTGGCACCTGAAGGTACGCTATTGCCCACACGCAAAACAAGAAAAGATGGGAGTCATCAGAGGAAATACGCAATAGAGCCGGTAGGAAGAACTCTATTGCCTGGACTTTGTTTGGTATGTCCCACGACTCCGTCTTAGGCATGAGGCATTCGTTCTGGACTACGAGCCTCTAGCCTTAAATGGCATAACGGCATGGATGCAAGGCGCTAGCGTAGCCACGTCGCACACTGCGAGCCTCTAGCCTTAAATGGCATAGCGCAGGGTTACTACTCGCTAGCCTAAATGTTTTAGCGCCTTCCTTCAATATTGCCTAGTATCTTCCAGCGTTTTCATCCACCCCTCGAAGCTACAACTGACTGATGACAAACCGCGCCCCTTAACGGGTCGCTGAGTCCGAAATAATACACCATATCGTTAATGAAATTGTTTTCAGGCTCTGAGCTCAATCATATGTCCTAATGAGCTCCACAGATCTGTTTAAATCCCTGGTGTGTGATTTTGCAATGTACACATTTGAAGGTATTCGCAACTGTTGTAATGGCTAGGTTTAACGACGTGGTCCTGTTGTAAGACTTCTAGTTATTATCTAGTTATTTTCTAGTCCGGCTTCAATTTCGTCAGAGTAGAGCAAATAAAACCAGGCTAAACCCTTTAAAGGCCTCCCGGAATCATTTTGATGTTTGAAAGTACCAAGTTGTAATATCAGAGTTAAATAAAATTTATATGACATTGAAATCTATAAGCGTATATTAAGTTTATACCTTAATGCTAATCCCGTCCAAAGCGCCATGAACCTAAAGGAAATCAACCCTGTCTAGCTAAGTCTACAGCTAACATTTATTTTGTGGCGAGGAGTAACAATTTCCTCATCTTCCGCAGAAGCACAACCTCCATAGTATCCCTCTCATTTCGAGATAGTGAGCCCAACAATAGTATACATTACCACCACGACAAACTCCTCAACGAGAGCCATACAGAGCTCAACGACAGTATTTCCCCCAACTGCAGAGAAAGACTTGAACGTCGTAAAGACAGACAGAATACTCCAAAGTAGCCTCACTGCTATGAAAGGGAGCGCAACAGCAACAGCAATGTAGACACGGCGCTCCCCAGCTGGTGCTCTATGCACATCCCGAGCGGTGATGAGGGTCAAGAACACCAGAAGCAAGTAGACAATAATAAATATCGCAATGCCGATCTTGAAGTATTTGGGACCGTCGCTGCGGCTTGACGGGTCAGATGAGGCCTCGTCTGTGCCGCCGACGATACAGAGGATAAGAGCGATTGTTGTGGGCAATTGTGCGATTTGAATGATACGGCTTCGGCGGGAAATGGCGGTAGCGCGTTTGGTAATGATACCGCTCCTGTGACGGTGTGTCAGTTCAAGCGTGGGCTAACAGTGGAGGAGCAACATACACTTTTCCAATAGCACCAACACTGGCCAGACTGTTCATGTACCCTGATGACGAATTGGACGGTATGGTGAGGGAGACTTCATCGGTTCTAAAGTCGGAGTCAGCGTATATTCGTCGCTCAAGGTTCCGTCGTAACTCACATTCTCTTCAGGAGACCCAGTGTGGCCATAAGTAACGGACTGAGACCAACGGATTGGAGAATAGCCGACCACTCCTGATCCGTCTCATTGTTGGGGTTCGCCTCACTTGCGATTCTGAAGCCGGCACCTGCGCATCGGACGCCGCAGAATATCACCAGGTAGATCCATCCAAGCTGTCTGCGGAAGCCATGGCGGAAAACGACAAAGGCGGCGAGGAAGAATATAGGGACATAGACGCAGAGTTCTATGATGGCGATGACTTTTTGACTCGGGCCCATCTTGATTGATAAACGATGTACAGCTGGGGGATTGAGGAAATGAGAATGAAATGTGGGAGGAGCGATGATATAACGATGTCGATGAAGCGATGAATATGATTCTGAATGATAGAAGGAATTAAAAGAGAGTCTGTTCACTTAATCTTATACTCCTATCTCGTGGGCGGTTACCCTAACAATACTGAAGACATTTGTACCTCGAAATGTTGCGAATTATCGATTTTCGACGTAGCATTACGAACACCTTTGCGAGGCATGGTCCCCAAGTAGCAAGCGGGATCGTAGTGCTCACCTTGCGACAGCCCCCTCTCGCGACTGTAGGGTCGTTTTAGGCAACCTGCATCGTGGACCCCAACAAGCATGCTGGTACCGCATCTGGTTGATTTGCTGCGGACAGCGGAGTTGCGGGTACGCAGTTGAGTGGCTGGGCTGAGAGAGCTAAGAAACTACGCGGCAGGAAGGCGTAAGCCTGCAGATAAAATGGGCTATAAAGTCATATATTGAGTTCTGCATGGATAATCTAAAGAAAAGGCGTCAGTGTGTGTAGACCACGCTACGAGCTTCCTTCCAGAAGAGCACTAGTGGCCCGACCGTCACAACCCAAAAGCTTGATCATCCTTGGCACTAGGGTCAAACGGGTCCGCCCCTAATTGTTAATACTATTTTTGCCACCTCCACGTTCCAGCTTATCTACTCCGTTACTGATAGATGGACCTTATAGTCACCATTAGCCCTACTCTACCACTAGTTTCACTACCGCTGGCGGGTAAGACTTAGCGTTTTCGTCTTTGTTGCGTCATCCCTTTTGACTGACAACGACGAGGCTTATATCATCCACTTGGCAGCTCCAGACTTCCGATTTCTACGCATGCTACGACAGCCTAACCTCGGAACACTTCTATAGTATGAGTTTCGCTGTGAAGCAAAGTAAAGGATGCGCACCGTGTCGAGCAAAGAGGACCAAGGTCAGTAGCTTAGTCTCAACCTCCGCTTCCCTAGAGAGAGCTCTTGGAAGTCGAGACGGACGCTAACTTTGAGTACTACAGTGTGATCAAGCAAGGCCATCCTGCAGTCAATGTATCCGGGCTAGACGCAGCTGCCATGGATATAAGGATCTGTCAGAACATCGATTCGTTGATCAGACCCAGAAATTCGTTCGCCAAGGTCGTGCTAAATCGTCACCAACCCCAACTAGTTATGGCTTCATTTCTAGCGAGACTTCATCCCGTCGTTCATGTCCTGAGTCTGCCAGTTATGGCTTCGCTTTCAGTCAGAGTTCATCTCGCCATTCAAGTCCTGAGTCTGAGGTCTTAGCTGAAATAATATCCCCAGCTTTGCGCGATTCCCTAGATTTCCAGGCCACGTGCTATTTCTTGAGAAACTATTCCTGGGAAGGAGGTCAATCTGCCAAGGGCTTTTTCGATTACATCCCAGACGTTATAAACTGCCAAGGGACCGTGGGAACTGCTTTGACCGACGTGGTTATATCCCTTGGCATGGTTGGTATATCACATACCAAAAGCAACAATTCGAGTGTTATGTATGCAGCCAAAGTAAAGTATAACCGTGCAGTAAGCGCTACGAACAGGGCATTATGCACTCAAGATGCCAAAGCCGATCAAACACTCATTACAGTGATGTTATTAGGATTATTTGAAGTAAGTGTTGTGACGCGCTCTAAATCACATCTAACATAATATGGTAGACAAATACATGCAATACTCCAAGGTCAATGAAATCTTGGACCCAGCACATTAATGGCGCCGCACAGATCTTGTATCTTCGCGGTAAAGAACAACTTCAAACAGAAACAGGCCGCCAAATATTCCGCTACTTGCGGACCCAAATTGTAAGCGCCTCTTTCTGCGGAGCTTCAGCACCTAGTATTAACATTCGCAAAGATAATCAACTCTATGCAAAGGCGTGCAGCAATTCCCGAAACCATCACCTCCTGGTCACTCTTATCCCTCCCTTATGAAAGCGGCGAAGACCTTACTGCAAGCAAACTCTCCTTTCTGGTCATCGAATTCTGCAACCTACGCTCCCTCATGACTTCAATGCATGACTTCACTAACTCTGCTGCCATTGTATCCGCCGCGTTGATGATCGAAGCTTCTCTTGCTGCCTGGGCGGCGGAAAGTCCATACCGCTACAACATCGTACCTCTCATGGCCCGCTCCGATGCCGTATTCGCGGATTATTATCACACATACTCCAGCATTTTGACTGCCACCTCTTGGAATAGCTACCGCAGCGTCCGCATTTTATTGAATGAACTTCTCATCGTCCAGTTGAGCCATCTATGCCACTCCGAATTCCAGTACGAAGATGAGGATGAGGAATTCCCGAATTTAGCCGAGGACAGCCAATTCTTATTGCAACAGCAGTACCAATCCCAGATATCCCACAGCCGCACTGTCATTGTCCAACTTACACAGGATATATGCGCGACCGTGCCCTACTACCTCTGCGACGCGCCTTCTGGGAGCTATCTACTCACCGAATATCCACAATCAGAGCATGTACCCCGTGCCGCCTGCGGCAATTTGCTACTCTGGCCACTATTTACAGCCGCGTGCACGAATATGGTGTCGAATGTGATGAGGGCATGGGTAGTACAGCGGCTGGAAAAGATTGCGAATGTTATGGGCATCCAGCAGGCGAGGGCGTTGGCGATTTTACTAGGTTTGAGAAAAGATCCGCCAACGTGGCATGACACGGAGCTAACGATACAAGAAAATGGGACGACTGACGAGTGGTAATCGTTGTATATTATAAGATATTAGATTTTAAGACTTGGAAATATAGACAGGTTAAATGACAGCTATGTAATCGTAGGTGGAAGCGAACTTCGTCTGCGAGATCTCTCAATTTGTACTGGTGCCAGTTCACCGCTACCCCTCACCAAAACCTACAACATTCCCGTATATAGTATTTTATATAGTAACTTAATGGAATCAATTTAATGGAAGGGACTCCTCTATCAAACGCCTGTTAGTGGCTAGCAGACAATCCAACTGAGTCTGTAGCTGTTGCCTCTCGGATTTTCCATGTTCTAAGATCAACTCTACAGTCAAGCATGCAGCAACTCTACCAGCCCCAGAAGCCCTGTAGAGGTCAGAATAAGCTGCTTAATACAGCACAAATAGAAGCTCTAAAACAGTGGATAATACTACAATATGAGCTAGGCCTAGGAGCTACCTGGCAAATGACCTTTACAGCTATATGCCACCTACGGAAGCTACTGCCACCACCCTCACAAAAGCTGGCTTAGTAAGCTTATTAGGAATGAGCTTCGAGAGTTCCATTTTATTACAACTAAGCCAATTGCTCAGCAGTGTGTAAGGGCTTAAGATGAGAGTACTATTCAAGAGTGGTTTAAGAAATACTACAAGTTTATACTACAGCACTATCATCAGAAGCACCTCCAAACCAAGCTTTCCTGCCTCTATTCATGCACAAGAAATTATAGTTCCTTAAGAAATCTCTATAATGCAATGCAACCCATAATGCATGTATGTGTACGTGTATCCCGTATGCTCGCTCCCCCTCCTCCCCCTCCTCCCCCTCTACCCCACCTCACCATCTGCAGTAACAAAAACCGCCCACTATTTGTTCAATCTAATCCCTTTTATGCCAACGCAGAAAAATGTGTGCACACCGTCCGTCTGACCACAAACGCCACCAAATATCAAGAAAAAATCTCACAGTATGCGAAGTTGAAAAACAAAAAACCAAAAGCCAAAATGGTAGGTAAGCCGATTCATATACCAGCCAACAAGCACCCTTGATTCTCTTCTCTTTCTCAGCTTTGAGATTCCATCCAAATAATCTTTGCACATGCCTCCATCTGCCCACTATCCATCCCCCCACACAAACCAGAACACCCCCCCTCTAACCCCCCCCTTTAAAAAATCACAAAAAATGCGAGCAAGAGCCGCCGCGCCCACACCCATCAACGTACAACCCACATCCTCAAATCCCTCGACACCGCCAACGCAGCCGTCACCATCACCACAAGCCCTAGCACGACTTCGAGCGGTAGAAACGCTAGCACGCCCAGGAGCACGAACCCGAACTGGCGGAGGCGCTTTATGCGATTATCGCGCCCCGTGCCGTCCATCTGGTCCCTCTCCGGCGCACCCCATCGCTCGCGCGTCCGCGTTCGAGATTTCTCATCGCCGCCACCGCTCTCATCTTCCGAACTCGACGGTGTGGTTGGAGTAGTAGTTGGTGGCTATCCGAAATGGAAGTGCTGTCCACCACCACCACCGCCTGGGAATCCACCGCCAGGGAACCCACCGCCCCTTCCGCCGCCGCCGAATCCGCCGCCACCACCGCCGTTCATCATCTGAAACAGGATCTCTGGGTCGATACCGCCCATTCCGCCGCCGCCGCCGAAACCTCCACCCCCGAAGCCGCCGCCGCCAAACATGTCAGCAGGGTCCATGAGGTCCTCGCCGCTGTCGTACTTAGCGCGCTTCTGCGGGTCGCTGAGCGTCTCGTACGCCTCGCCGATATCCTTGAAGCGGTCCTCGGCGTCCTTGTCATCGGGGTTCTTGTCGGGATGATGCACGATAGCGAGTTTGCGGTACGCCTTCTTGATCTCCGTCTCATTGGCCTCCTTCTCGATCCCAAGGATCTTGTAGTAATCCTTGCGCTTGCTCTTCTTGAGCTCCAGCTCCGCCTTCCTGATCTCCTTGGGCAGCGTGGCGTCAGAGGGGTCGGATTCCGCGAGCGCTTTCAGCTCACGCACCGCTTCTTCCCAGTTGCCCGATTGGCCGAGCGCGGTGGCCTTCGTCTTGCGCGCCTTAGTGTAGGAGGGGTCGAGGCGCAGCGCAGACTCGCAGTCCGTGATGGCGCCCTCGTAGTCCTTCAGCTTGATGCGGCACAGCGCGCTGTTCTGGAGGAGCTTGGAGTTTGTGCCCTTGTTGAGCGGGTCCACCTCTAGCGCCTCGGTGTACTTGTCCAGCGCCGTCTGCCACTTCCCGAGCTTGTAGTCTGAGTTTCCGTCCGACTTCATGCGGTCCAGCTTCTGCACCATGCGCAGGTACTTGACGGCGTCGCGGTAGTCGGGGTCGCAGTTCAGGGCTTGACGGAAGTGCTGGATGGCCTTCTCGTTGTCGCCTTGTGCGTATAGAGCCCTTCCTCGCAGCACCAATGCTTCGGGGTCGGATTTGTTGCTCCTCAGCAGCGACATGGCGACGTTCTGGGCGTCTCCGAGAGCATTGACATTGCCCATCTTGAGGTACGCCTCTCCGCGCATCAGCTGCCATTTTCTGGGCTTCTGCGCACCGACACCGAGGAATTTCTCTGCCTGGTCGAGGGCGTGCAGGGCCATTGAGCCGGTTGTGCCGTGCTTCAGCGCATCTTCTGCTACCGAGATGTGCTGCTTCATGGTCTTGGCTGGTGCTACATCCTTTGCTGATGGAGCGGGCTGGATCTGGTCGTAAGTGCTTAATGCCTCCTCCGGCCTGCCTAGGTTTGTGTAAATGCGTGCCAACCTCAGTAGGATCTTAGGGCTGTTCGGCTCGAGCTCGTTGGCGCGTAGGGCGTCTTCGAGGGCCTTGTCGTAGTTTGCATTGGAGATATAGGCTGCGGCACGGTTGTTCAAGTATGTTGCGGATGAGGGCATTGCCTCGACGGCTACAATATTGTTAATATGATATTCCCAGTGTGCGTGCGTCGGGTAATAGTACCTTTGGTATACTCGTCAATTGCCTTCCTGTACTCCTTAGCCTTATAATGCTTGTTTCCAGCATTCTTGAAAGCCTCCGCCTCCTCCGGCGTGGGGGGAGCAGCTGCAACCGGGCTCGTAGGAGGGCTTTTATGCGGTGGAGGCGTGGGCGCCCCGCTATCCACGTCCATGCTGTCCTTGTTCGCTGTGCCGTTCGTGCCATTCGGTGTAGTAGAATTGAAGGCCCCGGGGATTTTTTCTGCGGGTGGTGACGATGGCTGTGCGTGCACGTCAGTGTCGACCTCCATCGGGTCTGAACGCATTTGTTCGGCCATGTTGGACAGTGCGGACAGTCGTCGCAGGTCTGGCGGAAGGTTCAGCGGATGTGTATTTGCGTCGAAGGTATGGGCTCTCGAGACTGGGGTGGGGCCTCGTGAGCCGCTGTTGTGGGAAGTTGTATGACTGTGTCGGCGTTCGTCCCTCGAATCACGACGATTGGATCTCGAGGATGAGCTAGAGGACTTCTTTGGAGAAGGACTCTGGCGAGGACTACTGTCGTCGCGAGGAGTGCGGTCGTGGGTGTTGTCGTCGTCGTCTGGTGGTGGGGTGGTCTTCTTTGATTTTTTGGATAACTTGGGGAAGAAGTTCATTGAGAGGATTACTGAAAGATTTCGGGTGAGGCAAAGATAAGGTAAGGGTAAGGCTCTAGCAGCAGGATTGTCTGGCTCTGCTTGGTTCTCTGGGAATGGAACTATTCGTTAGGGCCGCTCCCGCAATTTTTTTTTGGTTGGGTGTGGGGTGGTACTGTACAGAAAGGAAGACGGTAGAATCGACGGGTTCAGCGGGAGAGTGCAGAGTCCGTCCAGTGATGCGTCCAGTGAGTGCGTCCAGTGGAGTTCCAGCGTTGTAGATGGGATGTTGGATGTTGAAATAAGGAGCAAATTGAACCCAGGAGCAACAGAACAACAGCACCAAAAAGACGGTGCACTGAACCACAGCAGTACAGTACAGTCGAATGAATTAAAACAGAATATATTCTTGACGTCCTGGGGTATAATTTTCGGGAGAAAAAAGATGGCCTCGTCGAGCTGTCCAAGCCGTGTCCAAGCGTTGTCCGACTTTCGTCCCTGTGGGGGTTTTGGAGAGAGAGCTTCTTTCACCTTCCAACAGTTACCATTCGAAATACCACTGATCACCGGCGGCAATTGCTACAAATATCTCCCGTCTTGGTGTAAAATGGTGGCGAAGATGAGAAAACCCGGATAGTATATGAAGCTTCAATGCAATCAAGACCAGCTCCCAGCTTCTGAAGGGCTTACTGCGCGTCCACACGTGGAATGTCGAGCTGGTTTCGTCGTGGGTGGTGATCGACGTGGGGTGTCTCTCTGTGGCTTCAACGGATACCAGGAGTAACTCAACACAGAAAGGGTAGATGACGACAGCGACGAGGTCAGCAATGGCGGGGGTAGAGATATATACAAGAAAGACCAAAGCAATGGGCAATATCTATAATCTACTACTACTACTCTATGACCCCCCGCGACGACGACAACAACAACACCAACAGGCGCGCGCGACCGCCGATACACGCAACCACAGCCCACCATCCATCCACTCGCTCCCACGCCACCACCACAGAGATGCCCTCGTAGTTCTGCACCCCCAATTTTCTCAAAATACGCCCGCGACAACGCTATCTATCACAGCCATTCATTCGTGCAGATCCCCTCATCACCAGTTGCCAGATAATTATCCTGTGATCCTATGGTAGCACTATCCCGTGCATAAGCTGCCCTTTTCCCCGCTTCCTTCCTTGGGGATTGGAGGACTCGTATTGATTGATATTCCAGCTTGGATAACCGGACTCGGACAGGATGATGGGATTTGCTTATTATTAATCCTTAAATTTCAAATGCAACGTGTGTGGCTTACTGACATTATTGTGCAATGCTTCACTGCATGGCATATTTATTACAGCCACTCCACAGCCTTACGCCCCTATGCATCCCAATCTTCAGCCTTGCTCCCCCTTGTGCCTACCTATGCCGCCCGACACTCTAAAGAGAGACTACCTTGGCTGAGCAGGCCAAGTTACTATAATAGCCTGTCCCATCATTTTCACAGCCAAATCGCAAACTCCAGAATCAGTATGAATCTAATTAGCATTTATAGATTATCCAAGTCATAACAGTCGTAACCCCTCTACGACGTTTCAAACGCCCCCAAAATGCAACTCCAGCAATGTTGAACGCCCCTTTCAAACACCAAAACCACCCCAAATGCACCCCCCCTTCTACTCGAAATAAACAGGAACACCATACACCACCACCGCCGCAGCAGTAAGGTATTTAAAATGACACGCCTTCTTCCCCTCCGCCACCGCCTTCACCAAGCTCACCCTCTCCCTCTCCACCACCACAGGCTCCGCCTTCTTCCTCCCCCTCCCCGGCGTCTTCGGCACCTTCTCCACCACCGCCGCCGGCGCACTCCCCTCATGCAATCCCCAGGACTCAAACGTGCTCTTTGCAAACCGATCAATATCCTTATCCGTCACATCCCACAGCGTGCCCACCACCGCCGGCGCACCAGCAATCATATAGCTCATCGGCGGACCGTAGGGCATGAACTCACCCACATCGACGAGGGTAGCGCTGCTACAGCCCATCAAGAACGTCGTCGCGCACGTCTCGAGCTTCTTGATCGTCTTGGAGCGGATGTACTGCGCGCCGCTGCCGTGGCCAAAGTATAGGTACAGGTCGTCGTTGGCGAGCATGTTTTTGAGTTCCGTCTCCGTGGGCTCGCGCTCGACGACGCTGCTCCAGTCGTCGAGTTTTTGAAGACCCTTTTCGAAGGTTGCTTGCGTGGTTTTGAGATCTTGGCCGGGGTTGAGCACGTAGCTGCCTTTGCTCCTGTTGATGTATGTGCCTTCTGGCTGACCCTCCGCAGCGACTTTCTTTTGCTGGCTTAGGATTCGGTCGCGAAGGCAGCCCATGGATGGGAGTCTTGATACGGCCTGGCCTTCCATGCATGGAAGAGACTCCCAGGGGAGAGAATGCAGAGACTTGTCGAGGATCAGTACCGTGTGGTTTTGTTCGGTTGAGACGCCAGCGCTAGCTACGGCTTGATGGTAGCAGCGGAGCGCATCGAGCGTATCGAGAACCATGGAGTCGAAGTCTATTTCGTCGTATGCATTGCGCTCGCCGTGAAATTGCAGAATGTCCACGACGAAGTAAAGGAGGTCGGTCAATGGCTCGTCTAGATCACTGTCCTCCGAGAATGGATCCCCGAGGCCGATGAAGAGCTCAAGAATCCGTGGGTCCAAAGTGACACCAGGGCTTGTCGCCTTCTTTCTCTTATTCGTTCGCTGTCGTGATGGAAGGTACTTGTCCAGGGTATTTTGGAAGGATTTCTGGAATCGTGCCAGCAAGTCGGGTTGTCTTGTATGCTGAGAGAAAATCCCCTTAAATCCACCCAGCCAAACCTTCTCAACGTTATCAAGGAGTTCCTTGAGCCTCACGTTTAGCTCATCGCGCTCCGCCCACCACGCAATCTTTCCTTCCCGACTCGAGACATCACGACCTCCGTGAGCACTGGCATTAGCGAGGTCGATGATTTCATGGAGTTCTGCCTTGCCTTGGTCAAAACCGAAAACTTCCTCATCCGCGTCCCGTGAACTATTACGCTCCAGAGGTACTCGCAGGATGAAAGGAGAGTGCCCGGCCTCGAACTTAGCTAACACAAGCTCATCCCGACTTTCACTAAGCATGACTGATACCACTTTCCAGGCGGCTGGGATGATGTCGATATATTCTTTTTGAAATCGAGCTTGCTGCATTGCTAGCCGGCCGCTACTGTCATTCTGGTGGGCGTGGTTTTTGATAACTGGCCATCGGAGATCGCCCTCTTTGGTTGTTTCCGCGTCCACGTCCGACATAACGGCATCTCGCTCCCGTTGAACCGCAATTGCCTTTGCTAACTCTGTGTATTGTCAGCTCCATCCCTCAATCTTTAGTACTGTAATAATTACGACTTACCTAATGCCGATGCGACAGCGCCCGGCTGGAAAGCCTTGAGTTTGAGCCCGTGGTAAGTTGAGAGAAGCAGACTCGTTGTATTCAGGAAAGATGCGATTTGAGTTAGTACCCGGGTCGACGAAATTTGCGACGCGGTAGAATAAGCTTCTACCAGATGATCATGGGCTTGTTTTAGAGGATCCACCCAAGACATAGCCGACCCGCGGGGCAGCGAAGCATTGCGAGGTGAGTTGTGAGTTTTCTTTGGAGGCGTGGTGCGGACTGCGGATACCCTCTCCAAAGACGCCGTCTTTGCGCCCACAACGGCCGGAAAGGAGATTGTTGAGTCCTGAAGCACGGAATAAACGGAGTCGGCTGGCAGCAATGCCGAGCTCTGCCGGAACAAACACTCAGCTTGGGCAACATGTGTCTCAATAGCATCGAGAGAGCTGAGGCTGTATTCCGCAGCTTCCTCCAAAACCATTGACGAGTCCTCGAAACGGTTCCACCGGGCAAATGACCTGGCCTTTTGACGCAAAATAGCTCCCTTGAGAGACACCAAGCCGACACACTGCTCTGCAATAGAGATTGGCGAAGTTGCTGGTTGTTTTGAGACGGCTTCCCTTTTCCTCGCTGGCGCCTTTGCAACAGTTTTGCGTTGTGGTCTCCCCCTTTTCTTGGTATCATCAATTGCCAATCTCGATATCTCAGCCTGTAATATAACTGTAACATCAAAGACTCGGTCCAGGTCGCTGATGTAGGTTGAATTGGTCAGCGAATTGAGTGTACGTTCCGCCTCACCATAGGCAGCCAGTTCAGCAGTCTTGTCGCCATGTGCGCTGTGGAGGCTTCCGAGGTTGCCACTTAGAACCACCAAAGTCTGTGCCTCCTTTTGTACCGAAGCCAGGTCCTTAGCTTTCGTAAGAAACTCAGTCGCCTTTTCAGTATTCCCTGCTTTCAACCAAGCGCCGCCTATCAATGCCAGAGCCTCCACTATGTAGTTCGTCGAATCAATGCTTACTGCAATTTTGTGGGCTTGCTCGGCGTAATAAATGGTGTCCTGAAACATGCCGTGGTGGGTATACACCTGTGATAAATGTACGAAGCATCGAAACATTGGTCGCGCCAGCATCCATGCCGAAGGCCCAATATCAGTGTTTTGTACTTGAGGTGATCCAGGAGAGGTTGTCGATAAGTTCAGATTGGAGCTTTCTTCCACCAGCTTTTCCATCGCAGCATCATCAGACGATTGGTTCTTCTTGACTCGCGACAGCTGGTTCCTCTCTGCTCTCTTCCACGCCCTGGCTATTATTCTTAACCTTCGCTTCGCATGGATTAAAGCCTCTTGTGGTTTGCCTTGCTGGAGAGCAAGATCTGAATAAACGATGGAAGCATCCGCTATAATGCGGTCATTCCCATCCCTGTCCGAATAACTTATTGCATTGCTACCATTCGTAGTCTCGTTTTCGTGCTCCGCAGCTTGATGGGCGCGAGATAGTGTTTCGTCACATTTTTCGAGGTTTCCCACCCTGAGCAAGTAATCGGCGTAACCAACCAGGCGCCGTATCGATGCACTCGGGGTTACTCCATGAGAAGAGGCAAAGCACTGAGCCTTGTCTAACGCAAGTCCGGCCTTCCCAGAGTATCCAAGTTCCAAATATTGGCTAGCCAAAAAACAGTAATCAAGAACGACATCATCCGGGTTTGATCCGCGCGGTATTTCGTCGATGTTGGTAATCATTCGAAGAACAGCCACCCTCGTTTTCCCGTATCCCTTCATATCTAAGAAATCGGCAACAGATTGTAAATGACCCTGCAGGATGTCCACATTATCAATGTTCTGGGATAATGCTTCTTGGTCTTTGCATTTGTCGATAATACTGGACCAGGTTGCCAGATGTGGCTCGATGAGGTCTATTCTTGGATGATCATCCATGAGCTCCAACGTGCTTGTCAATAAAGACCGAATATGCATCGTATATTGGTTGAGGCCGGAATCACTGCTGCTAGCAACAACTGAATCAACGCTTGCCAAAGTTGTCGTACTGCGCGCTTCCTCGATAATATCACGGCGCTGGTCGGGATTCGTTTGCGCAAAATTGCACAGAACCCGGAGTCGTCTGATAGGAAACGTTCTGGCATCATATATGGTGGTGAGCTCCTTGTACACGGCTTTCTGGAGTTCGGGTGAGGCTTCGGGTTGTCGAGACAGAATATCTTGGATGTGTTCAAAAACCACCCCTTTTTCCTCTGAGGTCCAAGGCTCGTCGTTAGGCGAGAGGTCTTGAAGCGTGCTAGACGCATTTTTCTTGAGCTTCAGTAAAAGGGTAAACGCCCGGGCAAGCAGCAAGGTATTTTCAGTTTGGTCCCATGCAGCCCGTATGGGAACGGTTGAGGCAGCGGATGCTACAAGAGCCAAAGCACCGTCGGCGATGATTTCGTCTCGAAGAAGCAGAATAATGTCTCTGGCTTCATCTAAACGTCCAGCGAATCGAAGTAAGTCCCCCATACGTTCAAGTTTTGCGGTAAATGCGGCTGATTTTCTCTCCGCTACGGGCCTCGAGCGGATCGAATCAATAGATCGACGTAGGGGCCGCAAATGCTGGACATCTTTAGGGCTGGAGGCATCTCGGCGCATATCAAGATGCTGCGAATAATATAAATTCGAAATCCGGCCGAAGTATGAAGTACGAGCTGAATCCGAATCGTTATTGTTGTCTGGCATGGAGATATCGGCGGCCTCTAGTAGTGCTATGCAGTCCTGAAGAAGAGAGTCCATAATCTCCCAAGTTAATCGGCCTTGGGTTCGAAGAACTTTGGCCAGATATAGCGCAGAATCCACAGTGCTAGGGACGCTTCTAGCAAGGTGGTGGCGTCGCTGTTCGAAACGTACTATGACTTTTGTTGATGCTTCATTGCCTGGCGCTTTGCCCAGATATCTGAGTGAAAACCGGGGGCATTGGAGAACTAGGGACTCGCATAATTGTCGTGCACCTTCATTTATTGGTGCAGGCGCATCATCACTTGCTCCCGGTTTTTTTGACACCAGCATTATTGCAGCTCTTCTTGCTCTGGAAACCTCGGTCAGTAATTCGTCGAGTTCTGCACCATCTCCCTTTATAGACGACTCTAGGCCCTGAACTACTGTCATAAGCAGCTCTTCTATGATAGGGTCGTGCGAATCGGTCCGTAGCTTCAAAGCTACCAGTTTCGCCGCGATAGCGCACTTTTGAGCTTCGGATGAATTCTCGCAGCCTTGAAGCTTTTCAACCCATCCTATGGCTTCACCGTCGCATCCGGAATCTTGTGCCAGCGAGGCTAGAAGCTTATGGATCACATATAGCGACGAGCCAGTTGCAACCTTCAGGCCTTTCTTTTGGGCAGACGTAAAATCCACAAGAGCATTGTATGATTGCAGGGCACATTCGTATGCAGACGCTGCTAGGCCTCGGCTTCGTCGGGTAAAGGCTGCCATGCATCGAGAATATGGCTCGAAAATGTCATTGTCCATATCACCCTTATGGCCGGCGATTGCCCACCATGTGTATCGGGTGGAAAATGCAATTGTTTGGAGTTGAAGTGCTGCATCTGGGCCGACGTGCAATTTTGGTGAAACGGCGGCCGTATCTTCAGAGGATGAGATTGACGGGCTTAGAGAAAGTATAATCTGGGCCAATGACTCCAGCTGCCGTGCCGATTTTGTCGCAAGAGAAGATGAAATCTTGGAAGTTTGAACCAGAAGTTGAGTCGGCGAGCAGTGATATTCAGGTTGTAGCTTGGGTATGGAAGCTATAATTGCTGACGGTTTCTTTGATGTCGTAAGTAGTTTGAGCGCTTGAAGCTGGGTTGTAAAGGCGATGCTTAACAAAGGTCCTTCGGTAGGCACTATTTCGAATTCGAGTAGCTCGTCAAATCTAAGCGGTGACAAGCTTGGAACCGGAGGAGATATATCTTTGGCTGTCTCTTTCTTCGCGCGGGGCTTCTCGGATGACTTGAATGCAGTATCCAACCGCCTTTTCAAGATCCGTAGCTCCTTCAACGCAAGGTCGTCCAATCCCAGCAATATTAATTTTCCCACCAACGCAGACATCCCATTTTCTATTTGCATAGGAGGCAAGTCGATAGTTGGTGTTTTCGAAGATTGTAGCATCCGCAGGCATGCGAATGCAATGCGCGAGCATTCGGCGACGGCTCTCGGACCAGAACCATTCGATGATGTAGATGTCGAGGATGAGGATGGAGAGCGCATCAGGCGGTTTGCGACATTCGGAGAACTGGCAACTCTATTCAATGACCGCGGGTGGAGCGGTGATTGAGGAAGAGAGTTGGACCTTCGTAGAGCTTTGCGAACAGGCGTCTCGAGGTCTCCACGCGATTGTGGCTGCTTTCGTACTTGGTTTGAGGGCGTTGCAGCAGCGCTGAGTGTCTTGAGAGTTATATTAATAACTCCGGTGGCTAGGATTGCCTTTTCTTTTGCAGATAATTCGTCTGCTTCATGGCTATCGGTCTTTTGGGTTGCTGCTAATGTTTTCTTGGTTGCCGGTCTTGTCGTCCTCCCTGGCTTTACCTGAGCAGTCTGGGTAGCCGCCCTTTTTCGCCCGACTCCTGCAGCAGGAATTGCATCTTTTTGGCCATTTGACGCGGTTTTCGGAGCCAAAAGGTCGCTGAGGGTAGATACCGTCGCCGGGGTGCTTGTTGATGTCGAGCTAAGTGCGCTTTTGACCAATTCGAGTTTGTCGTGTAAGGAGGTCATTCTGGAAGCTGAAAAGGTGCATCTAGTATTATCCAAGTCTAATCATTACAAAAACCTCCATGAGGGTATGTAACCACAGCAAGCCGCAAAATTCAACATGATATATTGATCAATTCGATGTGGATCGGAGAGTCGGTCATGGAGTCGTGACTTTGACGAGCTGCAGGGTCGTTACCACAGCAACGTTGGCGGTGGGGTTGGCAGAATATCATGTATTTGAAAGGAACGGAGGAAAATCTGAGTCGTACCCTTATGGAAATACCAAACTGAACAGGGACAGCATCCATACCCGAGCTTACCGTTCCTATGTCCACCCAACTTATTTCGTATTTACGATAAGATAATATTTAGATCATTATGATCGAAAAAACTGTGGTTCGAAGACTATTTCTCGCTGGTCGAGCTCCTCTTCAAAGCACTGTTTTCGCAACTGCTGCACGTTATGGCCGACCGCAACCATTGCAACGATATTATTCATCGTTGCCAAGTGTTACCCAGGTCTCTTTCTGGGAGTCTATGATCCCAAAGCCTCTGCGCCGAAGCAACAGGCTCAAAACCAAGAAGCCGAAGTCGGCCGAGTGGAACCCAGCGACATTCTTCATTGCCATTCTATTGCTCATCGGGTCTATGTCCATTCAAATGATAGCACTACGAAATGAGTTCGCAACGTTTATAAGACGAGCCGACGCCAAAATCGACTTACTTCGGGAAGTTATTGAGAAGGTTCAAAGCGGCGAAGAGGTTGATGTGGAAGGGCTTCTTGGCGCTGGAAATCTCGAGAAGGAACAAGAATGGGAAGAAGTCTTGAAAGAGATCGAGAAGGAAGATGAACAGTGGACGGAAGCACGCAGAACGAAGCCAAGACGACGTTCACCACAGGCAGTCGAGAGTGCCAAAATAGAGACCGCCGGCGCTTCCGATGACACTCCGAGGCCAAAGCAAACATCCAATGCACCGCGTGGATTCTACTGAGGAATCTTGAGGCCAGGGCTCATCATCCGGTTCAATCTACTACGACCTACACAACACAACTAAGTTGAAGGCAAATATCCAAGGTAAGAACTTTCATATTATTTCCCAATTCTTGAGATGACGAAAAATTCCGGATGTAAACCATTACTATACTCCGAGAGCGCAAAACCCATGTGGAGATTTCCGTTGCCTTCCTTCTGATCAAACCTACCAACGTCTTATGTGTTACGGTACTTCTGATGGGAAAGATGCATTGCTAACAACATATAACAGAGACCACGTTTCCACTACCTCAACACGGCCAATTGAAACCAATTGAAAGCAAATATCTATGGTAAGAATTTTCATATTATCCCCTATTACTTGAGATGACGAAAAATTCCGGATGTAAACCATTACTATCTCCGAGAGCGCAAAACCCATGTGGAGATTTCCGTTGCCTTCCTTCTGATCAAACCTACCTATGTCTTATGTGTTATAAGCCTTTTATTGTGAAAGATTTGTTACTGACAAGACATAACAGGGAACATTGTCTCTACCGACGGTAGCATGTGTAAATATATGCTACATGTTGATATTACTATGAAAGCATGTCCTTGAAGGGACTGTTATTTCTTGTCAAAACTTTCGCCGCAGCCTGGGATGGCCTATCCGATGTGCCCGCTCCAAGTACATGGAGGTGATCAACAAGGCTCGGAAGTAGCTTGTCCGAAGACATTTCAGCTCTTACGCCCAACTCTCCCCTCTGGCCTGCATCTAAATTCTCAAAGAAGAGCTCTTCTCCCCGTACGCCACCAAGGTTGATGATTGCAATGGGCATGCCTTGGTCTTTAGCCCGCCTGGCTAACCGCCAAGCTGAATATGTCGCCAGAGACGTCCCAATAACTAGAAGTCGTCCCGCAGAGTCAATTGCATGCTCTGCAGCCTCTTTCACAGGGGATGCTATGCTCTCGCCGAACATTACAACAGCTGGCTTTAATATGCCAGCGGTACTAGAAGGCTCGAAGGCGCCATCCTTGTCCACCTTGACGGTGGATTTAGTGCCCGCTGGAGTAATTGGCGGGGTAGCTAGGCATGTCGGACATGCTGGGTATCTAAAAGTAGTATATGGTGCCCCTGGGAGATCCACATCTCCATCCGGGTTTAGCTTCATGCCTTTAGCCCGGCGACTCTCTGGGTCTTCGGAATCGAGCGCCCCAGATGCGAGAGCTTCTTCAAGCAGCTCTGCCCATGCTGGATTGAGACGCGCCAGTTCTTTCTGGAATATATCGCGAGGTAGCTCGTTGTGGCAAGATATACATCTTAGGGACCTTAGATAGCCATGGAGCTCCAGAGCTGGGAGCTCCGGATGAGCAAGTAGATGAAATGAATCAACGTTCTGAGTCACCACGCTCTTGATAAATCCCATATGTCCTAAATCCCTAATTGCGCGATGCGTTGCATTTGGTTCCGCTCTGTCCAAGTTTGGCCAACCTAGAAAGCTACGTGCCCAGTATCTCTTCCGTGCTTCGTGATTTTGCACAAATTCATGGTAGTAAATCGGCCTATACGTCTTGTTCACCCTATATGTGCCATTGGTTCCCCTGTAATCCGCCAGACCTGACGCAACAGATATTCCCGCGCCAGTCAATATAACAGTCGAATTGGGGCTTGTCGATCTTTCGTCTAGAGTGGGTGCTGGGGACGCATTCAAAAAGTTTGACAGTGCTGCAACAGCTCCAACTGCGGTATTGGCGTTGCGGGGTAGGATCCTGGGAGGAGGGAGGGGTCCCGTGTAGGGTATCCTCATAAGTGGCTTGCGCATCTGATGACCATCAATGCCACTTTACACTGGCAGCCACAGCGTTTCAGTAGACGTGGCCGGTATGTTATGCGGTTGGGATGATCCGTAAAGCTTCAAATCCATGTTGAAGCTTGGTAGTTTACGGTCCGCGTCATTCCGAGCCACCAATGACCCAGTAAATACTCGCGTCGGCCAAAATGCCGAGGAAGGACCGTGCATGATGGCCAGAACAGTATACAAGCCCTGTTGTTCCTGGGCTTGTTCATAGGAACAATTAATAAAAAATATAGTCTCAGTAACTCAGAGGCTATTAGAGCTTTGCAGCAAGGCGGTTATCTAAAAATTAATCCAAAGGGAAAATCTCCATGATCTTCAATTACACTTTTTCAATTCCCTTTAGACTTTTTGCCGCGCCGATTAGCATCAAAACAGTCAGCCTCATTATTAGTGGGGCCTTTGCACCAAAAACCAGGAAACCTTACGACAGTCGGGATACTGAAATAGTATTCCTAGAATAATCAACTCCGAACTGGCCGCGCAATGTCGTTGCGTAGTCTTTTCATATGCGCCGTTACAGATATATTCCTCCGCGTTGATAGCCTGAAGGCTTGAGGAATGTCGTTGCTACGCTGTGGCCAGTTTCGAGTACTGCACTGCCCACTCGGCACTCCAGCCTTAGCACGGCTGAACGCAACCCCTGGCGCTTTCCAGTCGAGGACAGATCCGCGACTTTCATACAGGCAAAGTTGGTCGCGTGTGATCAGAACAGCAACTGCCACCCCTCTACATAAACACAATCCTTTACTATCATCGACACACATTCGCTCACCAAACTCTCATTCGATAATTGATAACAGACCGACATACCAAGCCGTAATGGCGACAGAACAAACACAGAAGCGCGGGCACGTGGGCCACCACCACCATCATCACGACAATACCTACCTCGTCTCGTCGAATAAGAACGATGCTGGAGTACGGATCACAAGGATTGGATTATGGTCGAACTTGGGCATGGCCATTGGCAAGGGCATCGGTGGATACCTCTTCAATTCGCAAGCAATGGTTGCAGATGCATGGCATTCTGTGACAGATCTGGGCAGTGATATTCTCACTTTGGCAACCGTATCATGGAGTCTGAAGCCACCGACCACACTGTTCCCAACTGGATTTGGCAAAGTTGAGAGCTTGGGAAGCTTGGGTGTTAGTGGAATGCTACTCGGTGGCGGCTTGTTCATGTGCTATAGCAGCTCACTGATCCTGTACGCCCATTTTATGTCTGATCCACATGCGGCAGCGGAGCTACTCGCCCATGCGCATTCACACGGACATAGCCATGGTGGCCATGGCCATGGCCATGATGCTATTACACCCAGTTTGCACGCGGCGTGGCTGGCTGCTGGAACCATTGCGATCAAGGAGTGGTTGTATCAAGCTAGTGAGTTATCATTAAACTTCCAATTTCTACTCCAGCACACATAGCTAACCTTCACCTCCTAGCCATGAAAGTAGCACGCGAACGCAAATCCTCCGTCCTGGCTTCGAATGCTGTCCACCACCGCGTGGACTCTCTTACTGGTATCGTCACACTCTTCGCCATCCTCGGCGCCAACTTCCTCAACAACGCGGCCTGGTTAGATCCCGTCGGTGGCCTTCTCATCTCGTTCCTCATCATCCATGCCGGCTTTGGGAACTTTGTTTCTGCACTATACGAACTCGCCGATAAGGGTATTGATGAGGAAATCCAGGCATCAGTAAGGAAAGCTGCACTCAAGAGTATTGCCGCATTTCCAGACGGACTCGAGATTGAGCTCCGTGATGTTCAGGGTGTCAAGTCCGGCCAGAACTTCCTCGTAGACCTAGAGCTCGCAGTGCCAAACGACTGGACAGTGCAGCAAACAAGGACAATTGAAGACGCAATCCGCACGACGGTGGGCTCCAAGGTCCGTGGCGTCCGAAGATTGAAGATGCGCTTCATTTCAAATGAAGCCGATAAGACAACCCTGTTCGATGAATTCATCCCGGGAGATGTCAGCCCAAGAGAGTCGCCGGAGCCAGAAAACCATAACCACGATGACGACAAGAAGTCGCAGTAGGTCGAGGGAATACCAGTACCTGTAGTTGCATGGCGTTTCGGGTGCAAGTCTGTTTTCACTTCACACAAAGGGTAGTGCATGAGGTTGGATGATGAAATCTGCAGCAGATTATCTCGTGATAAAGTCATGGTATATCTCAGACAGCAATTTTCAGATAAACAAAATATAAATAACCAATTTTATCAAGGATTAAGAATGTTCCCTCGTTTTGTGTGATTCTACAAGTGGTGGTTCACGTGGGACTCGTTCGTGTCTTCTCTTTGTAAGATGTTACATGAGCCTCCTTCGTCATTTCCTCTCTCTCATCGTGCCTTCTTCGCGCCTTCCATGAAGGAGAAGCCGACTAATTCGCTCCTTCCCATCATACCCGAGCCTCCTTCGTGCCTTCCTCCATGCCATGCTATCCACCCATTGTGCCTTCCATCCAGGAGAAGGCTGACAAATCCGCCCTTTCCTATGTTGGAATATAGGAATATAGGAAGGAGCAGGTTTGTCAGCTTCCCCCTCGTCCTTTCCTTTCATGAGAGAGTTGACTACTTCGCTCCTTCCTATCTTAACAATATTTTTATTTCTCTATTTCTCCAATGCACTTGCCTCTCCAACAGACTAGGAAACCGGGGATTATGTGTCGCCAAACCTGGGTGTTTTTAATAGTTCGATGCTCGACGGCACTTCACTCATTTGATATACCACGCTCGTCATTATTGGGTACTAGTATCATTACTTCTTGGATATTTTTAGCTGTTAATCATTTGGGTGGGAGACTGATACGAACCTGTTGCGGAATCCGTTGTTCATTCATCTCTGTAACCCCCTTTTTTTGCTGGTCCTCAGCCGCTGCATACTACTATTTTAAGAGAAAGGCTTTTGATTTCTGAAAGTACCCTACAGACCTCAGCTTCCCTCCTCTAACATATGAACTCTCGCGGTCCATGCAGCCAACCAAGCATCTCAGACCCCCACCATGCCCCCTCCCCCAAGCTTCCTCTGCACCTTCTGCTGGCTTCCCCAATACCCCCCCATTCACCCCAAAACCCTCGGCACCGAATCTCGCATCTGCTGCCCTCCCTGCTATGAGCACATCTTGGATCTGGCGATATGCTGGGTTTGCGGTGAGGTGATAGTTAGGACCGAAGAGGCGGTTAGTCTGGGATGGTGCTTTCGGCATCGCCACTGCTTTGGGCGTTTAATTTGTGGGGAGAAGTTGGCAGTTGGGGATGGGAAGTTGGAGTTGGATGTCGTGCCGGTTTGTGGGGATTGCGAGGAGGGGAATGAGGGAGTTGGGAGAGAGATTGATAGGAGGGATGGGGGGCTGGGGAAGGCAAGGCGGGAGCGTCTCATAGAGCCAAAGCATGGCTCTGTTTCAAACGAGACGCTCTCTGGAGTAGCTCAGACACAGGTGGAAGTTGAGGCAGAGTCTCGCGCAAAAACTGGTGCAGCGGCAGAATCAATCAGCTATAACGGGGAACATGAATCTCCAGCTTTGCCGCCACCAGTTTATATCACAATCACAGATCCCATAAACGGACCATCTTTTAAGCCAGGCCCCACGAAACCGATCCCACGATGGATGAAACAGCTGCCCAATGGAAGGGAGCGCGAGCAAGTTCATCTTCCGGCAACTACATCATCCGCCGCCGCAGAATCCAAGGTTGATATAGTACCCATTGAAAATGCCAGAGACTTGCTCGTTCCATCTCTGCAACTGTCAGCACCCGAAGAGCAAAGGCTACCGTCAAAAATAACACATGCCTTCACTGCAGCTACCGTTGTCCCAGAGGCTATTCTCGCATATAATGACCGCCGCATGACAATGAGCACTCCGCCAAAGATGCATCACCAGCGTCCGGAATATGGCGCAAGACCCGGCACGCCGCTCTACACTGGTGGAGAAATGGGCGTGGAGTACTTGAGGAGGTGTCACCTGCGAGCCATGGAGAAAGCGAAAGGGTGATGACGGGCAACATTGCCCTGGAGAGAGTCAGAGAACTTGGGTCTGTGAAGCAGATTGTGAGCCGCGTGAAAAGCATCCAGATGGAAGTGGTGAGCGAAGAGGGGGGTGAAGGCGATGAGCAACGGTGGGGGGGGAAGGAGATGCTGAGGAAAGAACTCAACGGGTTATTTAAACAAAGATAGAGCCGGGCTCGATGGGGATTGACCAAAGGCTTTTCTAGACTGAACAATAGCATCGATTCATTGATTCATTGGAGATAACAGGCGCCCACTAATTAAACGATTGGTAGCAACAAAAACAGCAAGTCCTTTTCACCCCCATCTAGAGCAATCGCCGAGAGATAGAATCTCAAAAACTATAAGCATCCGAATTCCAGCGTCGCTTTTTAAAATCTTCGATCTAGTCTACTACCGTTCTACCCCGCTCTTTCGTATCAACACGCCACGCTCCTTTTTTCATCCCTTCAAGCCGACTCCTTCAACACCTTCTCGAGCTCCTTTGCGACGGCATCTCCGACCTCGGTGGTGCTGTTCGAGCCACCAATGTCCTTCGTGCGGACGCCGGCGTCGATGGTGCGGCGGACGGCCTCCTCGATGGCGCGCGCCTCGGCGGGGAGGTTGAGGGAGTAGAGGAGCATGAGGGCGACGGAGAGGATCGTGCCGATTGGGTTTACGATGCCCTTTCCAGAGATGTCGGGTGCGGACCCTGGGGGTGGATGTTAGTTCCTACTTCTCGGGGTCCACGATAAAACAAAATGGGGTGCAGGGGTGCATACCGTGAATAGGCTCGTAGATACCATTGCAGCGCGAGCCATCTGGGATACCGCTCAACGACGCAGAAGGGAGAAGACCGATGGAACCGGGAATAACGGACGCCTCGTCGGAGATGATGTCACCGAAGAGGTTGCTGGTGACGACGATACCGTTGAGCGCGCGCGGGTTCTTAACCATCAACATAGCTGCCGAGTCGATGAGGTGGTGTCCGAGCTTGAGCTGCGGGAACTCCTTCTCCATCACCTCCGTCACAACCTTACGCCACAACCGCGACGAGGCGAGAACATTCGCCTTGTCGAGCGACCACACCGGCAAGGGGGGGTTGGACTGCATAGCCAAGTGTCCCGCGAGGCGGGTAACACGCTCAACCTCCGCGCGAGAGTAGAGTTCAGTATCCCACGCAACTCCATCACCAGTATCCTCCTTCCTCTCCCCAAAGTAGAGACCACCCGTCAGCTCACGGATGATGTTGAAGTCGGTGCCACGGCAGACCTCAGCCTTGAGAGGGGAGATCTCGACGAGCGAGTCGGAGGCGAAGTTGCAGGGGCGAAGGTTGCCGTAGGTTTGCATCTCCTTGCGGAGTTGGAGGATACCTTGCTCGGGGCGGACGGTTCCGGTGCCCCATTTGGGACCGCCGATGGCGCCGAGGAGGACGGCGTCGGCGGCTTTGGCGGCGGAGAGGGCTTCGGCTGTGAGGGCGGTGCCGTGGGCGTCGATGGAGCACTAGGGGAGGGGGTTAGTGGGTGTCTGAAAGGGAGTGTGGTGGGGAAGGGGGTGGGATTCTTACGCCGCCGAGGAGGTGCTCCTGGAAGTTGAAGTGGCCGACGCTTGGGCGAACTGCCTCAACTACCTTGAGGATCTGTGGGGATTCAGTTAGAATGTATTCGTGTGAGATTGAGCTTCGTCGGTGTTCACCTTAATTCCTTCGGCGACAACCTATAAATATCAGCATTACACCTCACAAGCGGGGTCATGCCCTGTCGGCCTGCCGAAAACTCACATCTGGACCACAGTGGTCACCTCCGAAAACGACGATATTGTGCGTAGCCATTGTGATTATAGGGAGACTGTGGGAGAGAAAAACGAAAGTGCTGGAGCTGTTGAACGGGGATGCGGGCGTGGTTTTGTTAAGGAGGGGTCATAATTCACATATCCGAAATCCCACGCGCTTTCGCTGCTGTGCTTCGCTTCCCCGCGCTCCGGTGTCGGATCGGGGAAAGCTTGACTCGGCACTAGTGGCTGAGATGGCTTAGTGCCATCTCGGGACGGGAAGGCTCGGTACATAAGCTCCGAAGAACGGTCATTTGGGTCACGTGCAAGGAATATTTGGGAGGGAGGATATGTTGTGGTCTTTAAATAGACAATATATGGTTATATGGTATTGATAATGGCCTGTTGTGATATTGAACTGTTGGAACCCCCCTTACTTTTTTGTTCTATTGCACGGGAGGCAAGGTGACATTTTGGAAATGTGACCGTCATAAATATTTTGCCCGTTGCCGTAATAAAAAGCCGAATTTTGTGAATTGTCCGGCGAATAGACCGTTTTGGGCCCATCTGGGCAGTCCCAACAATCATCTGATGTTTAAACACCCCAGGTGTCTGTGCAGTACGAAAGGAGGAACAATGAATCCTCTTTGAGACTCTGGAGAAATCGAGGCAAAACGGCGAAACAGCAACTTGCAACGTCGTCTGGACTTTTCTGTGCCGTGGATGATCCCGCCGGTGATCCATAGAGGTCTAACTAAGAGTCTTAGTTACTGGAACTGGTTACTTTACTCCACAAAGTTCGTGACCCGCAACGCAAAATCTTTACTCGGAGAGGGGTTACAGTCCCAGTAGGAGGTTTTAGGTATGAGGTTTTACACAGTAGTAACTCATTGTGGAAAAGAGACGATTCCCTCTTGAGGATACTGTGCAGTACTTTCCCCAAGTCATATGTTCCATGACCCCAATCCAGCTCCATCTTGCATCCTTGGTGGAGTTCATCTTACCAGACGTGCAGCACACCATGTGGGCCTAACGACGCAGGTACGAGAAAATCAACGAGCAGCCTGAGACTTGCAACGGCAACGGCGGCTCTGAATAAGAAACAGTTCGGTGTTCGGTCTAATACTGGCACTGCGTATGGTACATAATTGTATTATTGCGACAAGAGCAGGGCAAGACATTTAAACTGACGGCTGTCTTACAGATTATATAGTATTTGTCGATTGTTTAACTAGCAAAAAGCGACCACAGCATCGCAGGTGACAAGAGAGTTGACAATGCAGCGGTACGACATTTCGGCACAGCAGATCAGCGCTCTGTTATGCGTCGTCAGACTGGACTCCAGTCCCAATCCCAGTCCTAGTCACTGGAGGCAATTAGTCGGGGAAGCCGTCCCCACCCCATCTTATGCATGTCAAGAGTGATCGTGTAGGGCTGTTGCATCATCACTAACCAACGAGGTAGATGAGGCGCAGGATCAACAGCGAACGGCGACGATCAACCTTTTCTATTTCGATGCTCCACGCCCTCATACGACTCGTTCTCGAACTGGTTTTCTGGTTAGAGCAACAGCGTCGTAGTTTCGGAGTTAAATGGAAGATAAAAATACGGATGGGCATAAAAGTGGGAAGCTACCGTCTAGCCCATGCTATGCAGCTCAACCAGACCGTACCACTTTTGCCCAGTTAGTCGCTCCGGCTAGGCTGGTGGCTTGGCTAGAGCGATGACTTGGTCCTATCAACCCAGTCTGTCATCGCTCGCCAATCCCAAGATAATCATCATTTCAGGCACACAACCACACTTTGGCCTGGCCTGTCCTGGCTTGTCCTGTCTTATCTATAGGACCTGTCCGTTATACACCCTATACCCTATATTCAACCTGCTAACCCTCGGGCCCGACCACAACTCCCCAGATGTTCTCCTGGCATCGAGGCTTGCTAGTTTTATCGCCGGCTTCCTGAACTTCCTGACCTTCCTGACCTTTCTAATCTCCCAAGTGACGCATGTCTCTAACCGCACGGCAAACCGATAATAATCTAGGAACTTACGGAGTAGCGTGCCCACTTGCTTCCACAACTCCGTGCACCCCAGCAGGCATCCGCTCCACTTTCTCCATCGGCCAAGGATTACGGACTTATTGTACACATGAGCTTACTTGCAGCTGCTGAGCACCTCGACGCCATTTGTTGGATATCTTCAGCCCGGACGTCCTCTTCCTGTGCCTGCCTTGAATTGTTCATTTGTGTCGAGGAGTATCACCGCAATTGAACGAGCTTTGGTCATCGAGGAGACTCTGTTGCTGCTGAGTATCTGGGTGCATAATTTGTATGGCTTATAGTTCCAATCCCACCTCTGTCCCTACTCGTGCCTAGGCTAACCATGAGACTATCCACAGCACGGCACTTTCTCCAATTCTCTCCGTCCCACTCCCAGCCGGCGATGCTGCCTACGAACCGAGTTGCCATATAAAACCGAACCTCTCTTGCTGTATCAACAGTCAAGTTGCTGCCACAGCTCACACTGCTCGACCTCTTTATATACTTGGTCCTCGAGGCATAATTCTGGGCAGTGTGAAGCGTTGTCAGGGCGGGGTGCACTGTGTATGTGGAGACAAGAAGAGGTTTAGCCTGTACCGCTCTATATGGTCAGCAGTAGACCACTGCTATGAATTGGGAACCACAAACACAGAGGTTGGTGGCTCTGACGCTCATGGGACCCCGAGAGAGTACTTGATTGCTAACCAAGAATAGCTTTGGCGACCCGAATGCCCAGACCCCGACCCCTCAACAGACCCCGACTTCAGCTGCCTTTCGAGAGAGTGCTTTGGGAACACCGCAGGGAAATATAAACGCATTCGACACCCAGTCTGGTTGGACACCAACATTTGCCGAAGACTATACTGTCTTCAATGCAACTCCTGGCCGCCTCACAAATACACAAAGCACATTTGAGCCTTTTTCACCTGGTAACCTCAGACTGGGGTCCTCAGCTCACGAGGGAGGGTTTGAGAATTCAGACACGAAGACGCCAAACAGACCAAACCAGCGTCTCCGCGAACCACTTAGTGGTCAGACGGCAACGCCACCGCGGTCTACTGTCAAAGACTTGAAGAAGGAGAGACGTAGGATAGAGGAGTTAAATATGCAACATGATGAAGGGTCCTTTCTTCAATCGGGGATTATGGGCCAGGATGACTTTCTCGACTTTACTCAATCCTCAGGGGATATGTTTTCTTATCCCATGACTGCCCCTGTACCAGTTCCTGCGTACCTGAACGACGACAAGTCGTTCTGGGACCCTGATAGTAGCATGGCAGATGTCTCTATGGACTTTATGGCCGAAGAGTCTTCATTCTATGGAACATCGCAACGAGTAGGCTCTACAGAAGACTGGTCTCAAAGTCATCAAGCGTCCCAAGACTCCCTGGGCACTGCTCCTCTTCAACAACACGGATCACAACCACTTAGGCGGCACCGGCCATTAATGGCCAAACCCCCCGCCCCAAGCAGCGCAGCCCAGAGCTTGTCTAATACTGCCTTCGATTTCAGCATATCGTCCATGCCACAAGACCCCTTTGGGGGCGATGCTTCCAGTGGTGTTAATCCAGGTCTTATTTTCAGCTATCCAGAAGTAACATCACCACTTCACATCGACCAGAGCAATAGCAGACCTGTCCCTCAACGGTCACGGTCGGCTGCCGGACTGACTATGCAAGAACCATATGAACACCAGTACCGAGCGTCTCTACGAGAAAAACCAGAACCACGGAGATCGCGATCTTTGAAGGAAAACATACCAGATCTGTCACATGGCGTGGCTCGCTTTGGCTCTCCTGTAGAAGGAAACCGCCCCGGTCCTCGTCGCTCTTCTAGTGATAGTCGTCCGAAGAAGCGTGTGACTTCTCACGAGAACCAGCCACCACCGAATTTTGCAGGAAAGGGTGTGTATAGTTCTGGCAGACAGTCACCCACAAAACAAGCCAGCCGAATGAACCTTGCATCTATACCGGAAGCAGCTGGGCTCAACCCGCGGACTGCTGTGACTTTCAGTATTGACGCAAATGGCCGAGCACGGACCGAAACAACTATAGTGGTAGATGATAGCAGGTCTTCTCGAAGAATAAATTCACGGGCCTCGAGTGATGGCTGGGAGTCCCCTCAATCCGGCTCATCAACAGATGAAGATCCCATCATGATACCGAGCAGGAACGCCTCTTTCAGCATTCCTAACAAGCGGAGTATGCCCAAGATGGCCCACTTCGACACATCGAGACAGAGTCGGTCGCGAAAGTCAGGATCTGCCAATTCGTCCTCGCATGGAGACCCGGATAGTGACTCCGAGACGGTAATAGACGGCGGGAAATCTGGAGATGCCGCCAGTGCTCTCCGAAAAGCCATGGGAAGCCGCCGGAGAAGCGTTAGCAACATGGCAGGCACACAACTACATGCAGCATCCCGCGCCTCGACACGTCAGGTTTTGGGTTCACAAGGCCAGTATCAGCGCCAATCATATGCTTACCAGCCATCGTCATCGAATGCTTCACCAACAACCATCAGTGATCCAGATGGAGAGACCCCTTCCACAGACCTCGGAAGTACCGGGAGCGATACCACTAGATGTGTGTGCAGCAGTCGCGATGGCGATGAATATATGATCCAATGGTAAGGTGCTAATCTGACATAACCCAAACTGCGTAACTAACTCCTCCGCAGCGAGTCTTGCGAGAAATGGCTCCACTGCAACTGTGTCAATGTTCACCCACAGCGCCTCCCCAAGGTCTATATTTGTGCTTTCTGTGTGCAGACTCCCAACATGCGTGGTCCCCGTGTTCAAGGCGCCGTTAGGGCTAGTACTAAGTCGGCTGCCTCGCCGCTTGCGCATAAATCGTTTGAATCTTGGCGGTGATTTCGATCTTCTCTATTGCGAGCGAAGTAGCATGCAAAGCATATGTGTGTGCTAAGATGTATTTCTTTTGTCAGCGTACGATACCCTTCCCACGACTTTATTTATTATTCTTGTAGAAAGCATAGCAAAGCATTGTTTATTTTAGCATCATGGCTGGAACGAAGAATTTATACGAGTATTTAGGCGGCTTTTTGGACTTTTTGGAGGAGAGAATGAATATAGCGAGATATCATGAGGAAGGACAATGTCATCTACATCTAGGAATAGGATAGACATATGAAATATATAAATAAGACTAGATTTATACCAGGGTTCGAGTTATTACGCTATTGCTTTGAGTGTTTCAATAGGACGGCCTTCCAACGTCATAAAGAAAGCAAAATACACATCATTTTGCGGACGAAGATAATCTGAATCTGACGGAAAATAATATTTAATCCTGAACTTGCCGGTGGTATATGCCCCTCTCAATTTAGTCTACTCCCATTCAAGAAGAATAGTATCCCACATAGCACCCTTCCACTTCTCAGTAGTCGTAGTGGTAAACTTGATCGAGTTGGAACATTTCTTGGGCGTGCCCGGCTTAATAGTATACTCCAGAAAACGCCAAACCCCTGCCACAGTAGAAGAGCGATATAGGGCACTATCGGATGCCATGCTCCGGATATGCCCAATCACAACACCATTAGCCATGATATCCATATAGCATCTAGCAGCATAGGCCGCAAGGGATACAGTGAGGCGAGCACTGGCACCCACCACCGGTTCGTTATTCAGTTTAAAGTTGATAGCCCACGCCCCGTTGTTGCTAAGGACATAGTGCCAGTATTCTGCCTTAGAGCTGCCGATGGTGTACGTTAAATCCGCAGGTGCATCATCGGTGAGGGCATGGCCGTACGGACCACAACCACCAGCGAACTCGCAGGGCAGACGATCGAGGGTTCCAATCTGCCATATCTTTGTACGATTCTGGACCTCCCACGTGTAAGTTCCAAGGTCTATTTTGTCTTTCTTGGTAATCGCAATATCGAAATGGGTGAAGTTGGTAGTGATATCACCCAGAGACGATCCCTCGCCTGGCCAGGCGAATAGCCCGTATTCACCTGTTCGTACGTTGTCGAAAGTGAAATACCCCTTCGAGTCGGTGGTGGTGCGGTAGTGGTACCCTGCGTACTGGTTGAGAGTGAATTCATCATCATTGTTATCCCCTAGAAACACACTGAGTGTGTCACCAGCGCGACTATCAGAGGTGATAATTCGACCGGTGACAGACCCAGCACGGCTCTGATACTCCGCAGAGATATCAGCATTGGGAAACGCGTACGGCCACGCGGAAATCTCCTTCTCAGTTCTGGACTCCGCATCGGACAGGCTTCCGTCGTTGAGATACCAGAGCCATGGTTCTGTCAACACCTAACTGGTAATGACCACCGCCGATCATGTTCAGCAGCGCAGTATCGCCAGTCTGGGCTTCCATGTGGACAGTTAGTTCCTGCTTTAGTTGGTCGCCATTGAGGTATTCCTGGGAAGGTTGGATGAACCAGCACCCGACGTCGTCGCCGTAGACGCCCCAGAGCTTTGCTTCGGGGATGTTTATATGGGTTGCCCAGTCATACTTGCTTACGTATGTCCCGTCCGAGAACTGAACGGTTGAGTCCTGGACTTCGGTGCCGGAGTAATAGAGGTCCCAGGTGGGAAGTTTGCCGTCCTTACGGTAGGTATGCCCACTGTGAAAGTCTCGTTGCTGAGCCGGTGGATGACGCGCAAATCGTTCATGCCTCAAGGGAGGCCCACGTTGCTCCAGTACTGGTATGCGCCGGCGAAGCCACGGTGAATGACCCAATGGAAGCGGGCAATGTCGTTGGTAAACTGGACATCTATCCAGTCGTTTCCAGCGTCTACAATCTCTGGGGCGAGCCAAGGGAATCCGTTGTTGTTTACGTAGGAGAGATAGAAGCCGGTGGCATCGTCGACTATGTCTTTGCCGTTATAATAAATTGGGCGGGCATAACTTCCTGACAATGTGGCGTCCCAGACTGAGTTGCCGATGATACAGGTTTTGTCGTTGACGATTTTGTGGAATGGAGCATCCGAGCCAGTTGGGAGATCGATTGAAAAAACCGGCACGGCACCCAAGAGGGCAATCAGCATGGAAGAAGCTCTCATGGTTGTTGGATTTCCTCAGTCTGTTGAGAGCAGGAGTTGTGCTGCTGAGGGACTTAATAGCAGCCCTTGATACCCGTTCTTATACTCCATCTTTGTCACCCACGCCAGTTCTCACTTTTCATGTCTTACGATCATCGTTTTGCAAAAAAGCGCCTTTGCCGATGCTGTTCCCCCATATTCTTCGACCTGCGACATACTTTACATGGAATCAACGGCGCGACCATCTTCCCCGCAAAATTACCCCTGGGGACCGCGTGCTATTCCCCGCAAAATGGTCCCTTAGACCGGCATGTTTGCAATGCCATATGACTGCCGCTCTGGAAATCGGAGAATTTGTAGAGACGGCCGAAGATATACCGACTGCATTGTTGACCAGAAGGAGGCACGTGCTCTTAATGGGCCTATATGGAGAAATAGATTCAATTAACCGTCGGGAAATAGGCAACCCTGGTATTCTCGAGTGTTCACAAGCTAGGGCGAGATATGGTTAGTTGAAAGTCGAGGGTTTGTATCATATGACTGGATCAGTGGGAAAAGATATGGAGAGAGGGAATGGATGGACTTGCGATTGTGTCGAGGAGAGCTCACTCCAAGGAGTTTACTTCTAGTCAACTAAGGGGTTACTTGTCACATACGACCATAGACTCACGAGAATTGGGCATCCCGTCCGCTATGCCATACACAAGCTTGTAATTCATGGCTTAATACTCTCAACCATGCCAGTAGGCACAGCTTAGAATCTAAATCCCTTGGTGCCTCGAGGGTAAAATTCCAGCCTCTTGCGAGATGGTTTTGGTCACGTGGCGGCAGCGATCCGATTGGAGGCCAGTACTGCAAGACGGTCCCACATTCTTCCCCATTCCCCGCAACCGTACTCCCTGTTGTTGCACAAACTGTAACAACAGGGAGTACGGTCCCCGACTTCAAATATTGTGGGGAAGCTTTCGCCTTCTGACCGTTTGATCTGTTTTGAGTATTTGCCAATAGTACCATAGACGATACAGGATGAACTCGGCTATTAGCCTTTACAGATTATTCCCAAGGACAGCGTTTAATAAAACCAATAATGCCAGTATCGCTGAGGACAACGGTGTTGAGAAGTACTGCTGGTTCCTCACTTGACAGCCAAACCAACGGAGATGGACGGGGGCGTGCCGGCGGGAATCGAACTAAAGAAAAGAGGTGCCAATACTGCAGAAGATCCTTCAAGAAGACAGAGCATCTTTTACGACATGAGCGAAGCCATACGAAGGAGAAGCCATTTCGTTGCGAATTGTGCAGTAAGGGCTACAGCAGACAGTACTCCCTCCACCAAGATCTGTACGGTGGCACCTGGCTAATTATCGTAGTGACACCTTACTTCGACATTCCAAAACCCACGGCCTTGAGATTTCACATCCCCAAGCAGGCATTACTCTATCGCAGATGAATCACAGTAACCGAGTATCTTCTAAGGACCCAGACAGCGGCCAGGGCGCAGCACACTACGCGACCGAACGGCTGCAGTCTAACCTTGACCCACAGCTTGATAGTATTCATGGTAGCCAGTTTGAAATGCCAGATGCAGTATACCCATCTGCTATTTCAGGCAACACCATACATACCTTGAGCACAGAAACCCCAATAGGGGTAGACGGCCAAGCACAGTTTACAGGAGAGCCATTCTCTACACTGGCAGGAGGCCTAGACGAAGTTTCGCCATTAGCTGCAAATAACCTCTGGGGTTCATCACTTATGTCTATAGGCCCAGCTTGGCTCACAGACTATGACTTCGATCTCGAAGCATTAAACACGTCTGTCTCGGCTGCTGTGGAAACTGCTGAGCCATTGTTTCAGTCTCACATGAACCGAAATTTGGCGCAACAAATGCCACCTTCTGAAATCACTCATGATAGTGAAGTCCGTAGGAGCATGAGGTTAGCTAACGACAACATTCATCGGGGATGGTTCTCTCATATTGATCGGCTCAACGACGAGGACGATAATAGCGGGTTAACCACAGGACAACTGACACCTGCTATTACTGGGGATCAATATGATATAGGTGATAGCTTTCATCACAGGGTCTACCAACGTCTTAAGGCACGGTCCATTGAGGAGCCTCTGCCATCCACCCAGTTTCTAGTAAGCTCTACTTGCTATGCTAACGAATTAGAGGGAGGAAATTGACACTAAATACAGAACCTATCCGTTCAGATTTACTTTACTAAATTTAATACCATTTTCCCTCTTATTCACGGTCAGACATTCCGCCCGACGCCAAAGAATTCTCTACTTGTGCTGTCAATCACATCCATAGGTAGCCTGATTCTCGGATCAAAAGCAGCAGCGGCTCAAGGAATTAGAATATTTGAAAGACTCAACAAGGCTATTTTGGGATCCGTGCGTATATGCGAGCTTACAGAATAACAAGCGTGATGCTAATCGTACCTTGCAGTGGGAAAAAATAATATCTTCCGACTCAACTGAAGCCGTATGCATGGTACAAGCAGCCATAGTTGGGCAGACATTCGCACTATTATCTGGGGTATGCTTGACCTCTTTGACCCTGAGCCGTTTCTGACAACAGATTCTCCTACAGATTCCACAGCATCTTGCTATTGTTGAGGCCCTTCACGGCTCAGTTATTACTGTACGTCTATTATTCACTTTCATAGATTTGAACGCTAACTATGCTATTATTAGTGGGCGCGAAGATGCCACATGTTCAACTATAGAATAAACCAACCCCAGGTCGAAAATCTTAGTGGCGCATCTTTAGATGAAGCATGGAAAGCTTGGGCTAGATCGGAGGAGATTGTAAGGTATGTAGGGGCCACGAACCCGTTATGACTCCCTTCATATTCTAACGACTCTCAGAGCAGTCCTAGGGTTATATATACATGATGCTAAGCTAGCTTGCATGTTTCATCATGAACCACTTCTTCGTCACAACTCAATCATGATGTCAGTGGCTGCTGACGACGACCTCTTTAATGCGCCAAGCGCAACCATTTGGAAGCGAAAGATGCTTCAGTCCGCATCCCGGTTAGCAGTACGCGATTGCCTACATATGAATCTCGACCACCATGGGACTCAACCAGTGCCACAAGAGCTGAGCTGGAAAAACAGCCACTTTACAGCATATGTAATACTTTATGGCATCTCTGCAACAATCAACGAGCAGCAACAGATGAATCAACTACATCCTGATTCTGCCAATTTTACCAAATGCTTTGATGCCCTCATATGCTGGTATCAAACTTTTGCACAAGATGCCCACCTTTCCGAATCCAAAGAAGTCTCACGTCCAGACACACTCTGCCTTATGATACTTTGGCACAGTGTATTTATGTGTCTACTAACTAACTTTGACCTTCTCGAACGGGCCATTGGCCGCAACGGCGCTGATAGCGCTACTTTGGATACAGACATGGCATATGCTACCAAGTGGGCAACATCTAGGGAGGCTCAACGTTGCATGCTCCACGTACACGCGCTGCTGAACTCTCTTGGTGCCATGCGGCTTGACGCAGAGGCTGCAATCCACGTCCCGCACTGCCTGTTTCTAGCAGGAATAGTCAGTTATTGCTTCACGCGCTTCCGTCGGCCCAATCCTGCGCTGCAATCCCCAGCTCACACACGTTTGTCTCGTCCTGAAACTCGTAGCCCTGCGTTACAGCCAGTTGTTGAGTTTCCTGAGTTCGAAGTACGAGGAGTGCCAATACCGCAGCATATCTTCGGCCCTCCTTCTGTCAACTCGAACGATCATGCCTCGCCCTTGACACCTGATGGTACGAGCAATTCTTTCAACATTCAAGGAGATCAGACAACGCGATTCAGGGCCACATCAGGTGCAGGTGCAGCTATGATGTGTACCTTAATTGACATGCTCCAAAGAGTCGGCCATTGGGGTATTGCACGAACATACGCTGCGACGTTATCGACACTCGTGTGTGTAGACAGCGATGAGGACTGGAAGTTTATCTTGAGTGGTTACTAACAAGGAGGTTTCCACTAGCAAACACCATATATAATGTATAGAAGTAGGCCGGTAACTGAGCTTAAGAGGGAAAAGTGTCCACAGAAAGAGAACAATATACCTCAACCATGAAACCTGTGGTATCTAAGGGGTAGTCGAAGATCCGTGGCTCTAGAATGTCTCCCATATTCTAAACTTAGGCATCTGTAGCGCCTCATTTGGTTGTGCTAGATATTTGTGTTGCTCTGTTCTAGCTTTGAGTCGGTTTCAGTAGACAGCCATGTAGTTGATTATGGGGGACTTACCCTTTTAAATCTGCTTAACTCTATACCACATACGAACTGCTGAGTAACTTATCTCGAGCTCCCTCCGCCATGTACAAGTATGATTTCGCACCATATTGTCTGAACCACGTTGCATGCTCGGTCCCTCTCAGACCGTCCCCCAAGAACTTCTGTATCTCGGTGGAGTCTGTCAGTTAATATGGCATATGCGAAAGCCGGGTTAGCTCGATCAGTTTGCTCTCGCTGATACTGTCCTGTGATTTCTAGTCGCTCTTGGCCACGGCTTCACTCGCCGGAAGCGAATATCTTTCTCACCTTTATTAGTGGGAAAGCCTTTGAGAGACGGATGAGCGTCTCCTGCCGGCAAGTCATCTTTGCTTAAGTGACGGCAGTGAGAAAGTGAGTTGGGGGGATAAAAGAGCGTAGAAGCTGGCTGCTTCTTGAAGACTTTCTGTGGCTGTGGCAATATGATATAGTAGAGCGTATTTAGCAATTATTATTATTCAAGAACGAGTAAAGTAGATTGAATCAGTATCTAAAACACTCGGGGTGCATCTAGATAGATAGGACCAGGAGTTCGCAGACCAGGAAGAGCTCAGCTCATCTACAGGGTTGGGTGACATATGGAATTAGTCTAGAGCTCAGCAGAATATGGTGGACAACGGGGGACCATGGGACTAGACCGTGGGACTGCGGGGAAGTGGGAAAACGAGGGACAATTGTTTAATGACGAAGGCTAGTCTAGATATGGGTTTACCCCTCACGAGATACTTCCTGGGAACAAATTTTAGCCATTGTGTTCCATCCATGAGTAGCTTATCTACGCAGAGAGTTCTGAGGTATTACGGAGAGGGTCATATTGCGTAGCATCCTGAGTAAGCCCAGTTACCTTGATTTTTTACGCTGTACAGATATATTTTTTGGACAAGGAAGTGTGGAACGAGGAACGAATGAAGTATGTGGGACAACGAATAGGTCCCACAAACTAGGTGCGGGTGCGACGTGCGTTCCCTTGGATGGAACCTACCACGGGACGGACGACCATCTCTGGCAAGGTCAGATTAAATTCGTTTACTAGCTGCATCTCCCTCTGGTATGTGTTTCTCGGCGTTGCAGTGTCGACCTAGAGTCTCCTTGAGTCAGGCCAAATCGTGTTGCGCCACCCGCAGGACGGAAGAGGATGGTTTTCCTCTGTCCTATGAGCCCGATAAAAGTATGTCACTGAGGCCCTCCTATATGCTATACGAAAAGATGTTAAAAGCAAGGATTCCCAGTCCATAGGTCTTATGTTTCGTGCAAGGCTAGTATCCGAACAAAAATCACCATCTTCCCACGTGCCACTCTCATATCTCTATAGCAAAGACACACACCTTTCTATTCTATTCTCCCTTCTCCGTTCTCATACCTTTATCATCATTATTATACTTTACAAATATGAGTTCAGATGAGTTCCTGGAAATACTGCCGGGGACAGAGGTGATGAAAGATCACGATGGCATCCATTTCATTCATGACCGGAACTCCACACAAGGCCTTATTTTGCTTCCAACTCCGTCCGAGCATGCCCATGACCCGCTGGTAAACTTAAAATAATTCCGTAGCTAACCTAGGCAACTTCGCTAACTTCCAAAAGAACTGGAGCAGACTCTGGAAATTGGGTGCAATCGCCAATCAAGGAATATTTGTGATTATCAGCGTCGTGACGAATCTCTCGATTGCCCCTTTAACGCCAATCTATATGAGCGAGTGGAACAAGTCAGTGTCACAGGTAGCGCTTCTGGTACGTTTGACATTTCTCCTCAATATTTATATTCACAGCTAACCTGGGTTTTTCAGACTGGAGCATGTATCATCGCCCTTGGATATGCAAATTTCATCATTGTCCCTGCCTCAGATATCTTTGGGCGTCGAATAACTACCCTTAGTTGCGGCATTATATGCATTGCAGCTAACATATGGTCGGCAACCGCAACATCATATCAGTCATTTCTTGGTGCTCGTATACTTGGTGGACTTGGTGCGGCTGCTAATGAGAGCATTATGACTATGGTCGTGGCAGATATTTTTTTCCTCCATGAACGTGGTTCATACATTGGACTATACTTGTAAGCAACTTACATCGACTGAAATAATCGATTACTAACGCGCTAAAGTTGGTGCTATTTCATGGGGCTCTTTGTTGGACCGATCATTTCCGGCAATATTGCTGCTCACGTCTCCTGGAGATGGTTCTTCTGGGCTTGTACAATAGCTCAATTTCTCAATGTCATTGTTATGGCGGCGCTCTTTCCGGAATCACGCCGGCCACATGAGATGCAGATTTTGCAGATAGCTCCCGCCCAGTCTTCGGAAGGGTTAACTGAGGAAGAGAAGGGACTATCAAGTCAGGTTGAAGCTACTAATGAGACCATCCTAGCGGACAAATACCTCGGCCGCGGAAAGCCCAACAGGAGTCAATTCAGCCCTTTCCAACCTATTGATCATCAGGCGGCAAAAGCTATATTTCGACATATCGTAACGCCTGTTCAGATTTTCTTCTTTCCTATTGTCCTGTGGGCAGCAATGTCCATGGGCGCAGCCGCCAATGCGTTGCTCGCAGTTAACCTAACACAATCGCAAGGTCTTTCAGCGCCTCCGTACAACTGGTCTCCGGGGAGTGTAGGATTCGCCAACTTTGCACTTGTCGGCGGAGGTGTTATAGGTCTGGCCATTGCTGGTCCATGGTCGGACTTAGTAATCATGCGGGCAACGAAGAAGAACAACGGAATTAGAGAACCAGAAATGAGACTGGCAGCGTTGTATCCGTTTATTGCAGCAGCGCTAGTCGGCTTGGTTGTGAGTTTACCTAGATCTACCTATAACCTGTATACTACTTACTGTACTAGATTATTGGAGTTGGATACGATCGACATTGGCCCTGGCAAGTTATTGTGGTGCTAGGTTTTGGTCTCGTTGGCGTCCAAGTTGTCAGCATCCCGACGATTGCAATTACTTATGCAATTGATTGCTATAAACCTATCGCTGGCCAGATCATGGCTATATCGACCGTCTGTAAGAATACTTTTGGGGTAAGACATCTGACTTCCTGTGATGAAGTATTGTCTAACATAACACAGTTCGGAATGACCTATTACTACAACGACTGGGTAGTAACTTCTGGATTCACACCGCCACTCATGATGATTATGGCCTTGACCGTAGGGTTCTCACTTGTTGGAACTATTCTATTTCCATATTTTGGCAAGAGTCTGCGCAGGTGGACTCGAGCTTCGAAGGTCCACAGCTTTTAAACATAGTCAAGCTGTATAATTGTAATTTTGGTTCCTTCTTAATGCGACTTAGATCATAGTGTCGTGCAACCAATGTTACGATGCTACGATGTAGATGCTGTGTCCCACCACCCTAGCGTCCCACCATCCTAGCCTCCTCCCATCCAACTGTCCCACCATCCTAGCGTCCCACCATCCCACCATCCATCTCACTGCCCCACCATCCCATCCGGGTGACATATCCGGTATTTGCGGGGGAGCTCCACAACGATAGAGGGGAATAGGATAAGTCGTTCGATTGCCAAAGTTTGTCGCCGTCCAGTGCAGTTGATAATCAAATTATATATCGACTATCCCTAACTGTCGTTGCGAAAGTTCAAATCGCATCATCTACAACGGTCTCCTGCCTACTTAGAGTTCTAACAGATTACCTGACGCGAATAGTAGAAGACCGCAAAATGGCCGCCGAGAAAGCCTTCACGGGAAATATGAAGGACCTAACAAGCGAGAACATCACTGAAAATGTGCAAATTATCAACTCACAATGCGACGACCGCAGGTTGAAATTCCTAATCAATCGCTTGGTCCTACATATCCATGACCTTGTTCGCGAGACACGGCTAAGCACCAAGGAGTGGATGGCAGCGATCCATTTTCTGACGGAGGTCGGCCAAATTTGCTCGGATGCGCGACAGGTAGGCGAAAGCATTAAACCTTCTTCAGTCGTTATGTGAGCAATGCTGACTTACGACATAGGAATTCGTGCTTCTCTCTGACATTCTCGGCCTGTCATTATTAGTCGATTCTGTTGACCACCCTTGCCCGCCGGGCGCCACTGATCCAACTGTGTTAGGCCCATTCCATACAGAGGAAGCACACGAGATTGGCCACGGCGAAGGCCTCAGCCATGATCCAGATGGAGAGCCATGTCTTTGCATCTGTACCGTGAAGGACCTTGACGGCAAACCTATCGAGGATGCGAAAGTCGACATCTGGGAGACAGATTCCAAGGGCTTCTACGACGTGCAATATGCAAATCGTGATGGGCCAGATGGACGCGCGGTTCTGAGGAGCGACGCAGAGGGAGTGTTCTGGTACAAGGCGATTGTGCCGGTGCCGTATCCTATTCCGCATGATGGCCCAGTCGGAAAGCTGCTGGGAAGGTTGAAGAGACATCCGTACAGGCCAAGTCATATGCATTTTATGTTTGAAAAGGACGGATTCGATCCCTTAGTTACGTAAGTCTATATTGCTGATACTTTCTCCTCTCTCCCTTCACTTAACAGAAAAGCTGACTGATCAGCGCCCTCTATCTTAAAAACGACCCATATATCGACTCGGACGCTGTTTTTGGCGTCAAGGAATCGCTGGTTATCGAACTAGAAGAGGTTACGGACGAGAAGATGGAAGAGCAGTATGGAGTCAAGATTGGCACCAAACTCCTCAGGTATAACTTTGTGCTGGTTACGAATGAGGTGGCTATGGAGCTAAGGTTAGAGAAGGCCGAAGATGCGATGAAGGCACAAGCTATTGATGTCTTGTTCATCGACGGCCTGCCCGTACCTGCTTTAGATTAGGGGAAAGGGGATTTATAAAAGAATTGACACAGTTGCATATGCAGTATTGCAATATTATATTTATTATTTAACTCAGTAACTTAAATTTTAAATATAAAAGATAGAAAAATATACCCCTAGGTGACGCGCGTTCCATCGACACAGTGGTACACATTCCGATTTTATATTGCGACCTCTGGTTGAAATGCGGACAAGTTTCTTTCATTCTATATGTATATCTGTAGCCTTTTTTATTTATTTCGGGATAGAGTGCTATGGTGTGACACCACTAATTTGTCACTTTTTCTATAGTGTTGGTTGTTGGAGCTAGGTTTGGTTGTGCATACGGACTTTGGATCATACTATCAAAACGTTACTTACATCCTTCACCTTTCTTCCGTTCCTTTCTGTTGCAGCCGCTTTCCAGCACGCACATGCCGACACGCGATCTAGGGTGACAGGTTAGTTGATACTTTACATCTGGGGTATAGAACCTTCATGACCTTATTGCTTTTCAAAATGGTAACTCGAGTTCTGAATTTGCAGTTTTCATCATTGCATTTCAACATTATGTGATTGCTAGCAATCTTTATCATGATTTCTGATACGTATTGATTATATTGTAGCCAACATCTAAGCTCTCGAGGTACCGATAGTGTAAAAAAACTTCAAAATGGAGGGGTGGAAATGTGTGTAACATTTTTGTCATTTATTAATAATTTTTGTGTAAGTTCAGTCATTTTCGCACTCACACCCCTTAAATGCTACCATATATACAATTCGGAACAAGATCCAACGCTTCCCGCAACTCCCCCACATTTTGGCATGATGCAAACACCATCCGATCCCATCTGACAATCACATATACCACACTCGCGCCAAGATCCTTCTTGATGCGATGTGGGTCGTAGTACAGCGGTGCTGGCCTAGTCAAGTTTGTAGCGAGGGCGGCATCCGTGATCCCAGCCGCCGTATACTCTTCTGCGTCAAGGATGCGCACGCATGGCGTACTTCTGTTTAGTACCTTAAGATCCGGTGAATCTACCGGCACGCTCCCAAACTGGTTGTCGACCACGTACGTGGTTTCTGCGGTGTTCAGAATAGTGCCATTTTCAATCTGACGCGAGACGCTTTTGATGTTGCCCACTGCGAGAGGAAGCTGGTCAGGTGAATCGAGTAGAGCCACTATTTGGAAACAGCCTTTCTTTTCAGATCTGAATATGGCGTCATCGGTAAACATTGGAGTGGACGGCGCGGGCCCGTCAATTGGGGCACAGAAAACTTGAGGGAACGACTTCCCACCACCGAACTGAGGCAGGAACGGCATGCCTGCAGCCCATTCGTACTTCGTCATGCCTTGGGCTCTTGGACCTTGCTCTAAGGACCTCTTCCACGAAGGCACGAGCTGGACGGCCCACAGATACAAATTTCGGAAGAGTGCTTTGATGCGGGATGGCTCGTTGCAGTAGTTTCCGTTCGCAATAGTTGCAGCCAAGGATCGCTCGAGTTGCTGCTTGCGCTCCAAGTACCAGCCTCGGAAGAGGAAATCATAGTCTTTGCAGGATGGGCTGGTAGCGACACGGAGTCGCCAAGCAAGGGATATGGCATCTCGAAATCCGGATGCGATGCCTTGTCCTCCAACTGTAGCGGTTAGAAGATAATTCGACCATGGATCATAATATTATTGCTTACAAGGTGGGAAGACGTGAGCCGCGTCACCGCAAAGAACTACACGTCCTAAAGACCAACGATTGCAGCTTCTTGCGGAGAACGTAAACGGGCGAGACCTAATGTATTCTATACAATCTTCTGGCCAAGACACATCTTTGGAAAGGCTGTTCTATAATCAGCATAGAGAAAGGTAAAATGTTGGTTACGGGCCTGCATACCCATATTTCTTGCCTGGATGCCGTAGGTAGGGTAGGATTATCTTCTTCGTCTCGTCTTGTGTTGACATCTGGTTGCCATCCTCTCCATCTTTTACGACAAATTCGAAGCGCCAAAGACGATCTTCCGCTAGTCCAAAACGACCACAAACCGCGGGCCTCGCAGGATCGCAAATAAAATTAAAATATGGAGGGAAAAATAAGTCGTATACCTGTTCCGGCGCGTAGCCTAGTTCCCAAAGAGGGAATTCCGGATGGGATTTAAGAGTTGGAAGAGTCAGGCGCCAATTCAGAGCAACCCATTCTGCCTCATAGCGGAAGCTTTCACATATCAGCTAAAATAAAATAAAAACAACCGTAGACACTTACCCGTCACTTCTCTCCATGACAACACCGCGAGGTTCGAGATACTTCTTTCTCGTGTAGCCTGTCTTTCCGTCTGCACCAACAAAAAACTTTGCGCTGACCTTTTGCGTTTGGCCGTTGCCATCCGTGTATTCGACGTGGACGAGATTCTCGTCTTCTGCAATAGCAGTGATTGTCGAATTTGGTCGAAAATCGCAGAACGTCGTGTTCATGGCGAGCCTCAAATGCTTCTCCAAGATTGGTTGTTTGTGAGACATGAATCCAACATGGCCGGTGCCCCCTGTAATCTGTCCCGATGGTCAGAACAACCTGACGAAAATGTTCGGGTAGGAGTGTCTCACAGAATTCTCATTGAACTGCAGGAATGGCTTGCACGTGAGACCGTTTCCTCCATTAATAAACCGAAATAATCCGAGAGCTTTAAATTGGGTTAGCGCTGCAAACCAGAAAACGCATCGTTCTATAGTCCGCATCGTGCTTTAGAGCCAACCTACATTGACCGACTTCTCGGAATAGCTCCTCATACTTTCCTACGCCCTGAACGCATCGAATGCCATCCTCATCCAGAACAATGCCCCTAGGATCCGACGTGATAGCAGACTCTTTCTCTAAGATAAGATGCTTCACACCCAGCCGTCCCAAATTAGCTGAGAGCAGTGCACCTGTTGGACCACATCCGCAAATGATCACCTCGAACTCTTCAGTGGCTGTGAAGGAGGGCATGTTCAGGGATCGTACTGATGGGATTGACAGGTTCTACAAGACTGTCAACTGGCGTGTTGGTAGCGCAGGCCAGATGAAGAGGAGAGAAGACCGTCAATGTTCTTGTATAATTATTCAAGATAAGGGGATAAAATGAATAGAACACCTCGAGGGCACGAATAACGGCCCCAAACTTTCTATAAGAATGATATCGGAAATAGAAACGTACGACCCGAGTCTGATAGCCTAACGAGGCCATCTTTGACTTTCAGATGCAGGTCGAGCGGCGGGGACGATATCGCGTAGAGGAGGGTCCCACGACATAGCAAACACCAGACATTAGATACCGCATAGGAGGGGCAAGTGCGGGGAATAAAATTATTAACAAGCGGGTGGTTTCGAGGGTGATAGACTTTGTAAAAGCGTCTCCACCATCATCGGTTACTTTTTGCAAAATGTAACTGCAGCGAGGGCCACAAGAGGGGCGCTTGTTAGATGGGAGAGCGAATTAAGGAGATGTACACAGTAGTGGGCCCATGATTCCGCGCCATTCTCAAACCTAAGAGTGCGTTATCCCGCCGTCCCACCAAGCTGTTATCTCCACATCCCCAACGTCCCGCGACTTCCCACCCGGTCCCGCAGTCCCAGCAAGTCTTCCGTACACTTGTATTACGGAACCTGACTCCAAGTTTCATGTGGCACCCTTTGGCTCAGACTCAAACTTTTACTCGAGATATTTAGCCCCGTACTTTCTTTTATCTTCGCCTTCTAAGAAAGGGCTTTTGATGGTAGGGATAGACTCTTCTGTCGCTAGCACGAGTGGGAGCCGTAAATAGTCATTAACGAAAAATGAAATATTCTTGTTCGTCCTGCAACGATGAGCATCACAGTCTTCATTCGGGTCTAAAATAGGGGCATTTATCTATTGTACCTATTGTACTTGCTGGACGGTTATAGCAGGATGAAAGAAAGATTAAATACCACACTGGTCACAAATTGGCTTTGGCAGGCTCACCAGCCCATGCCCTGCGTATTAGCTCCCTAATACCCTCCCTTTCAACCTTCCTCGGGTTCCAGTACGGATTAGAAACGGCGATATCGGCCGCCTTGTCTACGTCCTCTTCGTTCATCCCGAATTCCTTCAATCCACGCTTAACCTGCAGACTATCGAGTAAAGCATTCAGGCCCTTTATCGCATCTCCGTCACTATCTGGTAGTGCCCCAGCTAACTGATTCATGACTCCTTGGATTTCTGGGGCGTTGTATGCCAACGCGTGCGGCAGTACTATTGTGTGTGTCTCCGCGTGTGGAAGATTGAACGAGCCACCAAGAGTATGACAGAGCTTGTGATGGAGACTCATGCCAACAGAGCCAAGACAGAGACCGCAGAGCCAGGCGCCATATAGTGCCTTTGTTCTTGATTCAGTGTCGTTTGGTGTCCGTATAATTCGAGGGAGCGAGCAGGCAAGCGCTTTTGTGCCCTCGAGAGCAAGCAGGGTTATAATCGGGTTGCCGTTTTGGGCATACAGAGCCTCCACCGCGTGAGCAATAGCGTTGACACCGCTGGTAGCCGACATAGAAGCTGGGAGCGACATTGTGAGGTCAACGTCATAAATTACAGTCTTGGGAAGGATTTTTTGATCGCTTTTTGTCTTCTTGACTCCGTCAGCAGTTTCGCCAAGGATTGGCGTCATTTCCGAGCCTGCATATGTCGTTGGAATACAGATGTGAGGCAACCCAGTTCGGAAGCTTATTGCCTTTCCGAGGCCAATCGTGCTGCCGCCACCAATGGAGATGATACTATCAGCGGAAACTGATTTTGCATATTCAACTGCTTTTTCTGTGACGTTCGTAGGCGTGTGCATCGTCGCCTCTGTGAATATTCCCGCGATGTTGCCCTTTAGAATTTTCTTCAGCATCTCGGCCTGTGAGGCTTGTTGAGCTGTTGAGAGGAGAAGAGGCGCTTTGAGGGATTGCCGCGAGATTTCGGCGGGGAGTTCTTGGATGGTCCCTTTGCCAAATATGACATGAGCTGGCGAGGCATTGTATATGAAGTTATTAGAGAGGTCCATTTTTGTTGCTGCTGCTCGTCCTGCTATGTTGGTTGGTAGATATCTTGAAAGCATAGCAACACAATGGTTGAAGACAGAAGCCTACGAAATATTTCCATAGCCCTGTCCCTCGGGTATAATAGGGCCCTTAGGATTGTAAAGGGGCTATGTCATTATCCGAAAGGTGAGATGGCCTGCCTTCCGGAGAGGGGAAAAGGGAGGGGTCACACAAAGCCAGGCAATGCCTACTGTGGTGGATTCGTGGCAAAGCCCGTGTCGGCTATCACGTGATACAAGGATGGGACCATCACCACAGATCCCACCCTTCTATCACTAACTACCTGTTCCGCTGTTGATAAACTTTTTCTTGCCATCTAACGCGCCATCTCCCGTTTGCATCCATCTCCCGTTTGCATTGTCCAGGGGGGTACTGTGGTGCTCCTAATGACGTGAAAACAATCGCTACTAGATCTCGCAAAATATCCAGATCTAGTTAGCACCGCGAGGTTGGACAGGGTTGAAGGAGCTAGACGGCATCTTCGGGATCGTTGGCGAGCCTCGTCCAGCCTACCTCGTTGCGGCAAGATACACGAGACGAGCCTCTCGCACTCACCTCGTTATAGTAAGATACACGAGACGAGCCTCTCCTGGCCACCTCGTTGTGGTAAGATACACGAGATGTAGGTCCACGATAGACATGGAATTCTGTGTATATAAAAGAGAGCAAGTCGCCGTCGAGATAATGTTTATTCAGCACCTTCAGCGACGACAGCGAACTAACAACATAAGCCAACGTCTATTATCAGAACTCCTACACCGAACTAGAAATAGACTAGGAAACACAAGCCTTCAACCTTTTTTAAGTCTTTTTTATCACACCTTAGACATCTCTCGACTTGCTTTCAAAATGTCTTCTAACACCCCCACCACCGCCGCTGCCGCTACCACGGCCATGCCCTCAGCAGACTCAAATCCGCGGGTTGTCGTGACGGCGCACGCAGCAGACGGCACATCTATTTTCGGGGCGGATAGCGAGGTGCCGCTGTTCTATCCCTTCGGGCCCGCAATCTCGTCGTTCGCCGTTTTCGACATCCGCGGAACGGTGCCAGTCAATAACCAGGAGGCTACGGGGGAGTACGCGTCAACGATACCACGGTGCCCGCCTGGCGGCGTCATATTCTGCATCACTAACATCCCTGGCAATTTCACAGTGCCGATGCACCGGACGCTGAGCATCGACTATGCCGTAGTCCTTACCGGTGAAATTGTTATTAAGCTCGACAACGGCGATGAGAAGACAGTCCGCACCGGCGAGTACATCATCCAGGGCGGCGCCAACCACCAGTGGATCAACCGCACCGGCGAGACCTGCCGCATCGTGGTCGTCATGGTTAGTGCCGAGAAAGTCAAGTTGGCGGATGGGACGGAGCTAGAGCAGACGGTCTTGAAGAGATAATAGGGCGGTGGACGCAGATTTCTGGATATATTTTTGAGCCTATCTTCAAATTTTCAAATTGTTCAAATAGAGTGGGGGCGGTAAACAGGGTTATATGATGCTCTTGTCGCCTAGTGTAGCTTTCATCCCAGAGTAATCTCGAATCCGTTCAAATACTCCCCACGCACGTTCCTTTTGCTCTGGTGTTGTCACACATGTTCGGCCTTTAACCGTATGTATCGGCCAGAGAAGTAGATACCCGCCGATTCCGCGGCAGCGAGGCGGGCCATCCTTGACGTTATGTGCTTGACCCATGTGATTAACATCTCCGAAAGTCTGGGGAACGGTTGATAGAATTTCGTCTGCAAGCCACTGAATCGTTGAGGTACACTCAGCGATCGTATTAGCCAGCGCCTTTTCTTCCACATCATCTAGGTTCGGGGTCTCTAGCGCGGCCTTTGAGCATTTTAGAAGCTGCCCTAGGAAGATTATGCGCGCTGTTCTGTGGTAGTTCCATTCGTAGGCCATCCAGATATCAGGATGTAGTTGGAGCGTGTCCGTTATACCGCGCGCTGCTGGTTCTAGATCCGGCCTCTCGGACACTGCCAGAATCTGAAACGACCACTCTGATGTCTTCCGCCAGCTGACTGCCGTTTGATCAAGTGAGTACAGTTCCATGATCATGTCGACGATAGTGGACACCGGCAGGCCTCTAGCATTAATAAGGTCTAAGAGCATTCGTGCGCGCTTGCACGTGTCGTTGATTTGGTCCATGTTCTTCTCTAGACATACATAAGGTTCATTATCATTAAGCTGATCGAGCCAGTTTGTCGTCCCTAGAACTGGAGGCATGTTATAGGACAGCTGCTGTTTTTGCTTCACGTATGTTAGCGTAGAAAAAGAAAGGGGCGTTTGGTTGCTTACGATTCTGTGTTGGGCAAGTCGGAAAAGACTCCAGCCTCGTGAGTTGTAAACCATGTCTGGGCCTCGCAAACGGAGGATCTGCGCCATTCCTTGAGCATGTGATCCTTTAGAGGCTAATCCAGGTGTGTATAGAGTCTATGTATATGAGTGGCTGACGATTTCACGATCAATCTTGTGGACTTACCTCAAAGATGTCAAGAATAACTACGGTCATTAGATCATAATCATCTGGGACTTTTCCAGGTGTAGCAGCAAGCGAGTCTCCAAGGGCAGAAAGCGCCATGCCATAGCACTGTAATGCCTTCCTCACAAGTACGTTACTGTCCTGATCTTTCGAAATATCGGCATATGCAGCCGCCCGTATTGCCCATCGTAGAGCGTATCGGCCATTGATGTTGACCTCTTGGAACATGCACGGCAAATGCTCAAGGAACCCAGGAGAAGATGTCTGATTGCATGGGTAAATGACGTACTTGTCCATGAAATTATCAACGGCTTGGTCTTCCACACGAGCCCGCATCCCAGAAGATAGTCCTTTAAGCCAGGGATGAGGGTTCTTGAGGTTGATGCTAGCGGCCTCTCCAGGAGCCAGCGCCGAAGGATCTCCATTCTGGTCGGACACGGAAGACCACCGAGAATCTCCGCCGACTGATCTGCTGCGCTTCTTCACAGGTGGTTGGGAAGAGGCCTGCGAGCTAGGTGATAACAGCAATTGTGACGCTCGTGCATGCTCAATCACTTTGTCAGTCTCGTGCCTGAAGATGATGGAAGCCTCGTCTCGATACCCCTCACAGACTTCATTGCGATTGACACATCGCCGGCATGAGGGCCGGCCCTCGTCGCAGCGAACGCGACGTTGCTTGCAGCGGAGACATCCGCGACTCAGACGTCCCATCGGAATCAAGTTGGCTCATGTGCCAAGGATTCTAGTTCTATGACAGTTCCTTCATTCGAAGTTGAAGGGCCTTTGGTGTGGGTGGGATAAGGTGTGGTTCACTAGGCGTGCGTCTTAGCGTAACGTTAGGTTGTTATATTTAGAGTTTACAGGTACCTTAGCGGTGTTGGATAAATGAAGGGTTATATTAGTCGTTTTAATAGAGGTTTTCTGGTGTTTTTGGTACCTTGAAATCAATGAACCTCCATCTGATGATCCTCCACCCAATGATTCTCCAATAATCACTCACTCGATGACCACTAATCCATTTATGGTGAGTAAATCACGCCTCACAACATCATCGGCCACAGTTAGCAACCACAACTACAAGTTAAACCATAGTGAGGAAACATATGGATATACTAATGCTCGTAGAAGGCGTACTTGGAAATATATTATTATAAAGCTAGCGCCATTCCTGGTCGTGAAGTTGAGAGCGAGCTAATCGTCGTCGTAGTTAGTGCACATACAGTTCTATATACCAGAGTTTATACTTCCTTATAGTATAAATTCTTGATCTTAGACCCAATGCCCCGTTTATAAGCTTCGCTCTCCTCATTTTTATCAGTGGAAGGCGCTGGCGCTGGCACCTCCAATAGCTCTCCATCCAATCCTGTATTTGTGACCGCGTTCTGTTGTTTGCCAAGGTAGTAATCTGGTGAAGCAATTCATTGATATTAGCTAGCGGCCAGACAAAATTTAAGAAATAAGAGGCAGAGAGGAGCTGTGGTATACTCACTTGGCATTAAGCAAGAAAAGATGACGGGAATGACGCTCAGCACGCAGACCGTAGTGAGGATGAGGCCATTGGTACGTGTGTATGCGGCCACCGCACCCTGACGAACCGGATCCTCCCAGCCATACTCTGTTCGTAGCACAGAGATGGAGCCATAGATCTTCCTCAGTGTCGAGTCTGGCGTCCCTACTGGACACTCCTCGCGCATGTACCTGAGCATGTGCTTTGTCCATATTGTCGTTGAAATAGTATATCCGACTGAGTTGCCAATAGTGGCGCACAATGACGCGATGGCGATAGCACTTGCTAAATCTTTATGTGGCACTGAGGCCTGCGCACCGAGACGAGCACCAAAGACGCTCACGGAGCCTATGCCGAGCAGGATTTGTGATATAGCTAAGGCAGCTGTTGACTGTGTGCTGCGCATGTTTGAGCCCATGCTGATGGAATATCCGATCAATTTGATCACCCCTCCGAATACCATCATTGTCTTGTAACGGTGGGTGAGACGCTGGATGACCCCAGCAATGGGCCCCACGAAGGAAATCGTCAGGGTTGTGATACCTAGGAAGATTGTCCATGCATAATTAGACCACTCTTTAATGATATACAGATACGACGAGAGATAGTTCTCATTACAACCTGATGCCATCAGGTTGAAGACGTCGACTATGACAGCGTACATGAAGGCCTTGTTGTGTAGAATGGCTCTTGTCATGACTGGCTTGGGTGCAATGTAGACTTCGAAGAGACTAAAGAGTATGAGGATTACAAAACCACAGATAATCATAGCAATCATACTTGCATTTTCCCAACCTCCGTTGGCTGACTGCGCAAGATTGAGAGGGAGAAGGATTAGGGACCAGGAAAAACCAAGTAGGATGATTCCTGCTAGGTCAATGTCGATAATACCCTGCCAGGCAACGTGGAGATATGTTGCAGGACCTTTAAGATTACCGCAACTTTTTTCCGTGGCCATAGGGTTGGCCATGCTGACCATCCCAAGCTTGTATGCTTTTCTCTGCATCCCATATAGCGTCCAAATAGCGGGAATCATTAGGACTGGCATCATGATAGCAAACATGCCTAAGCCCCACCTCCACTTTTCGGGGATGAACGCATCAGAGATGAAGCCGTTTATGAATGTGGTAATAATAAAAGGAGCAAGCAATAGGCCATTCCAAAACACTCTCCACTGCAGGGACGTCAGATCCGCTACAATGACGTTACCTAGGAAATCCAATCCTGATTTACCGAAGGCCGTGAAGCAGATGCCTATAGTGTAGGCGGCGATGTTGTCACACGTGGCTGCCACGACAAAACCGATGACATAGAACACCAAAACCACAACATAGGTAGTCGGCCGCGATGTGATATCTGCAAGTTTGCCAATGAATGGCTTCGAAACCCCACGGATGATAACACTGGCAGTGTTGACAGCGCCGAGCTCTGCGTGGTGGCCAAATGAGGAGGATGCAATCGCATTGAACTGCGTTGTGATACCGAAGTCGAGAGCATAGCCAAACTTAGTCAACCCAATTGAGACTACCAGTGTGATGAGTAGTAGTTTTCCCGATCTGCTCTCTGATAGGACTTTGTTGAATGCTTCGACTTTCCTAACACCTGGATCTGCTAGTATGGTTCCATCCGTGGCGTACAGTTGCTCACTGCTCCCATTGCTACCATCGCGAATTTCCTCTTGTTTTTCAGTGATGTGACAATCCCTACTAGCTGGTCTGCCGTGCTCTGTCGTCCCCGGCTCAATGGCCTCCTTCAACATCTTGCTCGTACGCTCGAACGGCTAGTGGCCAGGAAGTCGATATTGATGATCAGGGTATCGAAATCTCCCAAAACCTGAAGTAAGGGTGGTGTGATGCGGCACTGGAGCTCAAATCGAATAGTGGTGTGAACATGCGGAAAATCTTGCCCACTATGCAGGAAATAGCTTAGTCATATTATTTCTTGGCTGATAGAATTTTAGGTTCTCCTGCACAAGAAATAGACTCTTGCTGCCTTGGAATCAAGTCTAAAGGCAATTCAGACTTAAAAGGCACAATGATGGGGTGTATATGTGACAGGCGGGGTTGTGCTAGTGTCCGAACCGAATGGACATTAACTACCCCTGAAACCATGAGGATGGAGAGACAAGGAGAATTCTAACTTCAAGCAAGACATGATTTTGTTAAGTTGGAAGATTTAGTTTTAAATTGACAGTTATGGGTCCGAAGACTCTATTTCTAAATCACTGTTCCGTTGTGCCGATCCAAAAACCGTGAAGCCATCCAACAGCCCATGGCCAAAATTAATAGCAACGACACAAACCAAATTTCCACCACAATCACTGGAAGCCCAATTTCTTCTCATACTTCTTCCACTTGTTCCCAATTGGCTGAATAAAGGTCGAGCTCCGCGAGCCTTGACCCATCTCCGTCACCCCAGAAGTGAGATAAAGAGGCGTCAACTCCCCATCATCACTAAAGAAAATCTTCGGTCTCTCTCGACGTCGCAGGGTCCGAACGGATCCATCTGTAAAGGTAATCGTTGAGTTATACGCTTCCTGTTGCTTGAAATGCCACGGCCCTGTTAATTCCCTTGCATAGACATGTGCCCCGACCCTTGGCCACTGCTGCCCGTTATGTTCCACGAGGTCAATCATCCAGTGATCAAGTGCATGCCAGTTTCCGCGCTTATCACGCCAGAGAAACGTGTCCTCGGTCCAAGTTGGGCTCCATTCGGTCGTGTTCCACGTTTGAGTGTGGATCAGCTTGTATTCACCATCCCATTTGTCAGATTTGAAAATTGCGTTATCTTCAACTCCCAGGGCAATCTCTCTGGTAGGGTTTTTGCGTGTCCAGAGTGGCCAAGGCGCTGGGTTTGTTGACTGTGGTTCGAGGGAATTCAGAATCATTTTGTGAGGGGTCCAAGGTCCTTTGATGCTGTGTGCGCTTGAGACGGAGATATTATTCGGCCATTGTTTGTACGTAAGACTTTGGCATTTCTCGGCTTTCGGGGCGTCAACACCAATGGTGTATAGGAGATATTTCTGATCCGTGGGACTCCAAATGACGGACGGGTTATGGCGGAAGCTTTTGGTAACCTCATCTGCATAGTGATATGGCCCCTGCGGCCCGGTCCTAGATTCCGCACGCATAATATAAGAACTCGGTCTCCAGCCAGTCAATCCACACCCATCGGCGAATTGCGAGGCGACGAGATGGAACAGTTTGTGGTCCTGTGGATCCTGTAAGATCTGCCCACCCCAGGATGAATTTCCGTACGGACCAAAGTGAAGGGGGTCGACGGCGTCGGTTTGGTTGTAGCCGTTTATTGGGGTGGCAGGGGCAAGATCCAACCTGCCACAGTCATCACCAAACCAGCCCGGATCGCATTTGCAGGCCCCAGGCTTGGGCTTGCTTGCAAAGCTCTTTGTCGGCTTCCGGCTACAGACGCCATTTAAACTGCAGTCTTCGTCGGTTTCGCAGGCTTGGGTGGCTCCGATGACGGCAAGGCCGGCTGCTAAGATATTGGCGATTCGCATGGCGTTAGGTGAGAGGTCACGAATAGAATGGTGGCTGTGAAGACGCAGGTATTCTCTGTCAATTCGGATATTTATTGGGGTCCCTCATACTATCTTTATATAATTCGCATCTGAGAGCATACTGGAAAATGGGAGTCCAGCTCGGTTTAAACCAACACCGAGCTGCAATTATTTAGCTATAGTGGCCGTCTTGACTCTTGGCCATGTTGGCTGAATTTGACCCCAAATATGCCATTGAGTGCGGGGCCCCGTGGGGGATGCCTAGATGTGAGTTCCAAGGCTCCATGAGTACAGCATGAGTGGCATGTCTATTGGCCATTCGGGAGTGAAAGCTTCTGCGGAGAAGTGAACTGCTCCAGCACTAGAGTACGCAGTGCCCCTAAATAGATTAGTTCTCATCCGGTCATTTAAGAAGTTACGAAATGTCGTCACTAGTCGGAAAGATTGGTCGGGTAATTAGATCGGGTTATTAGATTTGGGCGTTAATCGTCGGCAAGCTCCAATGGAGGTCATGGCACAAATTAGCTGGAGTACCCTGACACAAATATCCCACGAATCTAGTCTAATTCATGTCACCTAAGGTAGCTTTCATATAACTGTGGTTATGATGAAGCCAATAGGGAAGTTTACAAGAAAAGCAGAATACATAAAATATACCCCGCAATATAAAGCACTTACCCCGCAAAGTCAAAGCAATGTAAGGCACCACGCCAAGATCCATCAGGTCCCACTCTGGAATTACCTGCCAAACTAAAAAGTAACCCGCTTGGAGACATCACTTCGTCCCAGAATTCGCGTTCTTCCCGACGTATGATTCGGTTTGGCTTTTCTGAGGATTACCTCCTCATACTGAAATAATCATGGATATGAGGAATTCAGCCTTTCCTTCCCCTGGCCAAAGTCATCACCGCACAAATCGACCCCGGGTTCCTCGTGCTTGCGACCGATGCAATGTGTCTCGCACTCGATGTGATGGCGACATGCCCTGGTACGGTTGACTTCACCCCTTTGTCTGCCTTTTGAATCCTTGTCAGTGACTCATTGGTCTTTGCACGAGTAGTGGGCGTTGCGACGGTGAGAAATCATCATAACATCCTACCGGAATTTGAAGTTCAACTGATCTTTAGCCCTCCATCACCCGTGTCGATACAACCGTAAGGTGAAAAAACGTGGACGCAAAACCAATCGAGACAGGAAATACCACGCCTCGCAAGGGTCCGGACAAGAATGCAGAGGAAGCCTTTCCGCATCAGAAACAGAACCCGTTGTATCTGCTGATATAGAATTACTTTCTTCGGCGTCGTCATCTAACGGAGACACGGAGCCAACGCAATCGCATGCAACATTTGGAGCCCCCCAGGAGATAGACAATGTCCACGGGGCACTCTCACTCTCGAATAAACCGCCCGAGCTATATCCCGCCAGTGACCAGGGCAATGACAGTGCCATCGGACAGTCGCAGCCTTTGCACGACCCATCATGGAAAGACTTCATGTCGCCTGTCACCTTCAATGCCTCAACCAGCGCAACTACAAGTCATTTTAGCTCCAGGGGAAGCTTACGTGGCGATACCGAATGCCGCTATCCGTGTCTTTCTGCTCTGATCCCGTTTCTTAAGGGATTTTTAACGGCAGCCGAAACCTGCGACCTTCTGGACACTTACTTCGCTGACTACGGAAACCCCTCGCGCCTTCACTGCCCCTACGTTCTTACTACCGTTATACGAAAGAAATCACTGCTACGTGCGTCAAAACCGCGAAATACATCCCCTGCTCTTCTGGCAACTATGCTCTGGGCCGCTGCTCAAACCGCCGACTGTCAGATTTACCATAAGCCTGGATCCCGCGAGAGGATAGCCAACCGCCTCTATTCCCTTGCGCTATCATACTTGAAACGGCGCGACATGGATAGCTGGCACCGTGTCCATGGTACGTCCACATTCCATCGTACTGTCTGGTTTAACACAGTGCATTGCTGATTAACGTGAAGGTGGGTGGCAGTTAGAAGAAGATAGTATCTTTGACCTTGACGGAAACGAATGGAACAAGCCGCGAAGAACGTTCGAAGCAGGGCCTAGACCAACAGTTGACGATATAGTGACCTTCGCACTTCTCGCGATTGTCACCTCTGGTGGAGAGTTCAAGGCCGACTGTCTCAAATGGTGGAATAAGACGGTTAGCCTAGTTAGGCACCTTGGGTACAACTCTGAATTAGGAATCGCCGGGGATGCTCAATTACACGATGATTCTCTCGCTATGATCGAAAATCAGGAGGAACGGCGAAGAGGTTTCTGGCTCATCTATATCCTAGATAGACACCTTGCTCTATCATATAACCGGCCACTACACCTTCCAGATAGCGAATGCCACGTTCTGCAGCCTCTACCAGATGATATATGGCAGAATGACGATACATTCCTACTAGATGCAATTCCGCACCGCACTTTTGGACCACCTATCACGATATCTGGGACCGGTTTGTTCGACTACTTTCTTCCACTCATGGCCATTCTAGGCGATATTATCGATTTGCGATACCGGCGTCACCACCCGCGCATTGAAATAGATGTTTCCGCCACGCAGAACTGCATCGAGAAGACCCTGGCGAAATGCGAACAGAGCATCATAGAATTTTCTAATGCGAACCCCAGCACCCCTGGCACACCTACCCAAGCATCCCTTGCCAAAAAGGCGAGGCTGGTTATTCCTTACGCTATATATATTATTAAAGTTCTATATATTTTGCTCCATGGGGAGTGGGATGCAATCTCAATGCTAGAGAATGACGGGGACTGGATTAGCTCGTTCAATTTTTCACAGTGTGCATCGAATTCAATTGCAGCAGCCCAGTCCATCACAGACATTCTAGCAGTCGATCCGGATCTTACATATATGCCGTACTTATTCGGGATATATCTTTTTCATGGGAGCTTTGTGATTCTCTTATTCGCAGAACGAATGCCGCAAATCGGGCCCAACGCCTCGGTGGAGCGGGCCTGTGAATTAATTATTCGAGCTCATGAAGTCTCCATCGTGACTCTGAGTACTGAGTTTCAGGTTAGTGGTATTTTTTCTCCATCTTGGATACTGATGTGTTAATATTACCTTAGAAAGCCTTTCGCAAAGCCTTCCGCTCAATTTTATATAGTGTTCGACAGCCGGGTGCGGTTGAGCCAGAGTTTCGGGCTCTGTGCAAGGAAGTTTTATCCAGATATAGATGGACAATGGGACAAAAAGGGCTTTGTCTTTAGTGTCATGAATTGTAAAATAATACACGTACTTATCCGACTAGGGAATTGAATGGGATTGCGGTCCTCTTTTTTTTAATTGTGTAGACGTCACCTTCTCATTGATCCTTCCAAACCAGGCGGCGCTAGCATCGAGCAGAAGTGGTAAAGCGAATGAGCCGAACTTCTCTATTTGTCCGCTCAAATAGACCGAATTCTACATGCTATTCTACTACGACTTGCGGCCAAGTTGGAAATCGACCGTACCAATAGGATAATTTGTTAGAGGCCAAGGCCCCTGACATCTCCATGCTCATGGAGATGTGAAAACCTCAGCTACAGAGCCCACCCTGCAGCACAGCCTATATACAATTTGACTGGCGAACAATATTATTTTCTTATGGGTAAGAAAATGAGGCCTTGATTCCGACTGAACAGTGATTAGGATTCTGCGGATACGTAGTTGCTTGCATTTATCACTTCAAAAATCAATATCACGTGCTTATGACGTAGACAGCCAACGAGGCTGAGTTCAGAAAGCTGATAGCTCAATCGTGGCTTCTCTGTCTTGGGTAACATACATGTTTCAACATCCATATATTCCATCTGAACACTTTTGTCAGAATTATTGAAGTCATACTCAAGTTATAGACACGCCTTCATACTCATTGCGCAAAGACAGATAAGCAGCAGAAATCCCGAGCTTCATCATCTCACCACGACCGATACAACGCGTCAATAACTCTACGAAGCGCCCGCCACCCACGACTCTACAGGATGTCTGGAATCCCAGTATACACGCAGAGCCCGATTACGGCAGCAAAGGCAAATGCACCTACACCCCAGACTGCCGGCCCAGAAACCTCTACCAAAGCCTCAGCACCATCTAATAACCCCGCCACAACCACAGCCGTCCCCACTACAACATCTCCATACGCCCCCCAAACCGGGCAGCCTGCTGTTCCGGCTCCCACAGGCTCGTTAGGTCCCCCAACTGGACCAGCAAATAATTACGCGCCCTCGCCCATCACTCCATCTAAGACAGCCGACCAAGGCCCACCCCCGCCGCAGCCAGGAGCTGTACCAACGCCGCCGGGACGAGTGAAGAGCCCGCTTCCGCCACCACCAAAGGTGGGAGAGAAGTACACACCGCCCGAGCCGGCATCCCAAACTACGAGCCCGCCCTACCCTCCTCAGATGGGATTTGCGCCGCCGGCGAATCAGTACCAGCCTACGGCGACGGCGTCGCGGCCGACGGGGAACTACCCCACCATGTTGCCGGTGCAGGGCCAGGGGGTTGGCGGCGGTCAAGCGGAGAGGAGGAGCTTTGAGCATCCGCCTGGTAAGTACTCGTGAATTCTTGGGTTTGGAGGAATAAATGCTGACACTTTTGTAGGATACCAACAGAATCCATACGGAGGAGGTATGTCAGGAGACCAGTATGGTGGTGCGCCCCAACCAAGCCATGGCGCACAGAGTGGACAGAGTGGGCAATGGCATCGTGCAGGGGATATGGATGATAATGCCGGGGAAGAGAGTATCTGGGAAACGGCGAAGAAATGGGCTACTACCGCGGGGGGGAAGCTGGCAGAGACGGAAGCAGAGATTTGGAAGAGAGTTAATGGAGAGAAGTGAGGGGTAGTATGACTGGCTCGGAGTCGCCGGTAAGGGCGGGGATGAATGGGATGAGATGGGATGGGATTCTGGTGTCATTGTGGAGGGGGGAAAGTCTGTTTTAGCACGTGGGGTTTATCCAGAAGTCCAGGAAAGGCATGTGCGATGGGAGGGAGCCTTAGGATGCGAGGAAGCATGTTTCCTCGGACCGCAGGCGCTCATTCATGCGCACATCGACGCCAAAAGCGGTCTTGACGGACACGAATCAGGCATGGGCCAAAGAACCGCAGAGAACCGCCGGGAGGCAACAGAATCGTTACTAGGCAACGCGATGGGAACGAATGCGTAGGCGTCGTACTCACCCACGCTACTAGCTTGTGCAAAGTTATCTGTACTATACCTTACGTACCTGCGTTTACTTGCCCTGTCCTTGAACAACATCGATGATATAAATGGATCGTCATATTAAACATGCTCTCGCGATTCATGCGTCCCTATACCCGCGGGGGTCTGCGATTTGTACTTTCATGCGTTTTTCAGCCGCCAGGCCGTTTTGGGGATGGGAAACATTGGGAGCCAATGAGCGATTGCGCTGTGGGCTGACGGTATTGTTGGTTCTGGGAGAGGGCCTGGATCCTTGGGGAAGGCCGGATGGAAGAAGTGTGTTGCGATTGGGTTCCTGTTCCTGAGGGTGCCTGGGGTGTGCCTGGATTGCGTACCTGAGGAGTCAGACGGTATTGTGCTCGAGTATGTGTATGTGGCACGCCAGCCCACAGGAACAATGTGTGTCCAGGACATGCCAAGCGGCAGGAACAATGTGCGTCCATCTGCTCACCTGACATGTTCTGTGTTGTTGCAATGAAGTCCATCAGCCTTGTAATCAGGTGAACGATGATCGGCTCGGGAAGAGTCTATCCAGCAACTGGCATCATGTCAGCCTGGAGTTTTATAATAGCACCATAACTGGCATAGGCCTGTCATCCGGGGGCTCCGGCGTCTTGGCTCCCAGGGAGATCTTACATACCCACCTCCATACGTAGGGCGCAGCGAGAGCAAGGACCACACAGGGCGCGGACGCCTAGAAGCATTTTGGTGGGTGATATGGAACGAAGTTATGGTTTCTAATACCGAGGCTCTGCCGAAAGGTTTGATCTAAGAAAATGGCACACTGGTGATGGTGCGGCGGTGCGCTGGCGGGCGTCGCCAATGGTGGTCTGTTGACAGGGTCGTTGGCGGGGGACAGGGGCGGGATGAGGCAGTGGGAGGTTTCAGATAGTGCGATTCTGAAACATCAGGCTAGCGACTGGGTGTGCAACCACGATTTACCAAAGTATGGATGAGTGTTTTTTCTGCACCTTTTAGAATGCAATTGGGGCCAGATCCTTCTGGACGGACCATCCACGGCACGGCAGATGGCTGTTAATCATTGTCCTGTGCGCTCTTGTCGATTCCTGGGCGAAATCGTTCATCTCGTTTTGCAGTGATCGTCCGACCAAGCTATATGCATGGAATGGAAGCATTTAAAGATCGTATAAACCAAGCGGAACCCCACAGACAATGTTGCGATGTTCTCTACTCGGATCACCCTCTGGAGTTGTCGTGGGAGTGGCTGACGCGCCACGGGGTAGTGTTGTGGTGCCTTCAGTTGAACCTCAAACGACAGGAGGAGCCACACGGCTACGGTGCCGCATTTGGGGGAATGATGGTCTGAATCACCTCTCGTTACCATGGCGAACAATTGGACCTTGTTACGGTCGTATGACAAGCGATAGTGTTTTATGTTACGTCTACTGGAGGCCCACGAGGAAATATCAGGAACGAGCCGTCCCATTGACGTCCACGACACTCAATCGTCGTCGAAAGGTGGTGAAGACGCGTCCATTTGAAATGATAAGATGCATATTAATACTATACCCAAGACCAATGAATACTCAGCCTGTCAACTTACGTGTTGTTGGTGGTCCAGGACGGTAGATGTTGTCCTCGTCGCCTAAACGAGTTAGAGGTTCCAAGATACCCCACGACTGGCCCTGGCGGATTTTCCTGGTGGGTTGTTTGAGACGAGACAAGCCACCCCCTCCTTCCGCCTGGAGTCTTAATTGCAGGTATCACAAGTATTATACAGGGAACACTGGTGACTTGGCATCAAACCTGCTACTCCGGTATTTCGCCCTCACACCCCACCACGCACTCACGACTTACCCCATCAAACACGTACAGTACGCTACGGTACTTACGGGTATATGTGAACTTTGCTATTGTAGGATGTCTATTTCTGGAACCACTCCGGCTCCGCGGGCTCAAATCGACACATGTCCAAGCCTCCTGATAGGAACGGCCTCTTTCGGCAACACTTCGTACCAGGATCATTGAAAGTCCGGACATGTGTGGTTCTGCTTCCACGGTTACTCTACCACAGTTCACCACCGCCCACCACTGCAATCTGCTCCTTACATGCTAAAGCTGGGCCGATGTTTTATCACTTTCGCTCTTCGCCACGCCGGTTACTTCAGTATACCCCAGCCGTTACTAACCCCACTCACCTCTCCCATACCCCTCTCTCTAAACCTATCTTCCTCGAAAGAGGCTTGGGCAGGTTTAGAGTTCCAAAAGCACTCTAGAGCGAAGTATCTTTCTAGGGCACTCTACCTCGTGTCAGGAGATCCAGGCATGGGTAACCTTGACGTTCCCGATCCTAGCCAGGGATTTGATGACCCGAAGAGGGTCTGAGCAAGTACAGCTGGTACTTTAACTTAACATCTTTCTCTTATTATCGGGGATATGGCCAGCAGCCCTTTACCACTTTTACCATTGCTCGCCGCGTCGTTCGTTCCACACAACATTTTCTTGCTCATCCTCCGATTGCACAGTCGCTCCTTTTCGGGTTTCCTAATTTCTTTCTCATAATTGACGTACTGGTCTATCTACACTCTTTACTTAACTTTATCTATATCACCGCTGGGAGCTGGCTCCCACTTTACGTGCCGCCTGCGCAGACCCACTAACGAGTTGTTTCTATACTATACAATACCGTATAGCCGTCCTCAATACGCTCCTTACTGATCCATCGACTCATATATATCAAATACCGGCTCATATCGGTACCTTTCTTTACAAAGCATACTTGTCAATATTGCTTTCTAACATTATCGCCAACGAGACACTGCAAGATTAACACCGCATACTGACTGTCGTCATTTAATCCAATCCATCCAAGAACGGCACCAAGATATCTGATATCTCTTCTATCATAAGAGGCGCCCACAAAACGCACCCTATATCACCGACGCAGCGTCTGAACGACTGCCGCTTTATACCATTCTACATCGCTGGCGCTTTCCACAATGGACTCCGAGCAGGCGAGTGTATATGTGGTCCCCGGTCCATATACAGACGCCGATTCTCGTCCACTACATAGTCGCCAGCAATATCATACACCAAACTTCACCTTCAATCCGAACAATAAGTTTCGCAGAGACCAAACCCCGCGCTCCTATCCCACCACCACCGTCAGCTCGAGTGAGGCAGCAAAGCAAGTGGAATCCGGGGTTACAGCCTTGTGGTCGACGCGACAAGTGCCAAATATGTCACGGCCACGCCCTGCCCAGATGGCGGAAACCAACCTGAACGGCTTCAGCTATTGCATTCCTGAGCAGCCTACCGCGCTACCTGCTTGGGATTCGACAACCATGACACTCTCCTCCAGCCATGAAGTGATGCCGCAGACATATGCCATCGTCCAGGACTTCTATCAGCCATCTGAAAGTGCCGATAGCAGGCCCTCTTCAATGTACATGAACCAAGGGTATGCGCAACTTTCTGAGGATTGGGGTAATAAGGCATGTGGAGATGTACTCGAATTACAGCACTTTGACTCTGAAGCAAATATCGGCCAGGCTTATACCACAGACGAATGCGTTCCAATTCTTGACCTGAGATACAACACTGGGATGGACAACGATCACTTGAGCCTCGAGAATCCATACAATTCGCGCCGCATGTCAGGCTCGTCATTCACTATGTCGACCAGTGGTGGTTTATCTGACATGACTTCATATGATGATTTCTCAACGACCCTCTCTGAGGCCCCGTCCTTCACTTCGGACTACCCGCCGCCATCAAACAGAACTTCTCTTATGTCATCTACTCAGTTATCACCTGTCGCATCTCCACGGATGACACCTCAAAACAGGTCTGAACTTGTGCGAACACAAAGCCGTGGGCGAGCGTCCCCTTCTCCAAGGCCGAGCATGCGATCCGCGCCGTATTCAATAGACAACCGCAGCAAACGATGGTCTACAGGTTCGTATGCCTCGGGGCCAAGAAGACCGTCGCCTTTCGTCTATCACACAACCCCAGAAGGATTCGTGCAGCCACAAAGAATGTCCTCTCGGCACTCCTCGCCAACGTTGCCAAATACTCATCTTCCTTTAAACATGGCCAATCTTCAAAATCAGCAAAACCCGTATCTCATGCCACACAGCAACCCAGCATACCATCGCAATAGCATGATTCTACCATCAAACGCTTACCACGAACCTCGCCACTTTGAGACACCACCTCCTCTATTTTCGCATGGGCTATTCAGAATGTTGCAGAGCAATGCGGACCCTCACTCCATGCACTCGCACTACGCCGATCTGAGTGACCCCCCAGATCTCTATGCCTCTCTCAACGATGAGCAGATACCACCCCCACCTGAGGACATGAACCCGAGCGACCCAGACCTAGTACCACATGAACAGGAGCTTCGGTTTGATGGTGACCTCTACACGCCTCGTTGGGTCCGCGGTCATGGCAACAAACGAGAAGGCTGGTGCGGCATATGCAAACCTGGTCGTTGGTTGGTTCTTAAGAATAGCGCATTCTGGTATGACAAGAGCTTCACGCACGGTATTAGTGCGGCTACTGGGAACCCATTCCAGGAGCCGCAGGAGACAAGGCGTATGGATGGAAACCCAGATGTTTGGGAGGGCTTGTGTGGAAGCTGTAATGAATGGGTTGCGTTGGTCAGTAGCAAAAAGAAAGGCACGACTTGGTTTAGGCATGCTTATAAGGTATGTGATTCAAAGCAGCACACTGTTGCGGTATATTGTCTCACCGAAACTAACGTAAAATAGTGTCACACGCACCCAAAGATTAAAGACGCACCGAAACGAAGGAGGGAAAGCAGTAGCACTAGAGCGTTGGCTGCGTCGACGATGGCGAAGCCTCAAACCGAGCTACCCAAGATAGAGGCGCCACTTACGCCGCAAATGACACCCCGTCCCATCACTTCTGACAATACAACGCCGGCGCCGACAAGAAGAATAACGACCCCACTACCGAATATGGCAAATATGATATAGTGGCTCTCTGAAACCGATTTAAGCTATCATTCTTTTATATGTTAATAGTTTGCTACATATGTTTGTTTGCCCTAGTACATATTGGGACTTTTTTCAAGCGCCAACAAGAGACTGGTTAGACGGTTGGCCGGGTTAGGACATTTTCGAAAGATTGGAAGGGAATACGTGGTCATATCTCTCTACTCCTGGGATGGTTGGGATAGGAGGGTCTGTCATGACTACGAGACATGATTTTACGAAAAAAAACATGGGATTGGATTCGTTGATGCGGGCATCATGATCACAACACCCCCACAAACATATAATTTTTTTAAAGTCAAGCATAATTGCTACGGATGGAAACGCTAGAAACCCGATTTGCTGTCTGTTGGCTGCAACGGGGATTAGTTTGAACGCTCAAGTACATAGCACATAGTTAGAAATAAAGCCAAAATAAAGCCACCTGAAAACGACTCCTGTGCCTCGGTATTTTCCAAGAACTGCTCCGATCATCGGGGTACTGGGTGAAACTTGCAAAACGCACACATAATATAAACTCATCGCGAGCCTTACTAATCTGCAAAAGTTGAGACGGTACAGTGTGCAACCTGCAACACCCCTGAAACGAGCGGCGCTCTCGGTTTTGAAGCGGTTTTGAAGTCGAGCAAGTATATACTCACCTTGTAGCTTTGCCACGGGTTGACATCGGCGCTGAGGTCAGCTGCGCGATCGGGAAGTTGGGTAGCCGGCTTGGTAGAGGACCCCAGGGATTTGTAAATATTAGGTGAGAGAGTCAGCGATGGAGATGGTAACAGGAGTTTTGAAAGGGGGTTAATCTGTAACACGTGATCATAGAGAATATTATTGCCTGATGCGCAAGGCGGCGACAACGAACAATGTTTCTTTGATCGTAAGCTGCCAACGAAGCTCCAGGGCAGAGGAACTGTTCTTTGCAGCGCAAGTGTTGTGAATAGGAGGGCCGTAACCATGGCGCCAGATCGGATTGACCAGAATGTCTACGAAGGTAAGCTTTCATCTCCTACCAGTGACTTTGAGAGTCAACGTGCTCCCGCCCGAAGTTGACCATAGGCGCAAGCTAACGTGTCGTTCAGATCAGCTTAAAGACATCATCCAAGACCTCTATGAGTTGATGGTACAGACAACCTCATATGGAAACGTAGGACAGGGAGTCAGCTCCAAGGACGTGCTTCAGAATACAGTGTTCGTCACCTGTCTCCTCACCCAGCATTCCCCCTTCCACCCAACACAGGGCCAGCTAACACTCTCCAGCGCCCATCTCCACGCATCGTTGACCCAGCTCCATGCCTCCGCCTCGTCGCCATCCGCAACACCTATTCGCGTCCCACCCGAACTGATCCAATACGTCGACGCGGGTCGCAACCCCGACATCTATACCCGAGAGTTCGTGGAGCTAGCACGGCGGGGAAACCAGTTGATGAAAGGAAAGAAGCAGGCATTTGGCAGTTTTAGAGACATTCTGGCGAGGGAAATGGCAAGTGCATTGCCTGAAGTGAAGGGCGATGTGGAGAACGTTGTGAGGGAGACTGGGGGAGAGGTGGGGAAGCTTTATGAACCTGCAGCTGGCGAGGCTGGTGAGGCGTGAGCAATTTCCAGAGTTTGCGGGAATAAGTTGTCATCAGCGGACGCATTGAATGGTTGGGCATTACTGTTGGGTTGCATTGGAAATGGGAGGGAAGGCGTTATGGACTAGCGAGGCACATGGACAATACTTTGGAGATACCCGTTTCTCAGCTTATATACGATCTATAGCTTTGAAAATTCACCGATGAAGCTGCGGATCATTCTTCGCAATACAAAATAGTGTTTTATGTTCTTGGCAGTTATCAGAACTGCCCCTCGTATGACGAACCACGTGCATGTTATAAGCGCGGCAGCTAACTCACGCGATCACTTAAGCGCGGTGGGATGAAGTTGTCTTGGCGATAAATCGCACTTTACTCCACAATAGAAACGCAAATACAAAGAATACATTGTCCCACATATCTTCGGCGACCTTAGGCAGTAAACTTGTCATATCATTTCAGGCCAATATCTGGCACTCCATATCTCGAATACCTATTTACTCCAGCAAAGCGGAACTATGTCTCTGTAGCCAGATATCCCACAAACAATGCTGGATACTGAAGATCGACAGCTGCATTTCACATAGCAGCCACAACCCAGTCTATAACTAGACATACAACTTTTATTCAGCTGACCTACAGAAGCCTGCTGCCATATGGATACACAGGTATGCCCTCCTCCTGGTTTTGGTGTCTTGTTGCGTTATTTTGTTATCTTTGGATCCCAATTACCCCACCCCCACTATGAACTGAACTACCTTCATGACCTTTTAACTTTCGCTAACATGCTCTCACAACCAGGTCGAAAACGCGATTCAAATCGCCTGGGACCCGACATCAAGCCAAGTACTCAAGGGCCAGGCGTTCGAATTTCTCAATCAGCTCCGTGAAGATGTCTCCGGCTGGCAAATATGCCTCACACTTTTTACCCGCACGCCACAGACATCAGAGGTTGTGCGCCTCGTTTCTATTGAGATAGTTAATAATGCCGTTGCAAACCAACATCTGGATCAGGCGTCTTTGAACTTTCTGAAGGATAGCTTGCTCGAATATTCTCGCCGTGTGTATGGAGGATCAGGCGGTCAGCAACAGGCCGACTCTGCGAGTTTGCAAAACAAACTGACGCAAACCCTAACATCGGTGTTTGCTTTCTCATACCAACGGGGATGGGAAACCTTCCTTTCCGACTTCCTGTCCATGACATATCTTCCAAATAGCACCTCTTGCGACAATCTGGCCGGCACTGCCTTATACCTCCGCATCCTCGGTTCTGTCCACGATGAAATCGCTGATGTGTTTTTATCCCGGACCGGTGAAGACCAAAAACGTAACAACGACCTGAAGGACCTTCTCAGAGAGCGCGACGTTCCTAAGATAGCTACGTCGTGGCAGGAGATTCTCACATATTGGCAGGGCAAGGACGATACATTGGTTGAGATGTGCCTCAAGGTTATTGGGCGTTGGGTTAACTGGATCGATATATCTCTAGTTGTCAACCAAAACTTCCTTACCATCCTCCTCCAGCTCATCGGAAGAGTTACCCCGAACAATGGCGAGGACAAGGTTAGAGATGCTGCTATAGGGTGTTTGACGGAAACCGTGGGCAAGAAAATGAAGCCGGGAGATAAGATGGACATGATTGAATTCCTGAACTTGGGCGACATTGTTTCCCAACTTGTTGCCAGCCCAGCATTGGCAAACCGCTTTGGATCCGACTACGATGTCGACTTTGCAGAGGCTGTAGCCAAGCTTGTTAATGGTGCCGTATTCGATATTGTCAAGGCCTTGGAAGAGAGCGCAGACGGCTCTCCAACACGTGTTAAGGCTGATCAACAACTTCTGATTTTCCTGCCTCACCTTCTACGATTCTTTTCGGACGAGTACGACGAGCCATGCTCAACTGTTATCCCATCTCTCACAGACCTCCTCACCCTTTTCCGCCGTGCACAGCCACTACCTGCGCAGTACTCCTCTATGCTCTCGCCCATTCTTAACGCTATCATTACAAAGATGAGATACGATGATACGGCGTCTTGGGATGATCAAGTTACAGAGACTGATGGGGCAGAATTCATGGAACTGAGGAAGAGACTTGAAGTTCTCCAGAAAATTGTAGCTGCAGTTGATCAGACTCTGTATATTGACGTCCTGAGCAATGTTGTCGGAAATACTTTCCAGTCGATCGAGCAGAGTGGGTCTGGAGTCAACTGGAGGGACATCGACCTCGCTTTGCACGAGATGTACCTCTTTGGTGAGCTTGCTGTTCCAAACAGCGGCTTATATGCGAAGAGCCAGCCCTCAAGTGTCGCATCAGAACGCTTGATTGCGATGATGCAAAAGATGATTGAATCTGGTAAGAGTTCAAACTATCAATTGCTGTTAAGTTACCGCTAACATTGTCCAGGTATCGCATCTTACAACCACCCAGCCATTCAGCTACAATACATGGAGATCTGTGTACGCTACTGCTCTTTCTTTGAGAATCAGTCGGCATTCATCCCTCAAGTTCTGGAGCACTTTGTAGCGCTGGTTCACCACAATCATGTCCGCGTCAGAACGCGTTCATGGTACCTATTTGGCCGATTTGTAAAGCACCTGAGAGCTATACTCGGAAATGTCGCTGAGACGGTAATTACCTCGATCAGTGATCTTCTTGTCATTAAGGCAGAAGTCCCCAAACCTGATGACGAGGATGATATGTCCTCTGATGAGAGCGACCACTCAGCGGGCGCCGTCTTCACCAGCCAGCTATATCTATTCGAAGCAGTTGGAACTATTGCGTCCACGTCAACAACCCCAGTCGACAAGAAGGTTCTATATGCCAGAATGGTACTGGAGCCCCTCTTCGCGAACATGGAGCAAGCGCTCCCTACGGCCAGAAATGGAAATGCTCAGGCTAGCTTGCAAATCCACCATATCATCATGGCGCTCGGGACACTCGCCCATGGATTTTCGGACTGGACACCAGGAATAAGCAGCGCTGGAAGCAAGGCCCCGGCAGATGAAATTTCACAGGAGTTTGATCGCGCTGCCGAAGCCATTCTCGTTGCTTTGGAATCCTTGAAGTCTCAACTCGAAATCCGAACGGCTGCTAGGTTTGCTTTCACACGCCTCGTTGGAACGGTTGGCGCCAGACTTCTACCACAACTTCCGCGTTGGATCAGCGGCCTGCTTTCAACGGAATCTTCTAAAGACGAAATGGCTATGTTCTTGAGAGTCCTTGACCAAGTAGTCTTTGGCTTCAAAACGGAAATAATTGGGGTGCTTGATTCGCTCCTATCGCCATTGCTCATGAGGATTTTCAACAGCTTGGGAGAGGCAGTTTCGGGAACTGATGACGAGATCCAGCTTGGGGAGCTCCGACGCGAGTACCTGACTTTCCTCCAGGTCATTCTCAATAATGATCTGGCGTCTGTGCTTGTTAGCGAGACCAATCAAGGTTTGTTCGATGTTCTCTTAATCTCTGTCGAAACACTGGCAAAGAATGTGAACAATGGGACAGGCCACCTTGCCGCGAGCCGCATGGCATTTTCAATTCTTGCCAAGATGGCGCAGCTGTGGGGAGGACCGGACGTGGCTACTCCATCCCATTACCCGGAGACAGCTACACCAGCTCCTACTCCAGCTTTCCCAGGCTTCGATCAATTTCTCATCAACCGCTTCAGCCCTGTCTGCTGGGAAGTCCTCCGTAACCCCGATTTCCGACCATACCAGGACGCACAAGCTAAATCGGTACTTACTGAGATTGCCGGTCTACAGCAAATCATCTATAGCAAAACAGGAATGCTCTTCATTGAGCATCTGCAGCAATCCTTTTTCCCATCCATGGGCTTTGACGGATCTGACATCATCCGTTCGATGACGACCTCCAATGACCGAAAAGTCTTTGCAAACTTTCTCGTTGCATTCTTGAAGCAGCGCGCATAGGAACTCAGTTGGTAAATATAAAGAAATGAGACCCGTAAGCGCAGTGGGCATTCAGCATAGGCGTATCTCTGGTTTGTTAGGTTGCATTTTGCATCTTTGTTTTGCACTTTGCATTTGGGTGGGAGTTGGTCCTCGGCTTTATACCATGTCAATGAGGCATGTTTACATGATGCGAATGGGGGTTGGGAAGGGTTAAGTAGGCGGAGGGGACCGGAGGAATATGGATGGAAGTCAGCGGCGGATATAGATAGATAGACATACATATATGCTATGGTAAAAAATGAATGACCAGAAATGGTTTCTAGATTCATATCGCCGACATTTCACAAATGTACGAGAGAGACCCTTGATAATTTGTGGCTGGTTGGGGGTGATGTTCATGAGAGTTACGGGAACGAGATCCCTCGGCATCCACAGTAAGCGCCATCACACCCAGCAGCCAACCAACATCTTTCTTGCTGGGATTGTTGCTCAGCCTCGCACATTAGCTCTCCCGCCACCAACGGTCGAGAGCTGCGATTGATCCAAGAGTGGGGGGAAAGACATGGGGGGTGGTAGCTTCAGATAGTAGAATCTGCGCAATTGCTCCTCATGCCCAGTGTCCTCACCCTGTCTTTGTTCATCTTTGCACATTGCTCTCTGTAATACGATGTTGTCGCCTTTCTCTACGCAGTGGTGACGAGCGATATCGTTAACTGCTGTTACTCCTTATCGGCAAGGCTGGCTGGCTGGCAAGCACACGGCAAGACAAGATGGACGACTATATGTTCAAAGAGTATGTCAAGCAGTCGAAACCTGTGGCTGAGGAGACGAGCTATCTAGAGATATTCTCCTACTCGGTGAGCTAAATCAATTCCCATCCGCTACTGCCAATAGAAACTAACATGCAATCCGCCAGGACCCGACTCTAAACACCGTCAAAGAAGAGCCTCTCCCAGCCGACGAATTTGAAAACTTCCTCCATCAACAAGGTGCCTTCCGGCCTCCAATACTGCCAGTACGTGTCACCCGGGTTGCCGGTCTGCGCATGATTCTGCAGCAAAATGCTAGCCACCCCGAAACATTCTCGCCGCAGTATATCAGTCTGAAGCAGCGAGCCTATGTATCGATGGTCGAGACGATGCGACTTCCCTACCGCGGAATCGAGAGCACATCTGCCGTTGGCCCTTTTTTCTGGGCCGCCTTCGATCAAGATGAGGAGAGGCCTCACTTGCAGATACTATTCCGGAAGAGCGATGTTAGGAAGAAGGGGCTCACGAGAGGATGGGAATTGATGCTGTCCCATGATATGCGGGGAGGCATGACGATGGGATACTGTAAAGGGACATCGAGCAGTGATATAGTTGCGTGCGTGCGCCATCTCAAGGCGTGCGCGCAGCAAATTGGTCACCCAATGTTGCTGCCCACAATCATCTTTAGCCACGACATGAGTTCAAAAACGGATATCAAGCAACGTGAGGCGCGCGATTGGCTGAGGAAGCTCGAGCATGCTGTGAGTATGCGCCAGGAGATTGATGACAAGGAGAGTTATGTCGACCAAGACGGCCTGGTGGATTTCGACCTCATCAATCGACATCTTGTCGAGTGCCACAGTCAAGTACTGTGGAAGCGGCCAAAGGCATACATGCAGATTCTCCAAAGTTTTGATGAAGCTATGGAGCTATTCAAGTCTTCTGCACAGAGCGGCGAGCGATGGCAGGGCGAGTTGAAGAAGCTGAATGCGAGTATGCTCTCACGGCACGAGTTTTACCGCAAGAAGCTGCAGGGAATCGATAGCTATGCCTACACCACGCTGCAGCGGCTTGCCATCCAACGAAGCGCTCTGTACAACATTATCGCGCAGCGAGAGAGCAAGCTGAACTTCCAGATGGCAGGCGAGCAGCGCAAACTCGCACACGCGTCGAAGCGTGACTCAGGCGCACAAAAGACGATTGCGCTTCTCGGGGCCCTGTTTCTGCCTGGCGCGTTCCTGGCGTCTATGTTTTCCATGTCGTTCTTCAACTTCCAGAATGGGGTGGTGGACGTCAATCCAGAGGCACCTATTGTGTCAGAATCATTTTGGATATATTGGGCCGTGACTGTCCCATTGACGCTATTGATTGTGGGACTGTGGCACTACTGGGAGAGGCGGAAGGAGATGCGGTATCTAGAAGAGGATCTTTTGCTTGAGAAGGGCGTTGAGTCGATGGAAATCCAGATTCAGGCGCAGATGAGAAGAAGGACTATGAGCAAGGTTAGTACGTGGGACACCAAAGCATCTTAGAGGTGGTGGCAAGTGGCGCCGCCCGATGCCTTATGATGATGAGATTTATGATATACGGCCTGGTTGTATTGAGCGATTGGATAGCAAAATTTCCTATTCTCCTTGTTTCACGAGATCAAGTTAAGATATACGACACTTCATGTAGCAAGCAACGATTTATGAGAAATGAAGATTTATTATCAAGAAGTTTTGTAATGACTATGCCTTGTTGACTTTGGACCCGGTAAAAATCAGAATTACAATTGGTGTCATATAAGTTTATCTACTCTACTCAAGGCGGTTTCATGCCGAATGGGCATGCGACAACACGGGAGAAACATCACTAATCTGGTAGATATCCGGGGATGCCGACAGGTTAGGCGTCAAGCAACACAGGGGAATCAACGGTCTGGGAAAAGTGTCTTAGTTCGTTAATAAGTCCCAGCACCCCGCATTGCTATCCTAGCCGTTATACAATATATAACCCGCAAACGCCACTCGGTATCGTATATCATTCCAATTTCCATCCGAGTCCCGCTGTATTTCGTTACATAGCCTTTCAATCATCCCGGTCCTCTTTGTTGTCCTTACCATTCCCGCCCGAAACTGATGCCACAAAATCCTGGTACTTAAACACTTCGCCTCTCTTCCCCGCCACCATCGTCTTCCCAAACGCCCTCCTTCCGCTAAACCCACTCATGATCCTATCTACCTCCCTTGCCGTTAACATCTCCTCGCCTGCTTCCGGAGCTGTATGAAGCAGCGCATCCTTTAGCTCTGCTAGATCGACCTGGCCGCTATCATCATCGTCAAATGCCGCAAATGCGTTCAGCAACTCATCAGACGGGCTGAGGCTTGCCAACATGGTTGAGATCTGGGTTAAGAAAGTCGCCATCGTCATCGTCTGCGACTGGCTTGGAGGGAAGAAACTCGACAGGTCAGACGCAGACGCCGGGAGCCCAAGCTGTGTCAGCATGTCAGCGACATCTTCGCGGTTGACGATTCCATCGCTATCACGGTCTAGGATCTGGAATCCTTCACGGAGCTCGCGAACCTGGCCAGGTTGCAGTTTTGAGAGGGCGTTGGCATCAGACATGTTGCGGGAGGTATGGGCAGAGCGGCTAATCTGAGGGCTTGATTCGGTCTTGACCGGGCTAGACCGGATCTGTGATTCGAATCGGTCCGTGAGCATGGCCCCGGATCGAGGGTTGGATTCTGCACCGCGAGTGGGTGAGCGTTCTGGCTCACGGCGCGGGGTGGTCACAGGCGCGAGGCCGCGGGGCGTCCAGGTATCTGTGCTTGGTGTTGATGTGCTGGAGTGTAGTTTGGAGGGGGTGTTTATTTGCTTGGAGGGTGACGATGCCGGGCCATTCAAAGGTGCGTTGGTTGAGTTCCGTAGCGGCGATGGCGAGGCTGGAGATTCTGGGCGGCGGAAGGGAGATGTGCGAGGAGAGTTGAAGGAGAGTGGAGATGGTTTGTAGGAGGCCTGGGCAGCCTGGTGTGGGGATTAGTACTTGGATTTGAGTTCGGTGTTTTGGGTAGGAGCGATCCTGGTTGCTAGCTGGGGGAGGGCAGTTGCGGTTGCTCACCATGTTGGTAGTTGCTTCTCAATAACAAATCTATATATAAAGGTGGGTTCACTGGTTATAAAATAAGCCTGTCGTCGAAGGCGTAAAAGGGCGTAGTTGATAAGATGTATGAATCGTCGCAATGGTGCATCTGGTCGTCGTCGTCGTGTTGTCCCTCAGACAAGTGCATTCCTACTCCTATTGGCTAGACCGAGTCGAGGTAAACAGAGCTAAAGCACGTGTAAACTTCAGCCTTGTACCCCCCTTCCTTTCATTGGTGGTAGTTGGCGCGAGGCTCGAGGCACGGACGCAATAACCTTAATGCCGTTTCAGGGGCCAAATACGCACTGCATGACATTGGAAATGCTTCAAGTATCGGGGAAAACTGATTGCGAAAGAACTCGAGACAGTTAATACGACTTATTCAACATTCAGGATTGATTATATATTGGATACATTAGTTTGCAACAGTCACACTATCCAGGTGGGACTCGTTGATCGCATTCGTTTATCGTCACCGCGCATCAACTGCCCCGCCAATGCGCCTCACACATCGTTAATATAAACTGGCTGGAAGCGAATATAAGTTCGCCCTCAGCCCCCCATACTAGCTATGGCGACTACATCGACTAGCAGCGGTATTCTTTATCGACCTCCTACAAACGGCACTACAAGCTCCCATGGCAGTGCGGCAAACAGACGAACTTCCCTCTCGTCCTTCCCCTCGTCTCGCGCCGCGTCGCAAGTCTCCGAACATTCGCGCATATCTAAGTCCCCTGCTCCTCCTGCGCATGATGATGGCCAGCAATCCCAATGGAACTCTACCCAAAGAGCAAAGACACCATCGAGCGACATTTCCCCACATTCGTCACAGTCCCCTGTGAAGTCCAACCCCAATGCGCATTCCCATAGAAAGTTGCGTTCCCAATACCCACGCGGAGACACAGAGAATCATGTCGAGTACATCCTTGTCGCGTCATTTGATATCGATCGAGGACCTGTCATGGAACACCAATATCCAGTAGCTATAACTGGAGACGAACACATGCTCGCAGAACTTATGTTACCGGACCAAGCGCATGTACGGAACCAAGATTGGACAATATTTTTCCTACATAAAGATACGAGCCAGGAGGAGGAAGAGGCAGAACTCAAGGCCGAGAAACGCCGTAGAAAGAAGAGAAGGAGGGATATTGCGGAAGGCCTAGTCGAGGCGGACGAAGAGGACGAAGCGGACCTAGAAAATCACCCATCAGATGATGATAGCGACAGCTCAGAAGAAAGTGAAGATGAGGGAGGCGAAGGGCCTCCGCTTATTTACGTTTTAAACTTGGTGAATACCAAGCAAGATAAAACGGCCAAGAGAGGAGCTGTTGTGAAGGCCATGGCGATATGCACAAGGCATCCATTCTTACATATTTATAAGGTTGGTATCTGCCATGATTCATACTGTTCAGCTGCTAACTGTTTAGCCCCTTTTATTATTAGCATTGGAGGAGTACTTTAAGGCTCCCCACCCAACCACTCTGTCTGTTTTATACGATGCAGTAAATACTATGGATCTTTCGCTCATGCCAAGGTTGTCACTCCTTGAGAGATATTTACTACAAACGAGCGATAATCAAGATCTCTTCTTGGAGAAGTTTGAGCAGATGACTCATATAAGGATGGCTGAAGACCGAGGAGAAACGATCAAAAGTGCAGCAATTGGACATAGCAGCCCGGAGAAGAAATCGGATCTCACCAGAAATGGTACGAGAGCGCATGTCCAGCAAGGGCACCCCGAATACTTTGTGCCTCGAGATACTCACGAATTCGAGACACGGGTCATCTACAACGGGATTCCGATACCAATCAAAGTCCCGGTTGCGATCGCGCCAGAAACCGTTGGCGACTTCTCGATGATTAAACTGATACAGACCTTTGGGGATCCTCACGCTAAAAACCCACAGCCATTCACTCTACACTCACACCTTACCACTGGTGGGGCATATACTCATCCTATCATCGTCCTTGTAAATGCCATTCTTACTCAGAAGCGGGTTATATTCTTAGGCCACAACAGGCCTTCTGGTGAAGTTGCTGAAGCAGTTCTCGCTGCTTGTGCATTAGCATCAGGAGGTATCCTTCGTGGCTTCACACGCCATGCCTTCCCATATACAGATTTGAGCAAGATCGATGACCTCCTCAAAGTTCCAGGTTTCATTGCCGGTGTGACGAACCCGACGTTTGAGAACCACCCAGAATGGTGGGATGTCCTATGCGATCTTCCGACTGGACGGATGAAAATAAGCCCTCGGATTGAGCAAGCACCTGTAACTGAAGGGTTGGTCTTTTTCCAACAACAGAACCCACAGTTTTCAACTCATACCATTGCGGCTACATCTACTACGCCAACGTCTGCTGATCCAACCGGTGATGCTGCGTTTATGGCTGATGTTCTCAAAAGCATAGCTGCTCGGCACGGTGAAAATGCCGTGCGATCAAAGTGGAGAGTTTGGGTTGAGAAGTTCGCTCGAATTTCAGCAGCCTTCGAGGAAACAGTGTATGGTGCTAGTGCTCTGTACATAGGCAGTGAAGAAGACCCCAAACATGCTGATGGCACTAGTGGACACGGCTACGTCTGGAGCGATGAAGGGGCGAGGCAAAAATCGCTTGCCGGAAATGCAAGCAGGATTGAAGGATGGCGTAATACTAGAAGCTATTATAGCTTTATCCAGGTAAGACGACAGTCACTCCAAAAGTTTACTCCCATTAATATTCTTAGGATCTTGCTCGATATTTCACCGTTCAACCTCAGAAATATATAGACTTGCATCACCTTCATGACCGACTGAAAGTTCAGAAATTAACCCAAGCGGCTTCGGGAGAGATATACATTGCATTCTCAAAAGCAGCAGTGACGTATGACGAGATCTGCCAACTTCTTTCCGTCTGTCCTGTGAATCAAGCTGGTGTGTTTTATATAGCTTTAGGGCTATTCCATAAGGACATCGAGGTACGGAAATCGGTTGTTGAGCTTTTGGAACGGATCAGCGAGCACGAAGCTGGGCGACATTGGTGGAAACGCCTCAGTCGCTTCGAGAGGTTGGCATATATTAGGATTAAGATGGAGATAGAGGCAGGTGAAGGGGGCTCTGGCAAGCAGGCCAAGCGTTCTCCATTCGAGGGTTTACGGGATAGTTGATTGGGTTATGTTTGTTTTGGATGGTGTATGAATCACGAGGCTATGATAGCGACGACGGTTACATTTATGATTTAGGCGCCCATGGATAAAGTTATGATCTGAAGATGGGTAGTGAGCGTTGGTATTATAATTTTGCCCATTCAGATATTGTTATGATCGTGCCTTGCGGATTATCGTGACCCCAGGGTTACGGAAGCGGGGTAGAGGGGTGAGTGACATCGTCATAGGCCTTGGCCCGGCCAATTTCGGACAATAAAAAAGCGTCCCAAATCCATAGACCCTGCGCTCTTTCTCTTATAGTAAAGGCAATTGAACGTCACTTCCTATTTCATTCATTCAATATGGCAAAGGCTTTCAGTGTCCAGGCGACTATTGCGTCGTTCGGGGGGAATTTATTGAAACTTGAGCACAATGCGACGTCGACAGGCTCGACAATGAAGTTGAACCTCTTCTTGCCCGCTCAAGCCGAGAAGGGGAAAGTACCCGTCATCTTTTATCTGGCAGGCCTGACATGTACTGGGGACAACGGGGCGGAGAAGGGCTTCTTCCAGGCGACTGCCAGCAAGCACGGAATCGCCATTGTATACCCTGATACAAGTCCAAGTTCGTCCCCTACCTCCCACCCAAGCTCTCACACTCCCCAGTAGTATGACAGAGTCCATGCTAACTAAAGCCAGGGGGTCTCGGTGTTCAAGGCGAAGATGAGTCCTGGGACTTTGGCACGGGTGCAGGATTCTACCTCGACGCGACGAAAGGGTCGTACGCGGCGGGGTACAAGATGAGTTCCTATATCACAAAAGAGCTTCCAGTAGCTCTATACGGACAGTTTGAGAACCTAGATAGCTCCCGAGTGAGCATTATGGGCCACTCAATGGGTGGCCACGGAGCCTTAACTCTGTTTTTGAGGAACCCGGGGATGTATAAGAGCGTCAGCGCTTTCGCGCCAATCTCCAACCCGAAGAACTGTCCTTGGGGACAGAAGGCTTTTGGGGGTTACTTGAAGAGTGAGGAGGAATATGATGAATGGGATGCAACGGAGCTTATTAAGAAATGGGGAGGTGACTTCGAGGCACTGATTGATGTAGTGAGTGGTCATAATAGATAGAGAGCCTTAGTAGCTCTTGGGAAGATAACATAGTGTGCTAACACGCAACAGGGCGATGCCGATAACTTTTACAACCATGGCCAGTTGCTGCCTGAGAACTTCATAGAGGCTGCAAAGTCCAAGGGCAAAGCCGACAAGATCAATTTAAGGATGCAGAAGGTAAGAACCATTGTGGCAGCTCAATAAGCATAAGACGACAAGCTGACAGGAATAATAGGGCTACGATCACAGCTACTTCTTCATCTCCACTTTCTCCGAAGACCACATCAACTACCATGCCAAACGCCTATTGTAGAAGGTCTTGATTTGTATTCAGATTACACATTCCCCGTCTCTCAAAGTAGTGATAGGGCCAACACGAATGACTAGAGCTTAGCACTAGAGCCAGCATGCACCACGCAAATACAGTATATGTGAACAATCAAGCCTCCTGTATTTTCATTGTGATGTACAGACCAGACTTCAGTCGTGTCCAGAACGCCATTTTTTTCTCCATCCAGAACCCATTATCATATGCATCGCTAAGAAATCAGAAAGTATTGAAGAAAGGGACCCATCCGAGCCAAATCTTAAGTGAGAAGTTCTTCACAAGTCCAGTCCTCATACCTGAAACATGTAGGTTAGCACTTAAGACAGAACGAATCGAGGTGTAAAATCTTACCATCCGTCTGGCATGTACCTCCTGACAATCAGAGGGATCTTCTTTTCCCTCAGTTCCTTGATGGCGATCTGAAGCGGGTCCGTCTCGCCCTCCAAATCGACCAAAACCGGTGCGTTCATGCTGATTTGCAGCGCCCTTGTGCCCAAGATTCTCGCCCGCTCATACTTCGTCATGTACGGAGTGGTTGTCCTCTGGTCATTCGCGATCTTCTTATCCTTTGGGGCCTTATCCTTTCCTTTGGCGGCGGCTGCTGATGGGTCGCCAGAGATCACAACACCGTGCTCACCAGTCGCAAGGAGCTGGTCGGGGTTCTGTGCGGCTTGGAGGTCATCGATCTGGGCAACTTCGTCCTCGCCGTTGTATGGCTCTGGCTCTTCTGGGTCGTACTCGGGCTCCTCATCCTCGTATGCTGGGGAGTTTCTGTGCCACTGTGTTAGTAATGAAGGGTCAATTGCTATCGCGCTGCTGGTGGCTGGCAGAACGCGACCTCATTAGTCCCCCATGTGCACTTACCCTCCTCCCCCATAATCATCTCCAGCGTCAGACATGTTGAAACGATTGCGCGCTTTTGATTTGAGAGGATGTGATTGTAGAGTTCGGAGAACAGGCGTGGAGAGTGGCCGTTGTTGATGGGGCTCTTCCGCACTCACAAAGAATTTACGCTCCTCAGCAAGATACCTTAGCTTGGCGCCAAAATTTAAGGTTTGCGACAAGAACTTGGCTCACCGCCTTCCTCCCTTGTCCCAAAATATTCTGTCACCTCCACAACCACTCGGTGCCAACCGCAAAATTATGTCAACTTTGTCGCACAGAGTTTTGATCATGACAACAACAATTTCGCTGTAGACCAAATTTATGGAGGGCGGCATCATGGAAGTCAGCGATACTAAACGGAAGGCCACACGCACTCTACGTGGCTCGTCAAAGAGAGCAAAGATCGAATCTTCTGCCATTGGTAAGTTGCTAAGTGGTTACCTCATTGCTATTCTGCCAGATGCTAATGGGCAATAGATCCTGCATTCTTCAGTTCTGATAGCGACGGCGATGACAATTACTCAGACCAGGGCGAATCCGATGCTTCTCATGATGAGGATCTCGAGCCTACAGAGACTCCACAGACACCGTTCTCCCCGCCGCAGCGAAAATTCCCATCAGAATTAAAGACCATAAAATGCACCTATGACGGTTGCACGAAAACCTTCAACAGGCCTGTTCGCCTTGCATCTCATCTCCGGTCACATACGAATGAGCGTCCATTTGCATGCACATATGCAGACTGCGATAAAGCGTATATAGAAGAGAAACATTTAAAGCAGCATATCAAGGGATCTCACACGCACGAAAGAAACCACCACTGTGACTGGGAAGGCTGCACAAAAAGTTTTCTAACGGCTACACGACTTCGAAGACATCAAGCAGCCCATGGGGGACATGAACGCTTTCGCTGCACGGAATATCCGCCGTGCACCGAGACCTTCCGGAAACATCAAACCCTACAACGTCATATTCGTTCAGACCACCTAAAACTGACCCCATTCCCATGCACATTTATGGACCCGACTACAAACTTGCAATGCACGGCGGGATACGATTCAGCCGGAGCCCTAAGGAAACACGAAGACCGCCTCCACGGTGCCCTCCGATTCTGGTGCGACGTCTGCACCACAGAAGGCGCTCCGCAGCCAGCCGGCTTCCCCACAAACACCCAACTAGCCAAACACATCCGCAACGAGCACGCAAACTGTATCTTCTGCGACCTGCGATGCTCCTCCGAGCGCGAGCTACAACGCCACATCGAGACCTTCCACGCCGCCACCTCCTCTTCCCCAGCAAGGAAACAGATCCCATGCACCTACCCCGGCTGCGATAAATCGTTCACCAAGAAATACAACCTCGATGTCCACGTGCGCACCTCGCACGAAGGCCAGCGTTTCATCTGCGGCCAAACGGATTTCAGCAAGTCCGCTAAGCTAAGGACATGGGATGGTTCAGATGCCTGCGGGAAGGATTTCGTCTCCAAAGTCAACCTCGAGGACCACATCCGCACCCAGCACCTCGGGCTCCCGAGCACAGTCAATGCCCGCCGCGTCAAGAAAAACAGCATCGGCGCGAAGCCACGCAAGGCAAAGTCCGTCATGGACGACGCAGTTAACGCCCTAACAGGGACGAACTACGCCCAAGACCCCGTCCGCAACATCCCCTGCGACGTCGGGGAATGCGACTGGATGTTCTCCCGGGACTATGATCTCATTCAGCACAAGCGCGTGAAGCACGGCGTCGTTCCCGTGTTCGAGACGAAGCCCGAGATGCTGCAGCCGGATTTCGGTGGTATGATGATGGAGGCGCCGGAGCCGATGTATAATGGGCCTCCGCATATTAGTGATGATAGGGGGGAGTGTGAGCGCCTTAGTTGCCCGCATTGGGATCATGTGGTTTTATATGATGATTATTATGGCCTTGATGGATTTATGGGGGTGGAGGAAGGGGAGGCTGATATGGGGCTTCAAGGGGGGTTGGAGTATCCCGAGCCGCCGGATTATATGACTGGGAAGACATATGATCTAGAGATTTAGATGGGGGGTGGGTAAAAGTTTATATGGGGGGATTCGCAAGTGCTGCGTCTCTCCTTATTGTTAGCGATTTTTGAGCTTGGTAAAAGAGCACGCTTGGGTGTATCCAAGCATATATGTGTTTATGACCTCATGAGAATAGAACAAGATTCAAACCATCATTTCTGATCTTTGATTTCGAGCAACGTACTACTACAACCCGTGCTGCTCAGCCGAGCAAGTCTACCCTCCCTTATATAAGTGGCCAAGGCATACTTTGTACACAACCTGATCCCCCTTTAATCCCATATATGCAACCCCCCCTTTAAACTTCAAAAAATACACCAAAAACACCATCCCTTCCCACCTCCTCCCTAACCCGCACAGCAAGCCAGCCGTGACTTATATGCAGCCCTAACCCAAACGACCCCGAGCAACTATCACAGTACTGTATAACCCGTCCTCTCCCTATCCAGCCCAGGCAGTCACGACCAAAAGCCACTAGAGCACGACGCACGCGAAACCCCTACTCCCTCACCCCCATCAAACTCAACAACCCATCCGCCGCCCTTCCCTTCACCCCGCTACTAGTCAACTCCTCATCGCCCCCCGTCGCCTCCACCTGCATATGCCTCGGCAGCGGCGTCAGCATCTCCACCTTCTCCGGCGACGACAGCCCCTCAACATCCACATCCACATCCACATCCACATCCACATCCAGCATCAACTGCCTATTCTGGGGTCTGGGCGTCGCGGACCCGGGCTCCTCGATCTCCGAATCAGCCCTGGGGGGAGAGTTGGCAACGGCGGTGGTGGGACGCGCTGGTGCTGAACTCCGTCTTGGGAGGGCGGGGAGCAGTTCGAGGCGCGAGAGGGGGATGTCGTGTTGGTTTGTTTTGAGCTTGTACATTGCGAATTTTAGGCGGAGGCGGAGGGCGGTGGCGTTCTATGGGGGAATTAGTGGGGGTTTCTTTGGTTTTGGTGAGGGAGGGAATGGGGGGAGGGAGTTTACCTCGCGGAGCTCGGAGTCGGTGGTGTTAGCTTGGGCGGTTGGGGAGGGTGATTCCCTTGCGGAGTTGGGGACTGTGTCGGGGGACGTGAGGACTGTAGAGTATGAGCTCTCCAGTGGCACCTCTTGAGACACTGATGGTGTCCTGGCGCGAACGGATGTTGCTTGGGTCGACTGCATTGTCATTAGCACGTGGTCCTCACCCATTAGTAAAGAAAGAATAGCATACCTCAAGCCCCTCATCCCCCTCCGCGTCCACCCCCTCCACCTCACTTGCCAAACCCAACCCACCCATCTCCCCCCCGTCTGTTCTCGCAACCTTAACACTCCCCTCCTCGCGCCCCTCCACATCCGTAGGCGCCTCCTTCCTCTTCTCACTCCTCGGCTCCTCCTTGGGCCCAACAACGCGTACCGGCGTCTCCCTCAGCACCTCCACCTGTACCTCCGCAGTTTCCAATAACTTCTCCTTCAAGCTCCTCGCCACCGGCTCCATCTCCGCATCCCCATCACCAAACACAAAATCCCGTTTCCTAACCACCGACTTCTTAGGACTGCCAAGCGGGGAATTAAGGTGCTTGTTGACGTCCAGCGCGCCGAGGGCGATGCGGGAAAGTGTGGGTTGGCTGGGCGTCTCCATTTTGTTTTTTTTTGGGAGAGAGAGAGAGAGAGATAGGAGGCGGGTTGGGCGGGGATTTATGGGAAGTGGTGGTGGAAGGTGGATGTTGTGAGCGGATGTGACTGCGTCGCGTTGTGTCTCGTTCCTAATAAATCACCCACGCGTTAGCCATGCGTTTTAGAGGAAAAGCACAACACACCAAACCCCGCCGCGTATGCCAAATGCCGTAGCAAATGAATTGAAAGAATAAGATAGACTTACAAGAAACGTCCTCTTACACAAACAAAGTAAAAGGAGATCTTCGAACGCGGATAATATTGTGAGAGGAACTCTAGTTGTAAATGCAGTGATAAATAAGTTACTTATTTCCAGTCGCGTAAGCATGCTCGAAGACGGGAGGGGGGCGAGCCACACGTTCATTCGGCTGTTACCGAGTAACCCTGCTAGGTCGCTGGGGACCCTGATCGGCACCAGCCACACGTGATCTGTGGCTGATGTTCAAGGTCACATGATGTCATATTTAGGCATGTAACGCAGTCGCAAACCCCTATGCTCCCAGGGGCATTTCAAACCTGTCACTTTTTTGAGTCAAGAGTCAAAAGGCCTAGATGTGTGGATCGCCAGAAAACCATATATAGATCATTAAGAATATTCATGAGAAAATATCGTCACGGGCTCCGAGAGCTAAAAACTAAAATACACCCCCCTAGAGTAAACCGTACTTTCTTTCCTTCCTACAGTCGCGCTCAGCTTCCAGCTTCCATACAATAGATCAATCACCCCCAACGCCGCGCTATCGCCATCAAAAATTTTAATCTCCCCCTTCCAACAGATACCGCAATTCCCGCGCCCCGTGTAAAAATTCGAATCGACCCAAGATATTCCCCCAAAAATCAAAGCACTCATCAAAATAACTCCAAAAAGAACACGCCCCCCCCGTCCTCTAAATTTCTTTCAATAAAGATACATCATCCTCTTACAGATCCTGTTCGTTCATCCCGAACAACGATGTATCAAACGGAAACGGCTTGTCCGGCGCCGAGAAGTCGATGAACTGGTCCCAGGACTGGGAATCGTTGTTCGCCAACAGGTCGGAGTCGACCATCACCGAGTCGTCCACGCCGCCGACGGTGATCTCCCCGAATCCCAAGAGGTCATCCGCGACGCTCGCCCCAAAGGGCATCCAGTTGACGTCAAACTCGCTGGAGTGAAGGTCGATGCTCAGATCCATGCCCTCCGTGATATCGCTATTGGGTTCAGAGATCCCATCCTTGCTCGACTCCGGCGTGTCGTTCGGCGTGATGGAGCGATAGACGTCCATGTTCGAGATGGCACCTCCGGCTCCAGTCTCGAATTTCTGGAAGTTGTGCAGCAGATCCTGGGGATTGACAGACGAGTTGGCCCATAGATTCTCTGGAGTCGGCTCAGCCTTAGGTGCAGGCTGACCCTTGGCAGGAACCTGTTTCGCCGCTACTGGTGTACCTTGTTTCCCATCGGATGGCTTTGTCGTCTTGGTGGACGTGGCGGGGCTAGGCTTTCCGGTTGTGCTAGTCTGTGCTTTCATAGGCACTGCAGAAGCGGCTGCACCCTTGCTGTCGACATCAGCGGCTCCATCTGCTGTTTCGCTCTTCTTCGTCGTTCCATCTTCCTCCAGGCCAACCATCCGCGACAATTGATTTAGCATAAACGTTACAGGCTCCTTCAGAGGCTTAACATGCTCTTCTTCCTTGTGTTTCTCCAGCTCCTCTTCGGTCGCAAATGGATCGTTGAAGAAATGGTCACAATCGATCTCCGGGCATCCCCACATCGTTGGCCCTTGCTTAACTTCTCCCATCTGCTCCTGTTGCATATCCGGCGCGCCAGCAGCTTGCGGAGGAAGGATCTTCTGGGTGGCAGCTTGTGGAGAGCTGTTGCTGTTCTTCCTCTTCTTCTTGGGCGGGATATGGAGCTGCGTAGAGTCGATCTGCGGCGGTCCATACATGACAGGCACGCCATGGGGTGAGTTGAGGGCAAACGGCGGTTGCGAAGTAGTCGGTGCCGCTGGTGTCTGTGATTTACTGACCGAGCGGTTGCGAGCCTTGTTTTGCTGCTGCTGCTTCGCCAATGCCTGCTGTTGTTGCTGAAGATTGGCCGCATTGAGTGGCACGGACGGCTGAGGCATAGCTCCAGTGGCTGGAGGCTGGCCAGTAGCTGGACCTGCAGCACCTTGCGATCTTGATAGGCCAGGGTATTTGACAAGCACATCCGCAATCATGTTCTGGGCAATGTTCAAAGCTTCGTCGACATCTTTCATCCCCATAGAAAAGGTCTGTTTCGGGGTCTGCATTGACGGATCCTCAAACTGCTGGGCAACTTTGATTTGCTAGGACGGGTTAGTCATGGTTTATTGTAGGGAAATATACGCTGAAACTTACAGTGCGGAAGAAGGTTCTCAATCGGTTCTCATCATGCGTAATGGCGAACCAGCGTGGTGCCACTTTAGAGACATTTGAGAGTTTCGGTGCTGTGTTAACCAACTTGTTCGCCACAGCCTGCCTCGTGTTTTGATCCATCGGCAAGTCCTCCGGGGCCTTGAATTTCGAGATTTCTTCTTGTCTAATTGAGTGGAATAGCGTCATGTCTTCCGGCGTAGGCAGAGGACCAACTTGGGGTTTGCTCTGTTGGAATCGCTGCATGCTCTGGATATACTGCTTTCTCTGGTCGGGAGTAAGAGAAGCTACCTGCTCTGCCGTAAGATTGAACCGGGGCGGTTGTGGCTGTCCGGGCTTCTGCTGTTGGTTCACCTGCTGCTGCTGCTGAGTCTGCCTGGCAGCTTGCTGAGCATTTGGATTCGGAACCTCAACAACATCATCACTACTAGCTCGCTTCAAGCTCTTGCCTTGTTGAGGCTGAGCTGGAGATGATGCTGGCTGTTTAGCCTTTGCAGCACGCGCTTGCGCAGCCGTAGGCTGTTTCACATCAGCTGACGGTTGAGCTTGTGGTGGGCGTGTCGGCTGCACAGCTGGTTGTCCGCTCTGGGGCCTTGCCATCTTCTGTCCTTGCGCTGCTTGCCCTTGCTGAGCCTGGGGCTGTTGTACTCCAGGACGCTGCGCAGCAGCCATAGGGCCGGCCTGTCCAGTCGCTTGGGGTATTAACCCCTGATGCATTTGCTGCTGTTGTTGTATCTGCGCCAGCTGCCGTTGTCGGTTCAGCAATTGATTTTTGACCAACGTTTCCCTGATTTGATCGTCACTCATGCCTGCCAATCTTCCGCTTGGATGCGCTCTAGCCTTTTGGATGTCCTCCATGGACACGGTCGCTGCGCTAGCCATGTTCTGTGCTATTTGGTGATTCTGTTGCGGCTGTGGCTGGCCCATCTGAGCAACAGGAGCTCCCATCGCGGGGTTTACGCCCATTTGTGGCTGGCCGCCTACTTGGTTCATGTTCCTGCCGGCCTGTTGCTGCAAACGCTGCTGCTGTTGTGTCATTCTAGCGCGGACGAGGCCTTGGTAGTGCATCCTTTGAAGCTGCTTCACTTGCTCCAATAACTGGGGCATATTTCCGAAGTTTTGAGCAACCCAGGTTTTCAACTGGCCCCACCTCTTAATCTCCGGTGGTACCTGTCGTGGAATATTCTGAACCGCTTGTGCTGGGAACTCCATATGGTCGATTTGGCTAATGGCAGCCATATCTCCCATTGGGGTCTGCGGCACATTGCGGCCCTGCGCTTGCTGCTGGGACATTCTGTTCGCGATCTGTTGCTGCATGAGCATCTGCTGCTGCGGGTTCATTCCGGCCATCATTTGCTGGTTAGGACGTTGAATTTGCTGGCCATTTGGCAAAAACTGAGCCCCCATCTGGTTCGCTACATTCTGTTGTTTCATCCCAGCCTGTGGCATTCCCTGGTTGGGCCGGACCATTTGGCCATTCCCCGGCATTGGCCCCATTGGCCTACCCTGCTGCCCAGGCGGCACGACTCGCTCATTCCACTTTCCAATAACCTCATTCAGCTTGTCTGCAGGTAATGCTGAGAGCTTTTGGCGTTGCTCTTGCGTCATGTTGGCGGGAAACATAATGCCGGCGTTCTGTCCATTGCCTCCGGCCCGCTGGTTCATTGCCGCGGCGAAACGAGGGTCGATAGGCTGTCCGAAGTGTGCTTGTCCAGATTGGTTCAACTGTTGATTCTCTGCTCCAGGATTTTGCTGCGGTGCTCTGACGAGAGGGGCATTTAGCGTGTTCATGGCTGGGCTCTGCGCTGGAGGCATGGGTCCCATGCCGCCAGGTTGGCCGTGAAGCCCCATTTGCTGAGCTTTGGCACGAGCCTGGGCCTGAACTTGTGCCTGAGCGGCTTGGTTTATGCGCTCCTGTTGAGCTTGTTGGGCGTTGAACTGCTGCTGCGCCCTCACATTTGGGTTCTGCGCAACACGCTGGTTATTTGGTGTTACACCCTGACCGGGTAGGCCGGTGATCGGTTGGGGTGTGGTATTCCCCTGCTGGGCATTTTGTGGGATTCCGATTTGCCCCGCCTCCTGAACAAGATTCGCATTCTGGTTTTGTTGGTCCACTCCACCTAAAAAGCCAAAATCGGCACTACCAATCACCTGCTGCTGTGGTTCCTGTGGTTGGCCTCCGACGGCATTGGGATTTCCCGATCGTTGCTGTTGCATTGGAACCGCAGATTGGGGTCTGTTTGCTGCCATACCTTGGCCCGATTGCTGGTTGGCAAGTTGCTGTTGCCGTAGCTTTTCCTGTCGTAGGCGACTCACTACCTGGTTGCGATAGTACAAAATCAAGGGATCCATTCCCTGAGCCTGATAGCGGAGCAATGTCGCCGGGTCCATTCTTCCCTGCATGTTCATCCGTATGTTATTTTTGTCCTCCTCCGAGGCAGCGGCCATATACCTATTCGTCATCTCGAGCACCATAGCTTGCTCCGCCGGTGACAACTGAGCTTGCGTGCCTTGCGGGCGATTATTCATACCAGGCTGAGGTTGCTGCTGCGACTGTTGAGATTGTTGCTGTTGCATGGGTATCTGGAATTGTGGCTGTGCCTGAGACATGTTTTGAGGCTGCATATTGTTAGCCATCCCCATGCCTCCCTGTTGCGGTTGTGGTTGTTGGACGGGGAGTGGTGATGCCTGCATCTGATGTTGTAGATGCTGATAGGTTTGCTGGGCCTCCGGTTGGCCCATGTTAGGCCTGCCCATCTGCCCCGGCATGCCTCCTTGGTTCATCATCCCCATCTGCTGTGCTTGAGCCTGGGCTTGCGCCTGGGCCTGTGCTTGCGCTTGCGCTTGCGCCTGAAGCGCTGCTTGTGCGTTCATTGATATTTGGTTTCGTGCCGTCGTTAATTGCCCGAGTTTGTCGCGAAGCTGTGCCAAATATGTATCCTAAATTCCTAGTCAGCAAGTTCCTCGGCGCAAAAACCAGTGCTGTTGTAGCTCACTCTATCCGCGGCATTTTCGAAGGCTCCCTTCTCAAAACTCAACGCCAACCCGCACATCTTTTGTATGTCGTTTGCCACAGTATTGGCATTGGTTAGGCGCAACTGAGTGACACTATGATCTGTTAGTCGTGATGTCCAAGTGTCGGTACGCTCCATCGAATAATGAGAATCGGAGATGAATGCAAGTTCCCGAGACACTTACATATGCCACACTTGACCCAAGCGCTCTGTGATCGGAATGTTAGCTCGCCATCCTGATAAGGTGGCCGTCTGTGTCTGTTGCTGGATGTTCTGAAGGAGCACAGTTTGTATCGCGTTCTGCTGCGCCTGATACTGTGCTTGTGATTGATGCATCATCACTGGATTACCTCCAGCATTCCCCATCTGCTGGAAGTTGCCTGCCATCATTTCGACCGATCATATGGCAACCGCCGTGTGTCAAGGCCGTCGGCCAAGGCCCCGCGTCGTTGGACGTATTGTTTTTCACAGCCGTGGTCGTGAAGAGCGATCGCAAATATCGAGATTCGAAGTTAGGCCGAAGAGCTTGTCAAGGCGAAGATCCGGGATGTTGTAGATGTAGAAGTCGGGGTTTCTGAAATTGTCCCCTGTCAGCGAAAGGCTCTCTCCACCTACGGAACAACAATAGGCGGCAAACCGTACAATGCCATGCAAGCTGCCTATATGACCTCCAACTTATCTCCACATAAGATGACCCAGAGTTTGCTTTTTGCGCGAGAGGCAACCGTCGCTAGGTAGGCGAAAAGTAGGAGCGTTTGAGTATGTGTATGTCTGCGTTGTGTGCAGTCGTGGGGTTTCAGCGTCGTAATGGTGAGGTGGACGATGTCGCCAGCGTAACTAACTGCGAGTTTCTGGGATGTATTGATCGCACCAGTTGTGACAGGTGACAGAGTGTGTACGGGGGGTCGCTTCGAATCGAAGGGTGCGTTTCGTGGTAGGGCGTATGTGACGATAACAAGACCGTGACAGCGGCAGAGCGAGCGAGGACGTAGAAGTCGTCGACACCGGTAGAGATAGATGTGTAGGGGAAGAGAGATGATCGTAGATGAGGAACAGAAGATCTTGGATATGGGTAGTAAGGTAGTAAGGCGGTGCGGCAGAGTACAGCACAGTGACAAGGTGGTGGAGTGGTGGGAGTGGGCGTGGGTGTGGGTAGGGACCTCAGGAGGCTTAGTTTCGATTTAGTCTCGTTCAGATGGGGTTGAAGAGGTGGGTGGTGGGTGGTGGGTGGTGGGTGGTGGGTGGTGGGTGATTGCGGGCACGCTGGTCAAGGAAGGGAAGGGAAGAAGGGAAGGGCGAAAGCGAAAGCGAAAGCGAAAGGGCGCAACTGCGCAAGATTGGGTGATACGCAGATTGGCTAGTCTCATACACATACAAAGTAGACTACTGAGGAAGTACCTACACTAGGATAGTACATACACTTCCACATACAGAAGAGTAGAGGAGGTACTTACTTCGTACTATATTGCACTGCTCTTGGTGCTCTAACTACTCTACTATTCTACTACTCTACTATTCTACTAATCTAGTATTCTACTACTCTACTCTACTACTCTACTCTACTACTCTACTACTCTACTCTACTCTAATTACTCTACTATACCGCACTTATACTACTCTACTCTACTATACTGCCACTGCCACTGCCACTGCCACTGCCACTGCCACTTCTACAACTCTAGACGACGAGGCTAACGAATCGAGTGGATAGAAGCTTCTATTGTTATACTCACTCACGAGTACTCCACAGTATGTACATACAATCTCTGTGTATACCCTCACCAGTACCACACCACAGCAATGCACCTACATACCTTCGCAAGTACGGCTCCAAGTACGGCGTCTACTACAATATACATCCTCCCAACTCACAATGTTATTCCAGATTGTCTCGACCCCTTCCATCTCCGTTCTCTCTACTACGCCAATTCCTCTTTCCTGTCCCGCTGTCTGTGTTATCAAGGTTTGTTTGTTTGTTTGTGGTTGGTTTGAGTGTGAGACCTGGGTTCACTCTGCCACAGATCAGTACTTACTCTGACAGATCCCCCTTTGCATTTGGCATATCTCAAAGGTCCATCCCAATCTCAAAAGCATGAGGCCGCCCTTGTATTCTCCACGATGCAAGTTCCATTCGGGTCCCCCCCAGCGCAGATCCAACCCGGGCCATACTGACTACAGACGACAGAACAGTAATCGTAGAGCGAGGGGGTATCTATCGCTACACCGACTAGACTCCATATGAGAGGGGAGCAATCATAGGGCGAGGGGTATCGCTACACTGGCCTCCGTATGAGAGGGGAATAGAGCAAGATCTATTCCGAAAGGCTTCACATCTATCTTCCCGCAGTGTAGCAGGACTGAATCATGGTATCTCCTCGTCGTACCATACATAACCGACCCCCCCCCCCCATCGCAGGCCGAGTCGCACAAAACATTCCCAGCCGACCAAGGTAGGTGCCTGATGATCGACTTTGGGCGTTCGCCGCTGAAAGAGGGACTTCCCTTCTTCAACGACGCTGGTGTTACTCACATTTGGGGCTCCAACCCAGACGAGCCACGATACGTGCCAAACACCAATCACCCGCATAAGATCGCATGTCTAAGCCCTCGACATGCAAAATTTTCCTCTCCTCCAGCTATGCTGACAGTAAAGTCAACGGCTTCATAGGAGGGGGACTTCCACTGTACTTTCACTTCAGTTCAGTGGTGCAGTAGTAGTGGTTGCTAGAAGAGTCGTGACACGACAATCATTGCGGTTTGCAAGGGTTGGGAGTACTTGGAGGTGGAAGCCGCTCCAATTGCGCGTTAGTTGGATCTGGTGGTGTTCTCGTGCTGCAGGAATAGCCCATGGGCTACCTACGCTTCTTCCCTGCCACCCCTGCCTTGCGCACCTTGTCTCTGGGTGTGGTATCTGGGGTGGCTGCCACGGTTTGTCCGTGCAGAAAAGGGTCAGCCAGACAGACCTTGCCCCCAGCCCAGCCCAGCCATCCTTCCCGCCTTCAATTGTGAGTCCTCGCCGATGGGTGGGTTACTCCTAACTTTGCCGCAACTTAACACGTACCTGACGCCCCGGCATGGATATTCTCCTTTTTTTTTGCTCTTCTGATGAAATGGCCGCGCAGCAAAAGAGAGAACGTTTATTTGGGGGAGGCAGAGCCGGGAGAGCCACAGATTAGGAGACATGGGAGGCAGGCATGGGAGGCAGGGTACTGTTGGTCTCAGACAGACTGGACGAGGGTGACGGGGCCAATGGAATGGCTGGCAATCGTCCCCTCCTGTCCCCTTGGCACACCTTGGGAACATCAAACATCCAAGTAGCACAAGCGCAGCCCAAAGCGATTTCAAGCCATTTCCTAGATTGGGTATGGTGCGGTGGATGGAGCAGATCGAATTAACAGGGCATGAAATTATTGTTGAGAGACATGTAAAATATCGATTGAAATACTTGGTAATTGTTATGCGCGCGACGAAAGAGAACGGACGATCGGGGGTTGGATGACCAGGTCAGCGACGGGGGGGGAAGAACAGACGAGGAAAATATTTATCTCTGGACTGCCTAGCTGGCTGGCTGGCGGGGGGTGGGGGTGGGGGGTTGGTAGGTGACAGTGGGTGACAGCGCATGCGCCCTCGAGGGAGAGGGACTGCGGTCAGTCCTAATCGAGGCAAGGACACAAGTAATAAATAGACGGGGACATCGATCCCGCGGCGGCAACGAAGGCTCAACGGACAGTCGCTATAGGCGCAAAGTATGATGTGGATACATGGGATTAGTCGCGCGACATGTAGGCGAAACAAAGTACGAGTAGTAACTAACTGTACATGCACGAAGAGAGGAGACAGTTAGTTGTTGCTCTCTCCTTTTTACACGCGAAACTCCTCAGCTAACTTAGAAACCCCATCGTCTCTCCTATCCCATCCATCTACACTCGCTTCAAGTTGCAATATCAACGCCCACCCACCCAATACCCAAAAAGCCAATACTACTCCACCCCCTTAGCGTTCCGGTCAGGACAAGTCGCGCCAACCTCTACACTAACTCCTAACACCCCTAACACTCCTAACACTCCCTACTAATGGCTACCCAGCAAAAGAGGTTGGCGCTGGCGCGGACGGCAGTCGGGTGCATTTTAGTGGACGAGGCAGCCAACCAGCGGTGGGCGAAAGACGTTTTTTGGGATTGAGATTGGGCGAGCGAGCCGGAGGGGGACAAGGGGGGGCGGTGACGGGAAAGGTAATGACGGCGGGGACCAGGCGATGGGGCGGGTGTGGGCCATGGTTGGGGGGGTACACACGCACGCACGCTGGTGGTGGATGTCGTGAAGTTCGTAGGCGCAGGGCAGTGGTTTTAAACTGCTGTGAGATTGATCTGGATTGTTGTTTCTGTGCTTGGAATTGTATCTTGCCACACAGCTAGAAAATAAATAGTCAGAGGTGGATTGTTTTTTGGCCAGCGTCAAGGTTCTTTTGTGAGATGTATATGTATAGCAGTGCCAATTAAGGTTGGGGAGGCAGGGCCGCCGGTACTTGAGCGCTGGTGCAGCGGACACCTCGCAAGTTACGGGTACTGAGTAATCTACACTCTATCCAGCACAGGATTGTAGAGTACCGTGATTGTGACGGTAGAACGAGAGTACGGTTACAGCAGCGGCACATGATTTAGAGGACACGGGAGAAACTGCACCGAAAATCTATATACTGAGGTGCAGCACTATAGAATACATAGAGTACTCTCTAACAAGTATCGCACACACACATCTTGTTTCTACAATGTGTCCTTCAGTATGCCTCCCATCCATCCATGTAGTCGTCGTCCACTGCGAAAATTCAACAAGGCGACAACGAGAAGGGAGGAAAGGAACGAAGAAGGGGGACGCTGGACCCACCAATAATATCGCCAGCCCATGTCAGGCTGGCACCTCACTCACTCTCCCCGGCCTCAACCACTCACACCGACTACTCCCCCATCCCCCCCCCAGTCCAAATTACTTTCGTACCTGGGCCCTCACGTGGCGGGTACCGGGAATAGCAAATGCGGGGAGGTAGGGAGGGAGGCGGGCAGATGGGGGGTGGGTGAGATCTCTAGGTCCCCGTCGTCGTTGTTATTGTTGTTGCTGGAATTGAGGGCGCGATGACAACTAGGGATATTAGTTACGCGTAACCAGAGAGAGGATAGGGGAATTACGGTATATAGGAATTGGCATTGCGCCCCTCCTTTGGAGCTGTGAGCAGTTGGCGGTATTACGAGAGGGAAAAGAGTATTTGGCATTCCTCTCTTCCTCAGGATTGAGGGCTGCACGGCCAACGTACAGTATGCCACGGAAGTTGTATGGGATGTGTTTGAGACATGTTGGTTCTGTACCAACACGGTGTGACCTTGTTCTGCATATTTGAAGCGCCCAGATGGTGGTGGGCGAGTACGAACGCCTCTGAACGAGATTTCTATATTTTTATGTTGCCTTTCGAGTCGATTTGCTGGTTTGGGGTGAGTGACACGGTGTGAGGAAATGATGTTTATTTGCTTGGCTTTGGGGATACGTTTGGCGATTGACTCTCCCAAATCGTGAAATCGTAGTCAATCTCACAGTAAGTATAGTACGGTACAAACCCTCCACGGCAACAATAAATACCAAATCCCCCTAGATGAAATGAAATGAAATGAATTCCACCCGGCCGCGCGTTAAAATTCTCACGATTTATTTCCCATTCCCACACATTATGCAACGCTCCAATGCAACCTACCACGTTCATATTTCTCGTCACATCTGAATACCCCAAAGCGTCCTAGCGCCCTAGCCACCCCTCTCGGTTCGATCGCCAAGTGCGGCCACCACTCAACACCAGGCTCGTCCACAGCCTTACCCCAACTCCCCCACCGCTCACCATCGGCTTTAGAACCTCGTGATCTAAATGTCCCTCCTCCGGACGGCCAAACCCACATCTTCACTCCTCCTCAGCTTCAGGAATCCCAATCTCGCGCTCAGGACTGCTAGAGTTACAATCAGACCTTTCTCAACTACCCTTCTCACTCCCCAGAAACAAGACGCCATGGCTTCTGCTGCTAGGGTCGATGACTTCCTCGACTTCGTTGGGTCGTCTCCAACGCGTTAGTTGCAGCACTTCCTCCTCAACCACTTCCCCCACTGACACAACTCCCAGCATTCCACGCCGTCCAATCCGCCATCAAGCGCCTCGAAGCCTCAGGTTTCAAACCAATCCAAGAGCGCGAATCCTGGTCCACCACCCTGCAACCCGGCGGAAAGTACTACCTAACCCGCAACGGCTCCTCCATCGTCGCCTTCGCCATCGGCGCAAAATGGAAATCCGGAAACCCCATCGCCATGATCGGCGCACACACCGACTCACCCACCCTGCGCCTCAAGCCCGTTAGCAAGAAGACCAACTCGGGCTTCCTCCAGATCGGCGTCGAGACGTATGGCGGGGGGATCTGGCATACGTGGTTTGATCGCGATCTGAGCATTGCGGGGAGAGTCATGGTGAGGGATAAGGAGGGCAACTTTGTCCAGACGCTGGTTAAAGTTGATCGGCCAATCGTGCGGATCCCGACGCTGGCGATCCATTTAGACAGGTCATCAGAGTTCAACCCAAACAAGGAGACGGAACTCTTCCCCATCGCCGGCCTCGTCGCCGCAGAACTCAACCGAACGGGCGTTAAGCCCGACGAGAAGAAATCGGAGTCCGAGGCGGGCGAGGACTCGCACGCTTCCCCCCTCCGCGCCATGACCGAGCGCCACCACCCCTACATCATGGAGATCATCGCCGAGCACGCCGGTGTTGCAGTCCAAGACGTAATCGACTTCGAGCTCGTCCTCTACGACACCCAGCCCCCCTGCCGCGGCGGCCTCAACAACGAACTCATCTACTCCGCGCGCCTCGACAACCTCGAGATGACCTACTGCGCCGTCCTCGGGCTCATCGAGTCCCTCTCCTCCCCCTCAGCGCTCGACGACGAATCCTCCATCCGTCTAATCGCCTGCTTCGACCACGAGGAGATCGGGAGCACGACCGCGCAGGGCGCGGCGTCGAATCTGCTCCCTGCTGTGCTCCGCCGGCTCAGCGTGTTGCCAGCTCACGAGTCGGGGAGCGAGGTCTCGTATGAGAAGGTGCGCAGGGAGTCGGATGCGGATATCTCGACGGCGTATGAGCAGACTCTCGCGTCGTCGTTTTTGATCTCAGCCGATATGGCGCATTCTGTCAACCCCAACTATGCGCAGAAATACGAGTCCGATCATAGGCCGGAGATGAATAAGGGGACGGTTATTAAGATTAATGCTAATGCGAGGTATGCTACTAGCTCGCCGGGGATTGTGTTGTTGCAGGAGATGGCACGCAAGGCGAAGTCGGGCGGTAAGACGGAGGGGGAGGGGGGTGTGCCGCTGCAGTTGTTTGTGGTAAGGAATGATTCCTCGTGTGGAAGCACGATTGGTCCTATGCTGTCTGCGGCTCTGGGAACGAGGACCCTGGATCTGGGGAATGCGCAGTTGAGTATGCATAGTGTGAGGGAGTGTGGCGGGGCGGAGGATATTGAGCATGCGGTCAGGTTGTTTGAGAGTTTCTTTGAGAACTTCTCCGCGCTGGAGGGGAAGATCTTGGTGGATTAGATGGTTAGCGGGGGAGGCGGGGTGTGCTAGTGGCGGGGGAGGAGGTGAGGCGGTAAGTGTCGATGGTGACTGCTCCATCGTCGCCGCTATCTTCCAAGTATCGCAGTAGCGCAAGCTTCTCTCCAAACAAAAATTAAATCTTTTTTCTACCCCCATATTGCATGTATTCTCATTTCCGGTGCAATTACTACTCCATTCCATAGTACCTCCCCCATTCCCGCCTTACGTAAATCCAAACCCCCTTACTTCCAGCCACCACCCACACCTCTCTCTCTCGTACCCCTTCCCAAAGCCCCTCCATCAGTCTACCTCCACCAACTAACCACCCCCCCCATCCCCCCTTCTCCTCAGGAAAACTCCCATTTATCCCACCCTATGAGTACCCATGAAATAGTTAAATATGGAAGGCACGGTCTATTAAATATGGAAGGAACGGCCGACTCCAGACGGAAGGAACTACCGACGACCGGCTTCAGAAGGAAGGAACGGCTGGCTTTAGGGGGAAGGAACGACCCTTGAAAATATTTTAAATAGGGAAAGGACAACTGACTCCAAAGGAAGGAACGACTGGGTAAAAATAGAAGGAGCGACTGACATCAGAGGGAAGGAGCGACCCTTGAAATAGGGAAGGAACGGCCGACTCTAGAGGGAAGGAACGACCGACTTGAGAAGGAAGGAACGTACAGTGTAACAAGGGAAGGAGCGACATATACCTGTTCCATCATTGAAGCTATCTAAATCCGGTGTTTAGTAACGTTGGCGTACCTTATTTTTAGGTTTCGGCACTTATCACAATGCCGCCGCTAGCAAAGGGGCCGCACCTTCGATGACTTAATCGTTTGTAAACTTAGGAGTAAGTGCTTATTTAATAGTATTTATTACTTGTCGGTGGTTTTATGTGTCTATTAAACGTCCTTTTGTTTATTTTTATTGTTTATTATTTTTCTGTCAATATTTCGGAGATGTTTTTATAGCGTCAACCACCAACTAGTCTTCCAAAAGACACAAGATGCAACAATGCAGATCACCCATGAGCCTGGGACATTACTATCGAACCAATGGCCATTTAATTTCGACCTTTGACTCTATTCGACCTTTCCCAACCCTTCTTATGTAACTTAATCCTCATAAATGGGCTGGACTCGCTTGGCGCGGGGATTAGCCCAGTCCCAAGACCCCTTGGCAATGCTTCTTCAAAGACCAGTCTCACCCATCGACCACAACTCCCAGCGCCTTCATCCTCTCTTCCTCAGCACTGAAATAACAAGCCAGCGCTTCCTCTCCGTATCCGTCACACCTTCAAACTTTCTTTCAGTGACCCATTCCCTTTCGCGCCCTTCCGGGTCCCTCTCAACTATTGATTCCACCTCCATACCGTGCTCAGTGAGCAATGCGGCGTTATAAAAACCAGCCATCTTTTCCCTACCAGAGTGGAAGCCGGAGACCACCCAAGCCTTTCCACCAGGATTTAGAAACCAGGCTATGCTTTTCATCAACTCCTTATGCTGCCATGGCATCCACAGGCAATCGGCGACCAGGATAACGTCAAAGCTACCCTTGTGGCCCTGCACGAAACTGTCATCCTCAGACAATCTCCCCCACTCGTGACCTTCTACAAGACAAGTTGCTGGTTTCCCTTCCCTCCCTATCCTCATCTCTTCCGGTAAGTTCACCTCCACATTCTTCCTGACATTCGCCACGACCTCGGGCGCCGGATAATCAGTGATAACCACACTTTCCGCCCCCGCCCTCGCCGCCACAATCCCCGAAAGTCCGGTCCCCGCGCCCAGCTCGAGCACCTTCTTCCCCCTCACATCCCAGTCCCCCTCCTCCTCGATGAACTCCGCCAGCTGGATCCCAGCGTTCCATAGGAAGTGGGAAAAGAGTTTGCGGTTATCGGCGCCCTGGGGATCGGCCAGCTCGAGCTTGATGTCGCCGAAGCGAGGTGATTGGTAGATTACGGCGTGGTCGAGGTCGCCGTGCTGGTTGGTGATGTCGTCCGGGAAGATTACGCCCAGAGATTGACCCAAGTAGTCTTCTGGGTCTGTGGTTTCGGGGCCGGAGAGGCGGATCTTGTCGGTCAACATTGTTTTGGGCGCGCGCACTCAGATATATGCCAAATTTGATGCCCAACACTCAGATTTGAGATAAGACTCGTGCTTCCCCGCGCGACACTCTAACTGGATTTTGAAAACGGAGGGTGTGAAGTGTTGGGACTCAGATTTAGGATCATGTAGTTTCAAATACGATAATATATGGAAAAAGTCCTTGTGGAAAAAATATAATGTTACTCACGTTACCGCCTGGAAGTAATTTTGCGTTAATTGTCATCTGCTCCATGGTGCCGATAACGAATATTGTGCCTGGTCTCACCGCCCGCCCAACTCCACATCGGGATTAGCGCATGCGAGGGCCGCATCATCGAGTCTCCCCTTTAGCACCGTCATGTCCGCAATCGTTCCCCATATCGCAATCTCAAAAATACGATGTGTACTCCGCGGTCTTAGACAAGAAACAAAAATTACGGATGATATAACAAGCAACGGGACACACGATGCTGTTATCTTCAGCGCCCATCGGCTCCGAGATCTTCGCCGGCATCTGCCTCATCGTCATATCGCTCGCCGTCATCTTGGTACTGCGCTACTACCTCCCCTTACGAACTACACCCGCATACATTCTCGTTCCTATTTTCTTCGCCTTAGCATTACCGACGAGCATCGTCTTCCTGGTACCCATAGACCTCGCATCCAATGCCGGAACCGACGATGGAACAAGAGGCATCTGGCTGCAGGAACGCACACTCCTCGTCTCCTGGAGAATCACATACTGGCTCACCTTTGGCCTGACATGGTTCATCCTCCCTATCCTCGCTGAGTTCTCAGACGCCGGACACCGCGACGTCCAGGCGAAACTGATGTACTCGCTGCGCTCAAACGCTAAATACCAAGCCATGGTTTTCGGATCGGGTATCCTGGGCCTGATCTACGTCTTCATCTCGGCCGGTGTGACGCCGACGTCGTTGAAGGGGTTGATAATGGCGTTGGCGTATGTGTGGGGTTTGATTCTGGCTATTTACTTGATGGGCCATGGATTGGTGGCGATTCCTAGGTCGTTGTTCCGGAAGGCGAATATTAGTGAGAGTTTACGACGCATACAAGCTTCGGCTCCGAAGATCCATGAGTCGATGGATGATTCGATTGAGAGATTGGAGGTGCTGGAGGCGCAGGTTATGTTGCTGAGCCAGAGGAAATCGGGAACTGCTATGCATTTCCAGGAATGGATTGAAGAACTGGGAGAGCTCTGCAACTTGCCAGAGTCGCGGCCGAGGACGACGTCGCGGCGGATGTCGATACCAGCAGTGTCTGTACCGACGGTTATAACAGAGAATTACCTCGCAGATCTTACAAGATCTCTCACCAGAGCCCGTCACAAGCGCATACGATATATGGACGAATGGGACAGACTAGTTCAGAACTCCGTCGCAACCCAAGCTATCCTTGACTCCGCGGCTTCCAAAAAGCTCGAAATCGGAGCATCTTCTCCCCGCGCATCGTTCTTTGAGCGCCTCACTATCTTCACGCCATATACCCGTTATTTATATTATTACCACATGGTTCCCTATATGAGGATCCTTTTCGCCGGCCTCCTCTCCGTGGCTTCAGTCTGCATCGTCTGGTCCGAAGTCATCAAGCTAGTCAACTCGAACCTCTCCGTCATCTCACGCACCGTAGTCCACCACCCAAACAGCGACCGCGGCCAAATCGGCTTCCCAGGCCAGATGATCGCAGCAGGGTGGATCTTCTACATGTGCGCCGCAGCCCTAACATCCATGACCGAAGTCAAAGTCTGGCGCGGCCGCGCCCTCGTCAGGCGCAACACAGGCTACGAATCGGCATTCTGGTACGCCATGCAAGTTGCCCGTCTCTCCGTCCCACTCTCCTACAATTTCATGACCTTCCTCACCCCCGACGTCTACGAGAAGACGATCTTCTACAAGTTCCTCGGCAAACTCATCAACCTCACACCCCTGGGCACGGGTTTCGATTACTTCTTCCCAATCTTCATTTTAATCCCCGTCTCCGCTGCACTCTTCAACTTCTATGGAAAGGCGAAGCGCATGCTGGGCTTCAGCCTCGATGATGACAGTGATGACGAGGAAAACGCCACCGGCTACGGCACCGGCGGGTGGCGCGAAGGCCGCGACCTCATCGAACGCGAAGTCGGCGGGAGCGCCTCGCTCGCACACCTGCGCAACCCGCAAAACGGCGCGGGTAGTAGCAGCAACGGCCCTGCCATCGCTGCATCCAACCTCGCGTCTCGCTCAACGGCGGCGCCGAGGGTGAATTCCAGTGTCCGGCCACATGTTAATGAGACTGGGGATGAGGGGTTCTTTGGGTCGTTCGGACATAGAGTCAGGAATACGATTGATACTATTGAGACGCCTGACTGGATACAGGGGCTGAAGAAGCCGAAGTGGATGGGGGGGGATGGGGAGTCGGGACACTCGAGGGGGGAGGGGAGCGTGACTAGATTGTTCGGGGGGAATCAGGATGGGAGGGTGAGGTTGTAAGTATGTATTAATTTCTGTTGCTGGAAAGGCAGCGATGTATGATGATGGGGTGTTTTGATTGGGGGTTGGGGTTTTGTATAGACGAGCTCGATTATTGGAGTTTGGGGATTGCAGGAGAGATGACGGGATTGTCACTTTCTTTGCGTACGATAGTAATACATACATATTTTTTTTGTTCATAACCGGGGTATTCAGTTCTTCGTTGGTGTTTATACTTTAGAAACTGTGCTATAGCTTCTTCACATCTTGGCCTGGGTTTATTATAGAATTGAGGGAAACTTCGTATTAGAAAGTGAATCTAGTTTCTCTGGTTCAGTTTCAGAATATGGTTTTTCGCTCCAAGGAATGTTCGTAGCCATTAAACAAACATGTTGAGATGATACCGATGGTCTTCGGTATGGAATTACTTTATTGATAGTTGTGTAGACGCGATAATCAACACTCATCGCAGACAAATTTCGACCTAGAGATCCATGATACCAAGTATTAGAGGTCGGGTCGAACTGAAGTAGCTCTCGTGACGAGCAAGGGAGAGGGAGAACATGGGGCAATGGTCGGGCGGTGACAAGAAGGAAAGTTGACAAGATGGAGATGACAGCATAAATTAGCGGCGGTAAGAAGTATCAACGGTGGGGGTGTGAGGGACGAATCCTGCCCTCAAGCTCTTCTATCGTTCTGGCTGGTTCGTTCACTTCCGGCGCCTGAATAGTTTGTCGACACATTCACCCTGTTGCGCACGAGACCAGCCCAAACTTCCTTTTCTAGACTGTTTGTAGTTCAAAATATGGCTCACATCCCCACCCAACAGCCTCTAGATGCAGGGTGGCACTTAGAGCTGAAGAAAAGTATGAATTTCTATTCTGTTGTAGCGTCTCTAATGCATCCGCATGTCCTGCTCCCAGCGCATTCGTGTTAAACAATACGCTATTAACGCCCCTCATGTCATTCGTACAATATAATCCCAAAGTTGTATATCAAAAGCCGACCCTCCTACCAATCCCTCGCCAACCGAGACTGTGGCCCAGCGACACCCCCGTCACCACTTCCCTCAGCCTGGGTCTCCGGTAGCTCCCTCGCTCCAATCCCTTCACCACTTGCCTCACCCTGGGCCACTAGTATCTCCTCCGCTGTGCTCAGTCCCTCACCCGTCGCCTTATCCGATTCTCCTACGTCCCCGCCGCCATCTTCCTTCTCCGCTCCCTCGCCAGCCGCCGCCTGCGCAGCCTCCTGAGCGGCGGTTTCTGCAGCCACTCTCTCCGCTTCAGCAGCCTCCTCCCTCCGCCTCCGCGCATTATCTTCCTCTTCCCTTGCCGCAACATGTCTCTCCCCAACCCCAGGCCACAAGCTCGCCAAAAACAGCAGCGTCGCGTGCTCTACCCTCCGCACCTGCGACATGAACCACCCTGCATTCTGACGCTGACGCTGCTCTATCAACCGCTGCGCAACGCGCTGCGGATCCAGTTCTCCAGCCCTACCCTCCGTACCAGCCCCAGCCCCAGCTGCTGCAGCCCCCCCGGCCGCCGCGCCCTCGGGGTTAACTGCGGGCATGGCGAGGGGGATCAGGTTCTCCAGGTGGCGGCGGATTGGGGCCCAGTCGATGAGGCCCGTGTTGATGAAGAAGAAGACGACGCTGAGGCCTGTGATCATGCACCAGCGCCACCAGCTGGTGTTGCCGGAGGTGAAGAACCAGACGAAGCCGATTAAGCGAACGACGAGCCATATGTGCGGTGCGAGTTGGGCAGCAAGAGCGCCCGCAGCGGCGGGGTTGCCTTGGTGGCCCATCAGAACGGGTTCTGGTTGCGCTCCATGGTGTTGAGCTTGTAGTTGAGCCTGGCGGCGAGCTTGGGGGTGAGGTCGGGGTTGAGGCTGGAAATGCTGGGGTTGGTAGTGCTGAGGCTGGAAGTGCTGAGGCTGGTATATTGGTTGCTGTCCAGGCTGGTGGGGGGTATGAGCGGCGTGGGCGTGTGGCAGGGCAGTAGTAGCAGTCGGGGATGAAGTGTAGTAAGAGGAGGGATTGCTGAGTAGAAGGGCTCGGGGCCCACTAGGCGTGGAGAGTATGTAGACCGTTGGAGCGCTGGTGGGTGCAGGCTGGTGAGCTCCAGTTTCGGTTGGGCCAACGGGGACAGGTGCGTGCATTGTAGGAAACGTCTGCTGGGGCAGTTGAGACGAGGATGGAGGGGTTTCAGTCTGGAAAGGCACTGCTTGTGGTTGTGTTTGACTGTTCTGTTGAGTCGTGCGTGGCTGGGGAGTTGGCATATAAGGCGGAGGGTCTTGCGCCGGTGGTCGTAAGACTAAGTGTAATGATTGCGAATCCTCGTTGCTCAGCTATGAACAAGTTAGCACGGAGGTATATGGATAGTGGATGGGTATTCGTACTGTTTCTTTCCCAAATATATCTGCCATAGTTTCTACTTCCGTCAATTGGCGGCCTCTATGGATAAGCCTCTGGTGGTCATCATGCGGCTTCGTCTGGACCCTCTCACGGATCTTGGCCTTCAGTTGCTGGACAGTTGTAGCAATCGGCAGGTTTGGGAAAGAGAATGGACCATGGGAGCCCAACGACGGCGAGATGATATGAAGCGTAAAGGTTTGCGACGCCGGCGCGTCATTGTTGGCAGCTATCGTGGTCGCCATATTGATTATGAAGCGGATGATAAAGCGTAGGTCGAAGCTATAGTTCTCATGGGAGACGACAGATTGTTCTGAGAAGTCCCCTCAGGCCTCGCTGGCGCTGGAGCTTTTCGAAAGAGTCAGTCCTAAATGTTCAAAGCAGGCGCTCATGATATTCCAAAGAAATGCATTGGATCGAACTTATTCATCCAGGTACCGCCTTCCCTACATTTGGTTCCACGTAGCCTTCCCATCGGCCGCGTCCTCCGGCAAGCGAGTAGCGCCGCTCCGACAGCGACAAAATCGTCATAGCTTGCTCTGGCCCTCTTCACAAGCCTCAATGGCATAACCGCGGGCGTCAAATTTAAAATTAATTTATACAACCCCAACAATGCGCGCCCCACGCACGCTCAGGGCGTTGCCGTCGCCGTCGACATGTCTCCTCAGAACATCACATCAACGCCCCCAATTTAGATATCAGCAGCAATCGAGCAGGTTCGTGCATATGGATCATAGTGGGCATAACGGCCGTCGCGGGCATCAGCCTGGGAAGCGACCATTCTCGACAGGCAAGGGGGGGAAAAGGAAACAGGAGCAGGGCGAACCTTTTCACCGGAGGTTGGGGAGGGCATTGAGGAGTACGAAAATCAGATGGTATCCCATACCTGCAGCGCTGGGGATTGGGTTCCTTGGTCTCGCCCAGCTGTACAAGATCAATGAGCGGGAGAAGAAGGCGAGACGTGAAGAGGAGGGCGAGCCATACAGGAGGAAGAGGATACGGCCCACTGGTCCTTGGTACGTAAATCCTACAATTCTCCTCGATGACTTCTCCAGCAGCTGCTAACGTCTGGCGCAGGCAAGTCCAAGTCATGTCGACTCTCCCCCTTAAAGCGATGTCGCGCCTCTGGGGTCGCTTCAACGAGCTCGTCATTCCCTACTATCTCCGCGTACCCGGCTTTAAACTATACTCCTGGATCTTCGGCGTTAAGTATGTTCCCCCCTATCACACCCCAAAGCATCATTCCAGCTAACCCCTCCAGCCTCTCCGAAGTCTCCGAACCCGACCTACACGCCTATCCCAACCTGGCAGCATTCTTCTCGCGTACCCTCCGTCCTGGCGTACGCCCCCTAGACCCTAACCCGTCTGCCCTTCTCTCCCCCGCCGATGGCCGCGTCCTCTCTTTCGGCCTTATCGATGGCGGCGAAGTCGAGCAAGTAAAGGGTATGACCTACTCCCTTGACGCCCTTCTCGGAACCTCGCACCCATCCTCGGCCCCCAACCTCTCCTCGCCCTCCCACCTCTTCGCCCGCGAAACCCCTGCGCACCACCATCAGCACGTCGAATCTGAGGCCCTCGTCAAGCGCGACGAGGAATTTGCTATCCTAAACGGCATCCGCTACACCCTCCCCGGCCTCCTCTCCGGGGCCCCATCAAGCCCGCACCCCCCACCAACCGACGCGTCGACACCCTCCCTCCCTCCCTCCGAAGAAGAAGTCACCGACTCCCTCGCTGTTCCATGGTACAACCCACCCCGCCGCACTGCTCTCTACTACTGCGTCATCTACCTCGCGCCGGGCGACTACCACAGATTCCACTCCCCCACCGCATGGGTAGCTGAGAAGCGCCGCCATTTCGCAGGAGAACTCTACTCTGTGTCACCGTACCTCCAGCGCACTCTTCCAGGGCTGTTCACACTCAATGAGCGCGTCGCCCTTCTTGGTCGCTGGCGCCATGGGTTCTTCAGCATGACGCCCGTAGGCGCTACGAACGTCGGCAGTATCGTCATCAACTTCGACGCCGAACTCCGCACTAACTCCTTGCTGTCGGATAAGGCGGCGGACAAATCGCCTAATGGATATGCAGAGGCTACGTACGGGGCTGCTAGTCGCGTGCTGCATGGGCGCGCGTTAGGGAGGGGAGAGGAAATGGGTGGGTTCAGGTTGGGGAGTACGGTCGTACTGGTTTTCGAGGCGCCAGAGGGCGAGATGGGGGAGAAAGAGGGGTGGGATGGAGAGGGGCAGTGGAGAAAGGGAGGTTGGAATTGGGGAGTCAGGAATGGCCAGAGAGTTAAGGTTGGGGAGGCCCTAGGGTGGGTAGATGAGAAGGTATAGATGCATGTATATCGGTAAGACATATGGGTGGAATTCATGTACTCATATGTATGGCCTGGTACCACCAACCTGGTTCTTTGGTTATCATTTACGGAGTTTTGGAAAATAGACAGGTTGCCCATTCATGCGGCTCGCAAGGCTGTGGAAGGACTACGCATACCAGTCAGCTAGAGCATTTAGTATAACTCATTGCCGCTTAATTGTTTATAGCAAATATAAATAATATCAAGACCCCTAACTAGCCAATGCTGTGAAGATCACATTACGGTCTTTAATGGGGTTGAGGAGGCCTCTTCTTTAAGATGGCCAAGCTCCTTCTTCTCCCAGCTATAAGTCCGTTAATATATCGTTACTATTATACTTCTAAGAAATTGCTCCTGTGTACAGAAACAAAGTCTCGAATTGAAATTGAACGCCCGCTCTCGAGCTACATAACGCGTACACAAAATGACAATCCAGTCGCATGAGAATGCAGCTATCCTTCGCGCCGAAAAATGCCTCTTCCCATCCGCAATGATAGCAACTCACCAGAAGGCGCACCAGAAAATAGGTGGGGGGCTACGAAGTTGTCTTGTCTTCTTGCACTCTAAGAAAATCAAGAATCCTCAAATCATGTTCTTGCTCCGCCTGTGAGAACCAGACAAGCAGCCTGGAACAGAAAGACCTATGTACCTTTTAGCCACTGTCTGGGTTCTTCTCCTCTGGGGATTTGCTGAGGTAGATACGGTGCAGATCGGTGTGTACGATATATTCTTCTCATCAACCGGGAGCGTGAAGAAGCAACATATGGGTTTATTAGCGACCTCGCGGACTCAGACTAAAACAGAATGAACTCTTCAAAGCTGAGGGGTGGTCTGTCTCTAATGTAGGTGAGTGCCACTACCCATATTTTAATACGGGTATTGTACTTCACCAGGGCCCGGGTTAGAAAAATGCAGGTGAGTTGGGCTGTCGTGATAAAGGAGGACAAGGTGACGAGGTATTCATCCATATCTCATTTCCCAATATGAGTCTTATGAGGAAGAACGACCGAATAAAAAACAGCACTATTTACAGATCTGTGATATAACTCTGGTTATCGATATTGACCAGGCTGAATGTTTTCTTCCATGCAGAACAGCAGTCTTATCAAGTGGACAAGCTGGGCACCTACTGCATGAACACGTCGAGCTCCGCGAGATTTTTGAGCACAGCACTGATTGGCCTGCTGGGACGCCGTTGAATTTTATTGTGCAGCATCAGAATATCGAGTTCAGTTACAAGTTCCCATTACGGAAATCCGTCGGCGTTAGAAACGGGGGTGAGCGTGATGATGATCTCATTGATGTCGAGCTTTCCAGATTTGCTCGTTTCAAACCGCTGGATGAGATTTGGATATTCACTGAGCCACATCCGAATCGATTGTAGGTTCAAATATGTGGTAAGTCTCGAGTGCTACCCCAGGAGAAGGCTACGGACATGTCGGACAAGATCTGCAGGATTATTGAGGCGTTTGCTGCGAACCCAGAGATGAAGTTGGAGGATATTATGTTGTAGGTAGGCTTTCTTGTATAGTAATGACAGCTTTTCGCATTTATTGGCGTTAGCTATATTAGTTATTTAGATATTAAATTAGTAATAGAAGATCTAGAAATAGCCAATCAGATTTTGAGGTGGAACTTAAGACTGAGGAAGGTCAGATTTAAGTTCAACCTCAAAATCTGATTGGCTACCATGCCATCACCACACTAAAATCCCGTGATATTCCCGTGACCCACAACCTATAATTTTTCTTTCACATCCACAGCAGCCTGATACATATAAAATAATACTCCTCTAGAGTCCAATCAAATAGGCCGGGTGGTGTAGTTGGTTATCACGTTTCGTTAACATTTCAATATGTCCCGAAAAGGTCCTGGGATCGAACCCCAGCCTGGTCACTATTTTTTGGTGATTTTTTATATTTTTATATATCATTTTTATAGAAAAGGAGTACGTAGATGACGCCGTTGAGATTGGGAAGGTACGTTGTAGTAGTTCGGACAGTAAAGTAAAAGTCGAGGAAGGTGCGAACGGCGTGGTTGCCTTTTTTAACTGACTTTATTAAGTCACATATATTTTTTGAGTATATTTTAAATTTTGTATACTTATATAAAACCGGCTCCATGATCCCAACCCACGAAACAACACAATGACTCTCACATGTCCTTTGAAGGTGTGCTCCATTGGATTACTGTGCAATTGAGATGGCGGAGGATTAGGGAGGAGCACCCAGATGAGTCGGGGCTGTTGTTGTCGTCGAATCAACAGCTTCATCTCCATCTTCATCCCTTCTATTACAAACGATTGGATGAGCGATGGTTGCCAAAGGTTTAAGCGAAGCAGGGCCAAAGGAATTCCGCTTTCCCGCCTTTTAGCCATCCTGTTTCTAGACTAGCTTATAGTAAGCAAGCTGCAGGTTAGAAGGGATGACTACAGCCAATCAATTTTAGGGAGGACCTTCCGCAGACAGATATATAGAACATCTCGTGCCTCTCTATGATAATCTATGCTAAAAACAATTCCTTCCTTCTTTAACTCTCTTCCTTTTCATTGAAGAAACCAGCCCGGTTTCACCAACGCAAAGCTCCAGTCTATGATGGCCGGATATCAAATGTCAACGCCAATAGATTGCGAGAAAGCACTCGACACATCAAATCTGAAAGGGAAAACTGCAATTGTCACCGGAGGTAAGCTTACTCTCGTTCAAAATATCGATAGTGTCTGAGAAGTGCATAGGCGCAAATGGAATAGGTGAGGCGTATGTGAAGGCACTTTCTGCTGCGGGGTTTGTGCTCATGCATCTCATGGAAAAGTCAACCTCGCTAACTATTTCGAAAGTGTCAATGTATGCATTGGGGACATGGACTCCGACAGAGGTACCAAATTGGCATTAAGTCTAGGAAGGTAAGCCTTGTCACAAAGTCAAATTTCACATTCAACGCTGATATTTTCGAAGTGCAAAATTCGTGAAATGTGATGTATCGAAATGGGACGACCAGGTTCGACTATTCACTGAAGCTGCATCTTTCACTGGAAGGGTAGATTATGTTGTTGCGAATGCAGGCATATGTCCCGAAGATCAAGTCTTCTCTTTCGCAGGTGGTTTACCTCTGCTCGGATGAGCTTGCGTTTGACTTTCAACTGACAATAATGAAACAGGGGAAGACAAAGAACCCACAGAACCAAATCTGAAAGCAATTGACGTGAATTTGAAGGGTACATTATACACGACCAAGCTCGCGATGCATTATTTCATCAAACAGAACGGAGAAAAGCTATCGCCACAGCAAGAAGATACTTGCTTGGTACTGATCGGATCCGGAGCTGCCTTCCTTGATTGCCCGCGAGGTCCAGTGTATCCAAGCACAAAGTGGGGAGTGCGAGGTATCATGCACACGTTGAGAAGGACTGCATTTTACCATGGCACTCGTGTCAATCTCATTTCGCCCTGGTAAATATGCCCCAAGCCCCATCCTCACATAGCTCCGCTGATAGATCGATGTAGGTACGTCAAGACTTCGATTCTGTCAACCGAGGAGTTCGCCCACGTGGAATCTCGCGGAGTGCAATTTGCCGAAGCTGAAGATGCTGGGAGTGCGCTACTAAGGCTCCTGTCCGACACGACCATAAATGGGAGATCATTGTTCGTCTCGGCGAGGAAATGGGCTCCTGCGGGATACTTGGACTTGGATGTTGATGATTATCCTGGAAATGAGCTGATACAAGAGATCCAAGTGGCTCAGATGGCGGCAGCTCCGGTTGAAGAGGGCTTGTTTGTGAGATAGTCTATGTTCAAAATATTGTTAACACAAAATCAGAGGAACTTTAATCGGTTTTGACCTGATATTGTTGACCATATCCTAGAAGATTAAAGTACAGCTCTAAAAGTATCTTCATGCACCATGATAAAGCCACGCAAAGACGAGTCGTGGGGTTCAACAGCCTGCTCGAGATCAAGAACGCACTGATTCCAAAGGTGTGACATCGAAAACAATCGCCTCTTCGCCGCGTTTCCCCCTCCAATGATTTGTCGAAAACAACAGTTCTGGAGAACCTCTCAACATCCACCCCCATTTGCTGATAAACTCGGTCGTAGCTTCCCAGCCAAGAGGATCCCATGGATCACCCCAGACAATGAGCCCACTCCTCTCACTAGGCGCATGGCATACCTCTACCAAATCATGGCATAGATCATCATCATCAAAGTCCTCGCCCTGAGATAGCATATTGTCTCGCAGTGCCGGAAACGGAAACAGATCAATCCACGGGTGATGTGGTACTTTCCGTTGAAGCTCTGTAGGCTGCAGACTGGCAGGACAACACCAGCGTGACTCTCCTAGGTTATAGGGGGAGTCGGCTTCTGCGCTCAACCAGGTAAATGGAAACCCGAGAGTGAATGTGTTGCTTACTAAGGCACGGAAGACGTTGAATTGGATCAGAGTGAGGAGGAGATCAACGCGTGGGGAGCTGACTATATATTGCTGAGAGAGGGAATTCTCTACTCGTGCGATCACGCCCTGGACCTGAGAAGCTGATAGCCCGGAGGTAGGCGAGGCATGTCTAAATTGGGGCTCAGAGGGCTGACTAGGGCCGTGCAAGTCTGCAGGTAGTGTGTACTGTGTGTCAGGGGTGATATCGTCTAGACAAGCCACGGAATGTGGATCGTCGCTAGGGTAAGTTTTACCAGGGCCTTGTTCGAATGAGCCAGTCGAAGCAGCAAGCATTTTCAGTTCCTTTATCTTTTTCCCTGTGATGCATTAGAGTGATATGGTGCAGAGAGCACGACGTCTAGCTAGACGTATGACATGGCATGTGCTCTTCTAAAGCATACAACTTACGGTACTTTCTTTGATGCAACCTATTCTGGCGCTTTCTCCGCTCTGCGGCATCTGTACTCCCTGTCCAGTCATCTTCCACAACACGGACTTCTGCTTGCTGTGGCATCCGACCGAGCAGGACCACAGGGTGCCTAATTTCTCCCCAGCTCCTCTCATCGGGGCCCATCCTGTGCATGGCTGGCGGCTACGCACTCCAAGACAATACCGACCTATCAAGAGCAGGAATGCAGTAGGTAGGTGCACACAGGCCAAGAAGCAGGACATGGGTGGTTTTATTGCTGATCGTATTGGTGTTGGGCAGGAGGATGTTGGAGAAAGTAGGAATATGTGTGGCATAATTATTACCTAGGTACATATTATATGTGTTCCGGCCCAGCCACCAACTAGCCGGCCGAACCACCAACTTTTGAGTTGCTGGTTCGGCCGGCCAGCCAGTTGGCCAACCAGCGAAGTTGGTGGCAGTGTTCCCCAAGAATAGGATTAGTATTTGTGGTTTTCGAGTAGTATTCGGCGATGAGCAGTATTCGGGCTAAAACTAGGGTATTCGGCGAGTATTTGCCTAAGACTCGAATACTATTCGAGTCCTTGGCATGCACGGCCCAGAACGCCAAGCTACGAAGATTAGCAGGCAAAGTAGTATTAGTATTCAGTTATCGCACTTGCTAGTACACGTGACTGTCAATAAGGGACCACTAACTTTTAAAATATCCCACTATAGCCTATCATATTTCATTACTATATACTACAGTTGAGCCTCAAAATACGCAAATACTCAAATACTATTCGGCGAGGATTCGTATGAGTATTCGCCGAATACTCTCAGATGGCGAGTATTCGGGAAAACCCCGAATACTATTCGAATACTATTTGGGGAACACTGGTTGGTGGTTGGGCCGGAACATGTACTATTATGTTAACAGAGTATAATAAACTACGCTACTTAGACGTGTCACTTGCTATACGTGTACGTTCTACAGAAATTGTTTTTATACTAAAGATAGAAAAGTACATAAAGTTGCAGACATCCACCTAAGATCCATCCCTAATTACCCTAATTGCATCGTTGCTGGAAATTTAATAGTAACCAAAGTCTCTTTTTCTGTCGCCTGCAATTTAAGCCGAACCCCACTTACACTGATCTCAACCCCCTTTTTAGCAAAATCATCCGGAACCCCTGCGTGGGTGACACCAAGGGCGTCGATATCGTCTCCAAAAATTGCATCAGGCTCTTCGACTAGCTCGTGGAACAGTCTTGGATCGGCATGCTGCCGCCTGTGCCTGTGCTTAGATCCGTAGACTGGCCCCCTTACATTCCTAATGACTTTGCGCACAGTCGGTTTTGTCGATTGAGGGTTATCCGGAACCCCAGCGTGGGTGACGCCAAGGGCATCGATGTCCTCGCCGAAAACAGCATCTGGCTCTTCAACAACCTCATGCATGACGTCGGCGTCCCAGTGAAGGTCACTAGCACTAGGTTCAATCCGCTTAACCCTAAGCCTGCGCCTCGCGTGACGAGGGGGGTCAGGGATTCCAGCGTGCCTCACACCGAGGGCATGAAGGTCATCGCCAAAAATATAGTCTGGTTCCTCAACAACCTCGTGCATAACATCAGCATCCCAATGCAGGTCGTCAGAAGCGGGAACAGCGCGTTTAACCCTGACGTAGCGCCTTGGCTGGCGTAGCGGTTCAGCAGTGTTGCCAACTGAGCGAGAGGCCTTGCTTCCTGATGGGTGACCGTTGGGTACTCCTGCATGGAGAACGCCAAGTGCATCTATGTCCTCACCAAAAATATACTCTGGCTCTTCGACGACTTCGTGGATGAGGTTGTCATCCCAATGGAGATCGTCGGCGTTAGGACGAGCGCGTCTGACCCTGATATAGCGCTTAGCCTGGTTGGCCTGCCTCGTGTTGCCGGTGGTTGTGCGGGACTTCCTTGTCAATCGGGGGGGATCTGGTGTCCCAGCATGAGTCACACCAAGAGCATAGATGTCATCGGCGAAGACAAGGTCAGGTTCTTCTACGAGCTCATGGAAGAGCGCCGGGTCGGCGTGGACATTGGGATCGGTGTTCCTCAGCTGGCGTTTACCCTGGTGGGATTGCCTGATTGCGTTGCCAGTCGCTGTGCGGGCAGTCTTCCTCACCGAGTGTGGGGTATCGGGCTGTCCGGCATGGGTGACACCAAGTGCATATATGTCGTCGGCGAAAACAAGGTCTGGCTCTTCGACTAGCTCGTGGAAGAGTTCGGGATCGGCGTGGGGGGCGTCTTTGTCGGTTTCATATTCATGTTGGGCTTGGTTTCTTGACTCTGCGTTTTGGATCTGGGTGTTCTTCGTCAGCGGATTATCGTGCGCTGCTGTCTTCTTGCCCTGTGAGCCTGGCAATTTGGCGGCTCGGTTGGCCCTATCTGTAGGGTTCAGCGGCGTTCGGCGAGCTTCGAGGCTGGGCATTCGGGTGAATCCTTTCGATTTAAGACTGGTATAGTAGCTATGATAAGTGTAATTCATACATAATTAACGAATAGCGTACAAAGCCAAATGATATATAGGTAATATGGTTGCTTCCCGCATTTCGCCACCACACGGGAAGCGAGTGGGATGACCGAATGCGTAGAACTTGCGCGCTGACGCACATATGAGTGAAATCGAGATTCCGCGTGAGTTGAAGTGGTATATATGAGGTAGAAAGTTTCCCCATCTCGTTAGTACCGAACTTTATGGGAACAGCTAGATGGATAGTGTGTCGCACCGACAGAATGGACCATGGTTACAATATACTCATCCACCACTCTCCTTTCGCCTCTTCATCTGCGTTTCGCCTTATAATCGTTGAATCGACACTTTGGAGGGAGCAATTACGAAAATGGTATGTCACGTTAGTTAGATGGATGAAGTAAGTGGAAGCTCTTAGTTATTCTAATCAAGATTGCGATTCACTCGCCAATACCATGACCTCCGTTGTCCCAAATTTCCCTAATGACGATGATGTCACCTAAACCTGTACAGATACTTTTAGCGAAGTACTGTATGGTGTTGTTGGATAGCTAACGGGGTATTAGATAGTCTACTAGATAGGACATTTGATATTCGTCTTAAGTACAACGCAGACCTTTTGCCACCTTTGGGTCTTAGGCATAAACCACGATTCCAAAAAGCTAGATCAACTGGATGGGTACATATACATATCACCTCTGTCCTTCTATGAGTCCATTAGATCTCAGTTTGAACTCTAGCTCGGCTGATTATTAGACAATCGCCACAAGATACAAAGACAAGACGACGACAGCAGTACGACAACGTGATCCTTATGCAACACGTTAAAAAGAGTCTAGAAGTTTTTTTACGTCAGCATAATAAGCCGATTCCCGATCATGCAGTTCGTGGATCTAGCATGCCTGACAGGACATCGAACGATGTCAAGCCGTTAAAGATCATCATCATCGGCGCTGGCATTGGCGGCCTCGCTCTCGCTCAGTTGCTCATGTCGGCGCCAGGGACCCATGTTACATGCTACGAACGTAATGACGGCGTTAACGATCACCACATTGGGTATTGCGTAATGCTCACGGGTTCGACGCTGGCGATGCTAAAGCGTAAGCTAACTAGAGAGGTCTGGGCACACCTTGCACTTAGCATTGGAGAGGCGCCTGAGGGGGGCGAGAAGGTTGAATTTTTTAAGGGAAATGGCGACAAGATGTTTGTTTGGGACTCAGACCCCATGAAGGACCAGTTTGCAGTTTCGAGGTGGCAGCTAAACGAAGCTCTTCTACACCAGGCAAAGCCGATTCTTAGGGTACGCCACGCCTTTGAGCGCTATGAGCTGCTGCCGAAAGGAGGAGTAAGAGTATATTTTAGTAATGGAACTGCTGATGACTGCGACCTCGTCGTAGGCGCGGACGGCTCTGACTCGAATGTCAAGAAACAATTCATGCCTAACGCTGGTATCAAGGACGTTGGTATGGCAGTTATTTACTTCAAGATTCCCCTCACAGAAGAATCCATGAGGTTGTTAGGATCCCCTATCAGATCAATGGTGAATCACCTATGCTTCCTCTTATTATCATGAGTATAAAGCTGACCCTAACTAAACCTTCTGCCCTCACAACGAATACATCATCCTTGCTACCTGGCAGAATCCTCTCATCCCTTATGCAACGCGATACACATCTTCCACCATTGAACCCGACGAGTCCTTCATTACGTTCGGCGCAGGTTCCCCAGTCTCAAATTTCGACAACCGCCGCTGCGCCCCTAATAACCTCCGTCCCGCGGAACTCAAGGCTGAGGTCATCTCGCGCACCTCTAAAACCGGCATCCACCCACGCTTCGCCATGCTCGCCCAAATGGCATGCATAGACACAGCACATGTGTTTCTGGTGCAGAAATGCGATGTCGTGCACCCCTGGGCCTCACCGAACGTCACTCTCCTCGGCGATGCCGTCTTCAACATGAGCAACATACTAAGTAGGGGGGCAAATTGCGCGCTCCTCGACGCTGTGAATCTCGCTGAGCACATCACCTCGCCCACGTATGACCGAAACTCGCCTACCAGCCTAGACGCCTACGTGAAAGATAACATAGAGCGCCGTCAAAACGAGCGTTACCGCTCGTACCTGTTGCAGAAGGTCATGTTCTCTTGCCAGAACCGCTTCATGGGGTTTGTGCGCAACAAGACGCTACCGCTCGCGCTTCGTAGGATCGACGACCTAGATCGCGAGAAGCATAATGTGGCTGAGACGTGGGTGGCGAATGAGCAGAACGACTTACTGCCGTCGGAGAGGGATCCGGAGTGGGTAGAGGAGCTGCGGTGGGAGGAGATCTATATGGAGCAGCATGGCAGCAAGAGGATTAGGGGCAGCTAGATCGCAAAAGAGGCTATAAAAAACACATACATCATACATACCTACGCGGTTCCTAAAATAAAGTACAGATACTCAAACTGGTTGGCTGCTACTAGTGCACTACTCGCAACTAACCCCACCATCGAGTTTGGCGCTTATTATATTTAGGTGGATATCTAACAAGGCTTACGCGCTAGCATGCATTAGCTGCATATAACGTGACTACCTATAACCGTCAACTTATAAAGTGAGAATCCTGGTCGTCAGATCCGAGCACCTGAACCTCTGACCTCTGAATCCTTCAACTCCAACATAAACATGGGTAATTGACCCGAAGTTGCATTTTTCTATGGCTAGTTCCCGACATGAAATTCTCCGAGAGTGCGCTGGCTAAGGTCGCACCACGAGTTTTGACTGGCTGGTGCATGTAGATGCCGTTAATTTCGATCTGAATTGAAATGGCTATTCTCCAGCCGTGGCCATTTGTAGCCATTCACAGGGTTTCGGGTTGTGCCTCACGATCTGCCATAGCCATTCCCCAAAGTCTCTCCACAAAATCCCAATACCCCTTTTCCCCACCATTCCCCTTAAACAACTGCACGTGTTCAGCTCCCTCGACTAACTTCTTCACCACTGTATACCCCTTGTTCTCCGCAACCGTAGCATGCTTCTCAATGTCCTTCCAGTCTATAGCCAGATCCTCTTTGCTATAGATATAGCCCCTCGCACAATCCATAGGCACGAAGTTCTGATCATTCGTCCCATACATTAGACTCTAAACCAAGTCCTTCCAAACCCATTTCGGCATCCAATTCACCGTCACGAACACCACCAAGACAATTTCTAGTGACACAGCCATATACGGTAGCCATAAGTACAGAGGCCATTTAACGACAGGCACAGCAAGGGCATGCATATCGCGACGAAACTGTGGTATCCCTGGAGCGGAATCAAGGAGAAAGGCTTTGGCAGGCAGAGCTTTTCCTGTCAGGGCTTGATAGGTTCCAGCGACTGCGTACATGCGCTTCGTACCTCCATTGCTTAGCGCATGCACGAAGAGCCTCTCGTTGGCTTGACCCGGGGCCAGGATAGCGCTCACAGCTTCCTTGACATCCGTACGCCGGCGGGCCTCGGATTGGAAGAGAAATTCTTTGGTGTTCGTAGTTGCTAGAATAATCCTAGCGGAGGGGTAGAGGCACATGTAGGTCCTGCAATAGTGGTCAATGTGCTTGGGCGCTGCGTTCATCCAGGAGCAGAGAAGAATGGTCGTGGGGTCGTGAGGGGAGCCGGTACTAGCGCTGGATCGTGGAGGTGTGTAGAGGCTAATTTTTGGGGGAGAGACGAGTCAACGCTGAGAGAGGCTTCGGGATCAGAGGCTTTGCATCGCCGATTTCTGTTGGATGTGTGCTTAACGGCATTTTGGTTGAATTGAATGAAGTGAAGTTTTTCTTGACTTTGAAACGGAGTGAATTAAACGAATGCTTTCTGGTTGAGAGGCTAGCATAAAGCTGGTCTCCGGTGAGGAGTGGATCGGACCAGCTTACTGCCGCATAAAAATCTGGTCCGCTGTCCATCCACTGCGGGACAATGTTGACAGTAGTAAATTGAACACCATCCCAGGACCCGATCCAATACGCTATACCAGCCGTTCTATTATAGCGATATCCGTTTGCTCCGGCAGCAAGAATCCACGCACGCTTAGTGCTATCTTCGTCCACATCTAGCTGGTACAGGTCTAAACACTCCAGAACACCAAGATCAACCCTAAAGTCTTGGGGATAAACCCAGATCTATATACCCAGGTTTTTAGATTTGAGGAGGTGTAAAAACCAATTCGATTGCCTTCCGCAAGGGTCATGACCCACCGCGAACGTGTAGCGTCCCAGAAAACCTTCGGGTCTCGAAAGTCGGGTTTTTCACCGACGTTGGGGTTGGGCATCACGGGATTCCCCGAGAATGGTGTGAATGTGTAACCGTTATCGCTGGAATAAAAAAGAGACTGCTGCTGGATTCCATCTGCCACTTATGTGACAAGCGCAATGACAGCATTTAGCCCGAATCCTGCGGTATTATAAGTGTCGATGACAGCACTCCCAGTCTCAATATCGCCGAGATAGATCCCGTTTTGGTTTGGCTTATATTTTTCGATCGCAACACCGCGTCGAGTCCAGTGGATCAAGTCAGTGCTCGTGACATGGTACCACTCTGTGCCACCGCCTGCGTTGGGGTTGGCTTCATTAAAATCGGCATTGAAGAGATAACACATATGCCATTCTTCCCCAAGGAAAAATGGACGCTGCGGATCATTCATCCAGTTCAATTCGGGGGTGACATGGTAGCTAGGGCGGGCGTCAGTAGCAGTGGTGCAGGATATCGCAAACAGGTAAAGGTTACTGTTGACAGAAATCGGAGGCCGAGCTCCCTTCGAAGAAACAAAGTGAAGATCATGGTGGAGATTAGACGTATCAACAGTCATGCTAATGGAAAGTCAAAGATGTTTAGCAGAGATCAAGCGTGTTTTCCTGGCGATGCACTCAACTCGGCTTTGGATTCTAAAAAGTCGAGGTATTTGTGGCTGCGTTGGGATTCTCGTTAGTAACTAAACTTCCAGCCATTGGGGCGGCCCCGGGGGGGGGGGTTTACAAACTCATAAGCCTCACAAGCAGCAATATCGCCCTGTAAATGCCTCTACTGTAGTGCATACATATGAAAGAAAACGGGTATCGGAGTAGAATATGTACTCGTTTGAAGAGTTCTCTTATCACGAAGAATCTAAGAAACTAATCTATCAGATGTCAGATGATGTTTCGAATTAATCAAAGAGACAGCCTGCCGCCACCATGTAGCATATCAAGAGGTAAACATAGGTTTATTGGTAGGAAAAATCTACACTACAGCTAACGCCACCAGCGTAGTACCCAGATTATCAACATATATCCACGCTACAGGTGGGCGGAGAACCCGGAGCCCTTGTCGTGGTAGACTTGGCAGGGATTCTGAAAGGCGGGGAACCTTGAACATAAAGGAGGGCTGAGGCGCCTACCATATGTCACGAGGATCTAGTGGAAATCGTGATGTTATAATTCTCGAGTTCTCTGGTCCGCTTACATGTTTCCCTAGTCGATGACCTCATTGGTCAGCCAGTCGTTCCTGCCAAGCCTCGTCACCTCCTTACTACCAAGTCCCCAACTAAGTTGCTGTGCCGTGGATAATGTGATGTCGCCACCTATGACTCGCCCAGTAAAAGATGCACACATAATAAGTTCATTTGATCAGGCACTGGAATATTGTAACGGAGATCTGGTGTCAGATATGAATTTTGAGTTAATGAATGGTAAGTTGGTAAGAATGTTTTTAAAATCCTTGACAACCCGCCGCCCCACTACCCCTCTAGAGACTTTTAGCGACGACGGCCTATATTCGGCCGAGTTTCCATGTTCAACCCTCATCCACTCTCTGCTTACATGCCTCACTACCGTCTCTTTATGTGCGAGCGAAGCTTTGGGTGACAGAAGATGTCTGCGAATACTAATGTTGGCAATGCACGACAACGGTCTACCTTAGCCTGTGACATGTGCCGCTCACGAAGGACAAAATGTGACATGCGTAAGCCAACCTGTTCGTTTTGCGACGAGCATGGCATAGTATGCAATTACAGAGTGCCAGCTGCTCCTAGTCCCTCAAAGTACGTCCATCGGTGACTTTAGATTGAAAGGTGACTATTAGCTAAAATCACTTGATAGGAACGACCTAGAAATCCAGGCTATTAGGGAACGCCTTGATGATCTTTGCGGTCTGGTTTCTATGCGGCGTCTTGACCCCAATTATGTGCTTCCAGGCGGCTCAACAAGCCCAAATCCAACAAGTTTTGATCAATATCCTACGGCTGAGTCCATCATTAGTCGGAATTGGAGGATGGAGTTTCCATTTATGACAATCCAGACTCCTTCGACGATGTGCCTACTCGGACAGGATCCCAAACTGGCCGCTCAGATGGTTAGCATAGAGAGGACTAAGTTGGACATGTTGACTCCGCCGGTTGTTTCTGTCGGCTTTAGATTCCATTACGAGAACGCTGTTAGGTGAGAAATGTCTCATATCGATCTCTAGAGAAAGGGCTCACACTAGATTCTAGCGCCTTTGGATTCTTTTACGACAGGATACAACATTGGTATCCCATCTTACACCAGGAATTCTTCGGCTTGTATCTTGAAAGTATCGTTGGCGACTTCAGCCCTTGCCCAGACTCTTGCCTTGTTCTCCTTGTAGCTGCTATCGGTTCGGTATGCCAATGTTCATCTCTTGCAACGGCTTATGCAACGCGACCTGATGTCGACTATATTGGGAAAGCGCTTACAATGCTGCCAAACGTCCATTTCGAGTTCAGCTTGAGAAGCGTTCAGTGCCTCGTTCTTTTTGGTGTATACTACAACTGCATTGGAAAGCCATGCCAAGCACACGACTATATATTGATGGCTTCGTGCAAGGCGCAGGCGCTATTAAAATGGTGCGTTTATTTTTCTTGACTCTATACATAGGCCATTGGTTGACTAATATCGAGATAGCCATCTTTACGCGGAAAATAGCAGCGCCATGGAGCTTCTAAGAAGGGCGTTTTGGTCCATTTTTCTTATCGAAACGTTAAGTTCTCTTACACACTCACTAAATGGTCAGTGCTCTAACAGGTTATTTCTGTAGTGAGCTAGGCTATCATATGGATATGCCTGAGAGTAATATCTGGAAATTTGACGATCGCATTCTTCTCCCTGGCATCCATGACTCTTGGGAACCCTTTCAAGAGAGTAATAGGTTCCTGTTTGATCAAATTCGGCCGTCGAACACATCCGCACTCAGCCCAAACGATACGAAGGCCTATTTCCTGGCAGCCATTTCAATGTGCCGCATGATGCGTCGTTGTTTCGCGTCCGTGACATTCTCTAATAATAAGGAGGTTTATGCCCCAATTATTGCCGCCGAACTTTTGTATCAGCTAGAAAATTGGTATGGTAACCTACCTACGAGCCTCAGTTTCCACCGGCAAATCCCTCACCCTACCGCATACGATGATACCCTTAGCTATGCTACCCCCCAACCGTATTCTAGCCAAGCTGCTGCTAGATGCTTTCTCCAGATGCAATTTTACCAGTGTCTGGTATCCACATACTGGCCCGCAGTTTACAGCGTCATGTACCTGGATGTCGCAGCTGCGGAGACACTGTTTGATTGCTCACGCTTCTTTGACGCGTACGTTAGCCTCGTTTCGAGTATAGCTACGGCTATCCGATGCTGCTCACATACTCCTTGGAATTTTTATGCAAGGTGAGAATGAACAATTCCTCCCACATCATGCTCTTCATCGTTTTGACAGAAAGCAGTCTTTTTATAACAACCATGGCAGCACACAAAGGCGCACGTGCAGTCTGCCTCCGGGATACGATTTCGCCACGAGTGATTCGCTGTTTTGATATTGCGACGAACATCTTTGATGAAGCTGTGGCAACCAGCCCCTCATTGGCGATATTAGGAGCAATACTATCGCAACAGGTTAGAGTCACGTCCTGAAGTACGAACTAGCTCATCCCTTACTTGTTATGTTGAGGTGGCAATTTTTATTCCACAGTGCAATATGTTTAGTTTATTGGAACGGACGATATTCAGAGTGAATAAATTTAGTAAATTGGTTCATCCATTTCCTTGATCTACAGAACTAAATCTCTTCTTTGCGCTTGACATGCCCGTCATCTCCGACTACCCACCAAGAGAAAGCGAAGACTATATTAAAATGATCGATTGTAAGAATCTGCTCGAGGTGGGGCTCTGTCACTAAATCTGAGTTGCAGCCTAATGAGGGTTCTCCTGTTCATCTCCGCTGCTATGTTTAGATGCTACCTGTATAGTTGGACATTCATACTAAAGAGAAATCCGTTAAATGGAAATAATTTGTAAAGAATGAGAGATACGGTTTCCACACGACGGCCCAGACGCTATCCGTAGTCTGCTCTCGTCCTCTGTGTCCCTACAAACAAGTCTTTGCGTTAGTCGCATTAGACATGTCAAGGCTCTCGGAAATAAAGCTTGAAGGATCTGAATAGTCACCGGTTCCACAAGATTTGCCCCATAGGGGACTCTAGGCCGTGGAAGGGGGCATGGTGCGGCTGCAGTGTAGTGGCTCGGCCTCAGCATCTGGGATTCCTCCTTTCCTACGTCGCCCATCATAGCGAGCTTTCCGATCTCCGCGACACGCAATAAAAGTCGTTCGTGGATCGCTTTGCCACTTTGACTTCGCGATATATCCCTTTGCCTATACAATGGTGTGAAAAGGGGCCTGACACGGTTATTGCTGTTGGCTTTCCGAAGCCCGCTAGCACCTTGTTAGCGTCTTATGTGCGGTTGGTGTCAAATATGGGGTACGAATACACATCTCCCAACTAGTCACCATCTGCGGAGTAGTCAGTGGAGAAAGGCTCGTGTGGGGTATTGTCTTATTAGATGGATTCCACATGGCTACGGGTATTGACAATTCGGACAATTTACCTCTACCAAAGTGATATCAACTACTACGAAGATCTCAGGGATCAACTGCCGTGTATGAAAACTAGTGCAGTTATAAGTGCAGGGTATGCGACGGTGGGTCCTCGGTTGTCGCTGTTAGACTTCCAATCTCCGCTAGCTCCCGGTAATAATCCAAGTGCATGACATAGCCCTACATTTAGACCAATATAGATGCAAGGTCACGATCAGACCATATGGTACTGCGTTTGTTATTTGCATTTGTGTTAGCGGCGTCCCTTAGCCTCCACATTAAGGCCGAGACGGTGAGAATGCAGGATTGGTATTGATGCCTACTAGAGCCCGTCCGTGATGGAGTGCCTTCATCTCAATTCCCCGCGAAAGCGAGATTTGTACTTTGTGGGGACAACTCAATACTGCTCAGGGAATTTGTTTATGTAACTTTCCTTCCTAAATCCGTTATGCTCGTGCGGGGTAGTGGCGATTTTGGGCCTTGCTATCTGTACCCACATATTAAGACGGGGGATATTGCGTTGAAGGATCCGAATAATTCAGCCGGACTGACTAGGCGACCCATGTTCAACGTCGGAAGATGGATTAGTTGATACGTCGTTCTTAGGACGCAATAGATGAGGACAAGTCTGGATTTACTGGCGTGTTGGGCATACAGTACGTTACCAGAAAATGAAATGTTACAAAGCTGATTTTTTTTTTGAACTCGATCATCTTAAACACCTCAGGCATTCAGTCCGCATCAAGTGCCGCTGATCCTAGCTTTTAAGCATTGCCATGGGCACTCCACCCCACTCCCCGCCAAGCAACCCCATGGCACCTGACTGGCTCCACAAAAACCCCTCATATTGGCCCACTTTTACGAGTTATCGTCTTGCCATTCTGTCATCATCTAACTAACTGCTATTACCCCTAAATAGTTTGGTCATCACCGAAAATCGATACGGTTTCGGGCTGCGCGACCGTGCCAAGAAGATATAAGGTCGCCACTAAGCTGTTGACGTAGGAACTAAGAACTAGAAGTCGCTCAACTCCTTCCATCGATCTTCGTCCGGCGTTTCATCCACAACCGTTAAGGTCTAGGTCTCGAGGCTCTACTCTGGAGGGATGAAGCAATATTCTTAATCCCCGCATCCAGTTTGCTGGGGTGGCGTCCGCATGCAGCCATGCGGAGGATGGTGCATATTGGTCTCTCCAACATCCTCGGGTCTAGCCATTTCAATTAGATGAAGGTTACCGTTTCACGCAGGCGGATAGAGAGCGAGGGGAGCAAGGGAATGAAGTATATATGCCCTTGTAAAATTCCTTCTATAAGCGTGCCTAAGTGTAAGAGCTTAGGGTTTAAGGATAACATTAATGCATACTAGCATTTTTTAGAGCCAGCAAATCTTAATGGCTGCTGTAAAGGATAAAGAGATGGGTCATTCCGCCTTTTGAAGTCTCGATTAGACCGAGACCGGCGGGAGCCTGCAATTTGGCCATCAATGATCTCAAAATAGAGCCATGTGTCCAGTCGTAGTGCAGCAATGTGAGCCAGAGTCTCTGACAGTATGGCCGGCCGTCTTGTGACACTAAAGCATCTCAAGAAGCCGCCGACCTTATTTGCAGTGACACGAGATTTTGCAATCTAGACGCGTCTGCTTCCTGAAGATCAGCATCCGTCAAGACGCGGGCTGCTAAAGAATCCACCATTCGTTGCTCCGTTGATAACCACAAATACAATCAGCGACCCGAGTGAGGTCACACCGGCCATATTACCAACATATTCAAAGCACTCAAGACTCGTGCGAGAAGAAGTGTGTTGGCTAGGCCCATGAAGTCGGATAGGAGGCCAAAGAGGAGACGACCTACATCCCACGATAAATTGAACCTGCGACAAGACCAGTTCCTTTTGACCCAGCGAGGTCGAGCGAATTGCAGTACAGGGGTAGGAAAAAGAGGGAAACGAAGCAAAGTCAAAAGGTTGGGCGGCAACACTCGGCGCCAAAGACCACGGCAGGTCATCATACGCTGTGACAACGTACTTTAACCGTACCATTGAGAGACTATACGTCTGCTACTGAAGAATGGTCTACCAACAGAGAGTGTTGCATTGGTCTTCGGAGTCTGTGGAGGCAACGAGCAGCCTGTTCGGTATACCTTCAAAGAGTACCAGCAGTTGGAGGCGAACTTAAAGAAGTTGATGGAGAGGTTGGAGGTTGGCGCTACGGATGTAGAAAGAGCTGCGTTTGTAATTATGAGCAGAGGTAAGGGGAAAGTATTGATGTGCGAAACGAACATACAGCGCCATCACGGGGAAGAAGACACGAAACGAAAGAGAGCAAAGAGGATGTTGCCAAGATATGCCACGTGGAAGCGGTGTTTACTGCGATGAAGTCAAATTCCGCCATTACTAGGAGGTCTCTAAAACAAATATCCACTGAATACACAGCAGATGAAACTAGCGATAACGCAGACGAAGGAATGAGGCGGAATCCCATTCAATGCGGAACCCACGAAGTTAGACACAGATTAGTACCTCCTAGAACAAGCGACCTCATATCCCCAAACCCTAGCCCAACGCGCGTTGTAGCTCCTCAGGGACGCCGCCACTCCCCCACCAGTACAGCGCAAGCGCACAGCCGTGGAGAAATAAACACCGTAACAGAAGATCTCGGAAGACACTTCAGGACGGGGCGGAAAGGAAAACCAGCTTATGGTTTGCTTTCATATGCATATTGAGTGATACAGCAGTCTACCCCGTTTCTGCTTTGCCGAGTTCATAATATTCCTTTCTATAGCGTTTTAGCTGCTCTTTACTGTAACGAAGGGGGTTGGTGAATATCGACTTCATGAATTGATATTTTACACCGGTCACGGATGGTCTACTCAAACATGCCCAAAAGGTCCCAAAGAACAAAAAGTGAGTCGTCTTCGTAAAATTTGCGTGCTAACGAAGTTGCACAGAAGGACCGCGATAAATCCAGACTTGTGTGGCAGCCCATGCCGTGTCCACGCCTTGCCATGCTCAGGGGGCTAATCTGCAGACCTCATAGTTTCCGTCGCTCAATTCCCATTCCACTATCACGTGAAACAATGTTCATATATGTTCTAGCCCTCGACGGTAGTGGTGGGTCCTCGCTTGTCGCTGTTATGTCTCCGATCTCCGACAGCTCCCGTCCAATATTCCTTCAGCCGCGTGGCATCCAGACTCTACTCCAACATACATACTATGGATACTACATTGCTACTGTGGATATTCCTTCGCTACCTCGCGCAGGGTATCTGGAGACCCCGCATTGTTGCCATTGCACGGGAAGTCGCGTTTAGGTTCAATACACGTTCTTGCTCTAGACCACGGAACCCTGTGGATTGGAGGTATTCTAAGTGGCAAGACACGACACTGGTAAACTCACCACGTCGTTCCAGAAGAGCGTTACTACTACTACATACTGAACCAACGTGGCAACCTACTTTCATACGCAATGTTTACATCAACATGATTTCGTTTCGTGAACAAAGAACCATAAAGCGGTATCCAGATTTCCCAAGGTGGCGCGAAGATGGCGCGGAGGGGAGGTGGCGTGCAGGTGGCGTGCAAGTGGTTGGCAGGGAGCTGGGAACGAGAGGACAAATGCTTAAGGGGATCGATCCTTGCCTTCGACAAGGATAAGTATTGGAACTAGAACTATTAAAAAGACGCTTCCACTCAGCACGGCCCGTTTAGTAAGGCCGAAACTGTTACATCCATTCGCGCCCTCTGATGACAGCTAGATGGCTAGTGTCAAGATGAAGTTTCTAGCCACGAGCCTTACCTATTATGGGATAAGGTAGATGTGTGGGAACTAACACTAGTAATCCACTTTCATCTAATCACAACCCTAGTCTGACTCCATCAACCATTGTTGAGCGGCAGTTGATGCGTCCACCGAGTCAGGGTAGGAACCGTTTGGTAACCGCCCGCCACTCTCATTATCTGTTGAGAGATCCATTTTCGATCCAGACAGGGGGGAACTACTGTGGGTATGGGGAACCTCCGGATTATTAGAACGCGGGGTTGACCTGGAGGATGTACATACAAGACGAAAATTTATATAAAGTCCTCATTCCTTGCCTCGTTGTTGTTCGTCTTTTTCACTTAACTTCGCGTGCGCAGGCAACCTTTAGCCAACTTTCACTACCTCATCCTCTATCACAACACCTCACATCGCAATGGCAGGAGGAGGGTTACCCATCTCTGTAACCGTGGTGCAAGGTGGATTCTTGACAGGGAAAAAGCTAGTCTTTCCTCTCTTCCTTGTGATCTGCCTGTTCTTCCTCTGGGGCTTCTCCTACGGTCTTCTCGATGTTTTAAACAGCCATTTTCAAACGGTGCTTGACATCACCAAGCTTCAGTCCACTGGTCTCCAAGTTATGTACTTCGGCGGAGGCTATTTCTTCTTCTCCCCCATTGCAGCTGAAGTTCTGAAGCGCAAGGGTTACAAAATAACTATCCTCATGGGCCTTTCATTTTACTCTGTTGGAGCCGTTATGTTCTGGCCCACTGCTCACTTCTCAACTCTCAATAATCGCCTGGCCGCCTTTGGAGGTTTCTTGGTCTGCACTTTAGTCATTGCTTGTGGTTTGGCTACCTTGGAAACCGCTGCAAACTCGTAAGTCATGAGGAAGAGCGCGGGGTGAGATGATGTTGACATTTATTAGTTATGCTGTCGTCATCGGTGACCCGGCCTCGGCATCTTCTCGCCTTCAATTCTGCCAGGCATGGAACGGTGTTGCCTCGTTCATCGGCCCTCTTGTAAGTCATCATGTCGGCCCCCTAAATCGATTTCGCCTAATCACATTCATAGATTGCTTCTAAATTCTTCTTTACCGGCGCCAATGCTAACAACCTCACTAACGTTCAATACGTCTATCTGGCCGTATCATGCGCCGGTATTGCCGTCGCTGTTCTCTTTGCCTTTTCTAAACTTCCTGAAGTTGCTGAGAGCGACTTGCAAGGCTCCAACATTGAGACCTCCGCTGTCGACGAGTTCGGCAACCCAATTGGCCAAGGACCAATTTATAAGGAGTATAATATGATCTTTGCTTTCATCGCTCAATTCTGCTACGTCGGCGCTCAAGGTTAGTAGTCCATTTTATATTAACTTTTATTCCCCCTATGCCTTTCATCTACCAAAAGCCAGTTGAAAACAACGTTGGACCTCAACTAACGCCTGCCAGTCACGATTGGTGCTTTCTTTATCAACTATGCACTTGAGGCTGGATACGACAAGCCTACCTCATCCAACATGCTCTCATATGCCCTGATCACCTTCACTGTCGGTCGCTTTTTCGCATTTGCTCTTAGTTGGGTCTTCCAGGCTGATTTCCTCCTCATCATCTACTCTATCTGCGCTATTGTTTTCAATGCTGCCATCTGCGTCGACACGAATAAGACTGGTGTCATCATTATGATCCTTCTCTACTTCTTCGAAGCCCCAATGTACCCAACCATCTTCACTCTTGGTACTGCCAACCTCGGGCGCCATACCCGCCGCGGTGCTGGTATCTTGGTCATGGGTGTTGCTGGTGGTGCTGTCTTCCCTCCGATTCAAGGTGCTATTGCCGATGCCGCCAATACACGAATTTCTATGGTGGTACCGCTTGTCGGTTTCGTTTACGTCTTGGGATACGTCACTTTCCACTGGTTCACGCACGGCCGCCACATTTTGAGAGTCAAGGAAATTGTCATTCCAGGAACCGAAGGGGTCGTCGGCGGTGCTATTGAGACCGTTCACTACGACGATGAGAAAGTCTTTGACAAAGACGTCCAGATTGAGAAGTTGTAAATAAATACCAAAGCATTATAGAAATATCGATTCAGTTAATTTACCTTTAAACTCCTAAAATTTACTGTAGCGATAGTGTGTTGCTAGTGAGGAGGCACTCCAAGCAACAAACTCAAGTTTCTCAAGCATATTTTTCAGCACATGATTCCTCCTAATGAACAAATTCGTTACCGGGGTAAATATATACCTGTCGATGAGAATGATAAACATTATTCCACAAGTTACCCTAGTATAAACGTGGGCGGCTAGGGCCCGCCCACGTTTATACTAGGGTGAGTCGGCGGGCGCAAGACTCGTGGCCGTAGTCAGGGCAGAATTCGAAGCATTGCTCACCCCAGGCGCATGCGTGCGTCTGCGAGGTCTGTAACTCGGGGCATCGAGCTGCTGTGATATCAACGTGGCTGCCACCTCGGCAGCCCCCGGGATAGTTGACCCTCTTATTGGGGTGCTGTATCCTCGAGGGCACAGCCACCAGTGTCAGCTGGAACATAGTCCTTAGGGGTTGCCATAGGCAAGGCATCGTCCGCCGTCTGTTTCTTTACGAACTCCTTCGCAGACTCATAGCACGCTCGGCATGGCTCCCCTCGACTCCTTCAGAAGACTCATTCTCCAAATGGTGCCGGGATGTCTGCTAATGGTTCCGGGAGTTGTGTTAACGGCGCGGAGGTGGCAAATGGAGTCAGTGCAACGGGCCACTAACGGGCATATCTCGCTATATTCTGCAGATTTGTAGATTAGATCTCTAGAATGGGGCCCCTCCATATGTCGCGTGAGGCTTTACAAATGGCTCCTACATAACCTATGAAGAATGAAATGATACATTTCAAAGGGGAACAAGCAGATGATTGCTCATTGATAGGGCACTCTACGTGATGGTGTAAATTTATTCTACGCAAACTTGAGTAAAGACAAGGTTGGCCTAGGAGCAAACTGAACACCCTTCTACTCGTTGTGTCGGGAAAAACTCGACTGCCGGCACCTATAGGTTGAGTATACTTTACCACTTTTTTTTGGCGTAGAGAGTTCAATTAAGACACAGAAGCCACAAAAAAGTTCCTAATTTACGCTCCTAGGTATTTCTGGTTTGCGGATTGTTATAGAATGTAAAAAGGTGGTGGTCTAGGGAAGACTGGTGACGTGGAGTGTGGGGTGCCGTGTATACATGAGAACGTAAATCGAGCAAAACTAGCCTAGCGGAAACTTACGGAGCTGCAGAATGACTACTTGTGCAACCTGAGTGAAAGATAATGGCTCGTAAGAGCTGTGACAGTAGATCTCCCTTGCACCCGAGACATCGGACAGTTCCCGAGATCAGTGATACTTGACAATCGCTCTTCCCAATACTTCTAAACTACCCCTCCCGTCGATCATAACGCCACTACCGTCCGTTCATCCGCCATCCAAACAAGAAGAGAGTACAGGGCGCTTGGACGTGATTCGGTTTGGCTTCTTGTTCAGTGGGAGGTGTCGCGCAGACTACTTAATTGGTAGCCGCACTTACGGGGAGAGTCGTTAGCGGAGACAGACCCTTGGAGTTAGCATTCGGCTGGAAGGCACGGGCTAGCGGAGGAAGCAATTCATCTACTGTGGCGGGCACTATTATAAGGTTATCTATTTTTAGAAGCTAATACTCGGATTCGATAAGAAATTTAAAGGCATTATTGCTGTATATTTGATGATCTAGGTAGAGGGAGTCTCCCTCAAGGAGCCTGAAAATGTTCCATGTTTAACTAGCACAAAGGATGATCTTTGACGGGATTCACATCACCAAGGTTATGTGGTCCGGCTCTCCGAATCCAATATCCGGCGACTACAGTTAATCACGTGTCAGTCTACCCTCCGTAGAGCCAGTAGACTTGCTGTCTGGATAACGGAATGCTGCCTGAAATCCTGACTACTTTGCAAAGGATGCTGCCGAATCACTAACCCCGAAATCTGCGTAGGCCCGAAGGAGCTCTAGCTGTGGCCCCCTGTCATTGCATCACATATCGCTCCCGTCTCGCCCAATAGCTAGCCGTTTTCCTTAGTGGATATGGGGATTGTGGGGCAATGGGATAATGATACGTCATTATCCCATTGCCCCACAATCCCCATACGTAGTGTTTGCTAAGGGATTCCTCCATTAGCGCGGTCGACTGTTACGGACACCACCAGTGCGGCACACCAGTAATGGTACATCGCGATCCGTTAGAGGGGTTATAAGGGCATTATAGACACTTGGTATTGTTTATTGGCATGAGGGGTATGCATTGCCGTCAGATAGGCTTCCACCAAGGGCTAGATAAGTGTTGGATTCAACTACACCAGCCAATCGGACGATCGGGTGTCGCGAGTCACGAAGGTCTAGCTTAACAAGTATAGAACTAACAGTGAGACATACCCTTTCCCCGCAGTTGATAGATATCTAGCAGCTGCTTGGTTCTCCCGCAGTAGGTTAGCGCCTGATGCTCTATTTAAAGGCGTCTCTTGCAATCATATAAAGGCTACTTGCAACCCATACTACTCTTCCCTCTTTAACAAAAGAGCATCAATTCCAAAAGCATCCGACCTCCAGGCAGCACTCTCTATTTTATACTTTGAACAGAGTTCACTAGATTAACAATGGCAGCACCACGTATGACTCCAGACCTTCCCACCGAGCAATGGGCTCAGGTAGTCGAGGAAACGGGCAAGCGTCAGTAACCACCGAGCACAATGGCTTCTACTTGCATGCTGATACCAATTAGCTGTTGTCTATAAGAAGATCCCTGTTCGACAACCCGGCCCAGATGAGGTCCTCATCAACATCAAATATTCGGGTGTCTGTCACACTGATCTTCACGCGGTCAACGGCGATTGGCCAATACCTACCAAACTTCCTCTGGTCGGTGGACACGAAGGTGCTGGTGTCGTTGTTGGCCTTGGGTCTCTAGTTGAGGATATTAAGCTTGGTGACTATGCTGGCGTAAAGGTATTACGCCTGCTGCTTGAGTTTCTCGAGGGAAAAAAATCTGACAATTGTGATAGTGGATCAACGGCACCTGCCTGCAATGCTCCTTTTGCCAACAAGCAGACGAGCCGCTCTGCTCGAAGGCTCTACTTTCCGGTTATACAGTGGACGGAACTTTCCAAGAATACTGCATCGCAAAAGCAGCGCACGTTGCCCGCATCCCTAAGGAATGCAATCTCGAGGCCATTGCACCCGTTCTCTGTGCTGGTATCACCGTTTACAAAGGATTGAAGGAATCAAACGCACGGCCAGGTCAGACGGTTGCAATTGTAGGTGCTGGGGGCGGGCTCGGATCATTGGCATGTCAATACGCAAAGGCGATGGGTCTTGAAATTATTGCCATTGACGGCGGTGAGGATAAGAGGGCAATGACTGCCAGTCTTGGTGCCAAGCACTTCGTGGACTTTATGGCAAGCAAGGACGTTGTTAGTGACGTCAAGGCTGCCACTGAGGATGGCCTTGGGCCCCACGCAGCCATTGTGGTCGCTGCGAGTGAGAAGCCATTCCAACAGGCTGCTGATTGTATGATCCCCTACAAACACTTTAAAACCAAATGAATGCTAACAAGTAAGATGTTCGGCCCCGTGGCTCAGTTGTTGCCATCGGTCTTCCTTCCGGCGCCTACCTTCGAGCACCAGTCTTCGACACTGTTATCAAGATGATCACCATTAAGGGTTCCTATGTGGGTAACAGAAAAGACTCTGCAGAGGCCATCGAATTCTTTAGACGTGGATTAATTAACGCCCCATATAAGACTTGTGGCTTGAGCGAACTGCAGAAAGTGTATGATTTGATGCAGCAGGGCAATATTGCAGGGCGCTACGTGGTTGACACTTCTAAGTAGAAACTCTGGGGAGCGGAATTTCCAATATTTATGAAAGAAACATTATTACCACGTTATCTCACTGCCGGGGGAGGTGTGGATTTTGGTTTGAGGACCTGCCGATTGATTAAACGATAGAATCCGGGAGCCGAGGTATGCCTGGGCCTTCTGACAAAATTAGCGATGCTGTTCTAGACGTGGCAGCGGGGCCTAGGTTATGGACTGTGCCACCCCTAAAAAACGTGGGGGGGGAAGTGGAGGGCACCCTTCCCATTGCTTGGCACCTAGCAATGCCAGGCAACGCTATCGATACCCGCAGGGCTGGGCTTAGGTGGCAGAGGCAACCACACAGATATAGATTCAGAACTAGCATGTTAAACGCCGTGTCTAGCCTAGGCTCCATCTTAACGATCTCCTCCAGGTTCCCCTCAGTGGCGCTACGCAGCCCCACATTGCCACTATCCCGCCAGTTCATGGAGTCAGTAGAAACTCAGCTCTTCGGAATGCTTTTGCTCAGTCACCCATGCTTAGGTTGTATAAACGGGTGATATTCGTGATGTGCTGAATTATTTCGATCTTTAGGACGATCTTCAAGACGATCTTCAAGACGATCTAGTAGTGGTAGCAGCAACTTCCAATTTGTCCCGTCGCTCGGGGAATTGCACCTGTTCAGTCTAACTTACGGGTAATATATTGACAATTTTTCCGTCGTAAACATGGGGTAACGCGTGCTTAACTGCATTGGTTTCCAGCCATTGTCTTGCAAAATCCTACTTAATAAATTACCCCGCAATGCCAACTATCCAAGCCTGTCCCCTACATATGATCTCATACGTGGGGTACAGTGATGTTCGGAGATGTTTACCCCGATCCTGGGTTTAAATGTAACCATAAAGAAAGAGACGTACATCCATGTTTGTTATAACTTGTACAAGGAACTCTTTTTCTCAACTATGGCGGTCAGCAATATTGTCTGTGCACTTCTTTTGCTGCCAACCCTTGGGCTGAGCCACATCGACAGGTAAGTTTTGTCCACTCCTGTGCGTGTCAAGGCTAAACTCCTCCCTAGACACAGCATATTGTCCCAATTCAACGTCATTCGATCAAGCCTCATAGATAATAAAACGACGGCCTTGCAGGTTGGCAATGGGAATTTCGCTTTCAATGTCGACAACACGGGAATGCAGGTGAGAAGTAACTCCATTCTGTATATTCCATTACCTTGACTGGGCGGCCACTTACCCATCCGTGGCCTGCTCTTAGACGTTCTTGCCCTTTAACACCCTGTCAAGCTGGGGCTGGCATAAGGACTCTCTGCCGATAAACGGGTAAGAACAGCTTCAGTGCTACTAATTAATTACTACAATCCTCAGCCAGTATTCAGCCCTAATATGCCATCTTCCAGTGAAAACATTAGCGACTACCATGGGGTTGGAAAGCTAACCCACGGCCGGAAGGTCTCATACGACATTCCCGATCCTGATCTTCCGGAGGTTTCTCAGTGGCTTATCGCCAATCCCAATCGCGTCAATCTGGGCCGTATAGGTCTCACTTATAAGAATGCCACCATCACGGCATCTCAAATCACTGATCCAAGGCAGGAGCTCAACTTGTGGGACGGGACCATAACGTCAACTTTCAAAGTCGACGGGAAGGCCGTGCAGGTCATCACCCAGGGAGACTTTGAGACTGATGCAGTAGCTTTCGACATCAAATCAGACCTGATCTCTTTGGGTGATCTTAAAGTCGAGCTTGACTTTCCCTACCCACCAATTCACAGCACTACCTACAAATTCGAGGTGTTTGTGGGCGTCTACGACTTCCCACAGAACCACACCACATTCATCGCCGACCCTCCAAATAGGAAGATCCCTACCGCTCACATCTACCACGAGATGCAGGAGACAAAATACTTTGTCAACCTGAGGTGGCCTTCCACCTCCACCTGCAACCTCCAACTGACGAGGAACGAGCCCGCAAGCTCCACCGCCGTCACCGCCCACCGCTACACTCTCGCTCCCGGGCCGTCCTCCGCCGCGACCTCCTCCTCAACTATGACCTTCACCGCCCACTTCTCACCGGAGAAGCGCATCCCCGACTTGCCATCCGCCATCCAGCAAAGGAACCGGAAGGGCTGGAACGAGTACTGGAGCGACGGCGGGTTCGTTGACCTCACGGCGTCGACCAACCCGAACGCGACCGAGTTGCAGCGCCGCATCCTCCTGTCGCAGTATCACGTCCGCGTCAACAGCGCCGCGCATGGTCAGTCGCCGCAGGAGAGCGGGCTGATGAACAACGGGTGGTACGGTGAGTTGGTCAATCACACGCCGATATGGTGGAATATTGGCTTGGGGAGGTGTGACTGGAACTAACTGACCGTGTTGTGCAGGCAAATTCCACATGGAGATGGTCATCTGGCACAACGCCCACTGGAGCACCTGGGGCCGGCAGAAGTACTTTGACAACATCTTCCCCGAGCTGTATGAGACGCTGCTTCCGTCGTCGCTGGAACGTGCTAAGAACATGGGCTGGGAAGGGGCGAGGTATGCAGCTCTATGGTCCTGGAGATGGGGTTAGGACGTGTACGAGAACAGCCGCTAATTGTATATGCGTGTAATAGATGGCCCAAGATGACCGAGGTCGTCAGCCAGGAGAATTCTCCAGGAGGAATCAACGCATTCCTTATGTGGCAGCAGGTGGGGTCGTCCCGGACTTGCAGCCTCCATTGCTGGTGATCAGACAAGATATGCTAATTGTGCTTGTTTTACTCTCTCCAGCCCCATCCCATGTACCTTGCCGAGCTGGCCTACCAGGCCTCGCCTACGCGGGAAACACTGAAGCATTGGGACAATGTCATCACCGCCTCCGCTGACTACATGGCATCCTACGCGTGGAAGAATGCCAGCTCGGGATACTTCGACCTTGGGCCACCGTACGTCTCAGCCCAGCCCACCTCTTTTTCTCAATTAAACTACACAGGCTAGGAACTTCTGAAGATAGCTAACGTACCATCTCCTCCTCTCCAGAGCATACGGCGTCACCGAAAACACCCCTCCCGAGGAGTCCCTCAACCTAGCTTACGAGGTAAGCAACCACCCTAAGCACAATAATACCACGAGCCCCTAACTTACCACCTCCCCCCAGGTCTCCTACTGGCGCTACGGCCTCGACATCGCCCGCCAATGGAAACACCGCCTCCACCAGCCCATCCCCGCGCAATGGACCACCGTCGCCGCGAACATGGCCCCCCCTCCCCAGGCGGGCGGCCTTTACGCCGACTACGAGGGCCTGAACAGCTCCTGGTGGGCGGACCCAGACCTGAACGGCGACCCGCGCAGCATGATCATGCTGCAGGGCACGCTTCCCGATACTCCCGCCGTCGACCACGAGGTGGCTCGCCGCACGGCGGATAGGGTCTGGGAGGTTTGGACGGATGGTAAAGTCGCGGGCTGGGGTCGTCCCGTGCTTGCTATCAACTCGGCTCGGGTCGGGAACCCGGAGAGGGCGGTGCATCACCTCACTGCGTATGATTACTGGTCGTTTGATGATGCGGGTGAGTTTATTCGGTTGAAGCTGGGCTTGTGTGCCGATGCCGACTGAGGAAGATTGTGTGGGCTGACTCTGGATGTTTATAGGTTTTGCTTCCAGGGGTATTAGCAGTGAGTGCCCCACCCGCTTCTTGTTCATGGGATCTACACGGTGCAACTGTAGATTTGGGAAAATATGCTAACCTTGTACGACAGGCGGCACACCTCCACCGTTTATACCCGGCAACGCGGCCTTCCTCTACGCCGGTGAGTAGCATCGATTTACCTGTCCATAATAAATGTTGTATATCCTAATATGACTCAGTGGCATACCTGGCAGGCGGATGGCGGGGCTCCGAAGGTAACGCTCCGGGCTTTCCCAAGAATGCTGGGTGGGTGGTTAAGCAGGAGGGGCTCGTTAAGGCACTGTGATGGGGAGACGGGATGTTTTAAGAGGGCCTTGATAGAATGCAAGGCGAGTATTCGCAGCATAGTATATTCCTTCCCGATTATTGTGAAGAAATCATATGTTTTGCTGCTGCTGCTGCTGTGACGTCAAGTCATATTCGCACCTGCTCCCATTTTGCAATTTACAGATGCTCTATATTTCCCGTGTAATTTTCACGGCAGCCGCTCAATGTATTCTCGATTTAACACCTTACCACTCCCTAGATAGAACTCCTCGTGTTCGAACCAGCTGATGGTTGCCGCTTCGACAGGCACCATGACATACATACTCCCAAAGAAATCCGTCTTATCATCTTGTCAACATCCTCTAGAACAACATCCGTAACCCGAATACGACATGTCTTATTCCTAGCTGTATCTCCGTCGAGCACAGCAAAGGTAGATTCGACAAAGTTAGGATTCCGGTGCTTGCTCATCCAAGTGCGGACTTCGTCGTCCGTCATCCCAAGAAATGGAGACTTGAACGGCTGCATTGGCTTCCGCGAACCATAGGTAACGGAATCTAGGTCCTCTGTATCTAAAATACAGAGGCAGTCACCAGGTACACCTCTGTCGTCCATCATCATGGCACATAGGCCATTCTTAGCTTCGTCGATGAGCTCGTTGAGGACCTAAACGGGTGATTTAGTTTGGAGATACCAATTAACATAGTCTTGCCTGCGAAGGCGGTTATTGTGCGCACTACGTACCTTTGTTGGACAGGAGCTGTAGCAGAGATTGATCACTGGAAAGTAAAAGAGAGATGATGATGATGAAGTGGTAGTGGTAGTGTTCAAAAAGTTTCGGTGTATATATCCTCAAATATAGCCTCCCATAACTAATCTACCTATCAGATCATTCCCCATCTCTATCCATCTCCCACCCTCATCTCATCTCATCCAGAGACCTTCCTTCCTTTCATATATCATAAACCCGATATTTTCTTTTCCGCCAGACACGCCCGCGCATCCCATGGTATCTCTTCATCCCCTCCCCTTGCGTCCCGAATTCATACACCCCAAAAACCGCGGACCCTCAAAAAACAAACAAAAAACAACGCGCAGGACATAAGCGGGCATAAACATCATAAAACGCATCATAAAACGCAATCACTCCATCAACTCCTCCAAATCCACATCCTCCCCCCTCTCATCCCCCGTCGCCCCATGGAACCCCTCCGCCCTGCGCAGAGTCTGGACATCCAAATCTGTCACATACCTCCCCGCCCCCTCCGGGCCTAGGGGTACACGGACCTCAAAATCAGCACTAAGCATCATATCATCCTTCCACAGCCTGCGTCCGCCATCAAACACGCACAGAACGCGCTTCTTCATCTTCATCTGCGCCGCCGGACACCCCCAGCTGGAGGGGTAATCCTTGCGCTTCTTGCGGCCCCCCTTAGGGTGCGTGAGCGCCACGCCACCTTTGGAGTGGGTGAGTCCGCGCTTAGCACCCTTGCGACCAGCAGGACGGGCGGAGTTCTCATCATCGTCTTCGTCATCGGCTGCATCATCTTCTCCGTCCTCAGCATCGGAGAAGGACGTTTGATCAGGTGTGGTGGTAGGTAAATTCGACGCACGAAGCGTCTCAAGAACAGCACGATCACGCGATACCTCAGCGAGGCGCTCGGCGTTGATAGCCTCAGCGGGCTCTTCCTGCTGCACGAGGCGCAGGACGCAGTCGTCGAGGTGCTCGTAGAAGTCCTGCGCGCTGGGGAACATAGCGCCGCAAGTGCTGCAGCGTCCCGTAGCATCAGGCGCGTATCCGACGGGGCGGCCGGTGGTAGTAGCTGCTGTGCTACCAGCAGCCGAGGTTGGGCCGGAAGAGGAGCCATTGCTCGTCTTGCGGCGGGAGTTAGGCGGGACCTGCTCGACGCAGTGGACGCCTGTGAGATGGCGTTTAAACACGTCTGCGCGGTTGAACGATTTCTCCGCGGCCGACCCGGAGCCAGGGCAGAAGCCGCACACCATCGTGCCCTTGTAGTGGGTGAGGGTGTGGCGGTTCTTGTCGTACTTGCGCGCGAAGCCCTTGGTGTGGTATTCGCAGGTGGTGATGGGGCATTTCTCGGGGCGCTCGGTCTGGTGCGTGAGCATGTGCGCTTTGAGGTCCTTGAAGGACTTGCCGCAGGTGGCGAAGGGGCAGTGGGTGCGCGGGGTGGAGGAGGAGGAGTCGGGGGAGGAGGGAGAGGCGGAGGCAATGGAGCCACGGCGGGAGGGGTAGGGGTAGGGCGCGTAGGATTGCATGTAGGGCGAGGCGGAGGACTTGACGCGCTTGGAGGATCGGGAGGACATTTCGGAGGGGCTGGGAGAGTGTGGTGGGTACATTGTCTGTTGGACGAACTCCTCTTGTGGCATTGGGCTCGGAATTGGCGCGCCGGTGTATGAGTGGAGGATGGACGGGTCTGTGGGAGACGAGTTAGCAGCTGCTCGTGGAAAAGGCGGTGGACAGTTCGATGGAGGAAACCGACCGGAATAGGTGACAGGAGACACGAAAAAGCCGCGAGTGGGCGAAAATATGGGAGAAGAGATGGGATGATGAAGCTGATAAGGAAGAGAAACCCCGGGCGGGCCCTGCATGTGCCCCGCCACGTCAAGGGCAGAGGCCCGTCGCGAAGACAAAGGAGAAGAAGTACTCTGCGCGGACTGGAAGTGAAGACTGTCCCTCCGCGGAGGCGGAGACATGGCGGTCAATGAAGACGCGATGTTGATCGCGGTTGACTGCGCGACGAGCGAATCGATAGGAGAGAGAGTAGAAGGAATTGGAGCACGAGGGGTAGATGCTGATGAGGAAGCAGGAAGGCTCGCACACTCACCCACAAAGCCCATGGGCTTGTTCATATCCGCGAAAGCGAAATCGTGCTCGAGACTGGCGCCGAAGCTGAAGTCGTTGGCGTAGCTGTAATCGCCGGCGATGGTGGGCGCGAGACCCAGCCCGTGGTGGGAGGTCCACTCGGAGATAGCGGAAGGGATCTGCGCATGGGTAGCGTAGGGCGAGCCGATGGCGGACGACGCGGCAGAGGGACCAGATGCGCTGGAGAGGTTGGAGGGAAGAGGGCAGCGGAGTTCAGGGGAGCCGGTAGGGTAGAGGGTGGGAGATCCCTTAGCGAATTCCGGCGCTGCCTCGGACTTGCAGTGCTGCTCGGAAGCGAAGTTGGGATTCGCGTAGGGATCCTGTGTCACTGTGGATCGCTGGAAGTTGTAAGCGACGAGCGCTGGGTCCATGTTGAAGGTCGGGAGGTTGTTCATGCTGATGACTTCGGCAGCGTAGATGTGGTGACTGTCGGTGAAGAGAGGGAAATCGGCTTCTTCATATTGCTCGTTCATATTGTGTAAAGGGTTATAGTTTTGGTTGTGGAGGATGGCCGTCATAATTAGTTATTATTGGGGTCGTTTCTGCGGGTGGGCGAGGCTGTGCTGATGAGGCTGCGCAGGCTAAGCAATACAGGGCACAGGTCAGCAACCAAACCAAATTCTCTGCTGCTCCCCCAATGAGATCATCTGCAGCGGCCCAGGGCGATGAACATACCTCGCTGGAATTAGAATTAAACAATTCAGTGACGTGTGAAAGCCACAGCGGGCCGGACTGTAAAAATATTCTCGTCGTATGGTGTTTTGTGTGTTTTTGGTGTTCGCGGTGAGCTGTGTTCTCGGGTGGTTGGTTTCGGGAGTTCGAGTCCAGGTACCCGGTAGTTCGAAAGAGACAATGGACAGCGGTGTCGAGAAGAAGCTCAGATTATAGCGGGGGAAGAATTCGAAGCTGTCGGATGGATGGGCGAGAGTGAGCGGCGCGTCGGTATTATATTATTATAGAGTTTTCGGAGACGCCGAGGTAGATTGAAGCTGCTGATAGCGAGTGTTCGTGATCGTGACAGAGGTGAGTGAAGGTGAAGTCGAGGGGAAATAGTGCCATCGACTGGGTATGGGCGAGGTGTAGTAGGGTATTGCTCGGAGAGAGAGATGGGGGGGGAAGAATATAATATATATTTCGGTTGACGCTGAGTGGTGAGTGGTGAGGGAAAGAGCGACTTGGATCAATGATGGGGAGGAGGGAGGGTTGATATGTTTCTCATATTTTTATTTTTATTTCGGGTACTCTCTGGCTTTCTGGGGGGGGGAGTGACGGGGTTTGAGTGTAGAGTGGAGAGAGGACTGAGATGATGGGGTGGGTGGTGGAAGAGAGTCGACTGGGATGACAGGGGAGGGGGGGTGGTGGGTGGGTAGGGTAGGGATAGTGGATTTGGATGGGGGTTGAGTTGACTTTTGACTAGGGGGGGCTATGATGATGGTTGACGAGGATTTTTGACCAGGGTAGGGTTCTTGCGAGGGTTCGATGGCGTTTGGGGGGGTTAGGGGGGTCGTGGGTCGGTCGGGGGTTGCAAGATTAGAGATGCATGGATGGGGGATGGGGATGGGGGTACATGCAATACTGGAGTACTTTGAGGGAGAAGATGAGGAGGGATAGGGAGGGTAGGGAGGATAGAAAAGGATAGGGTGCATTAGTAAGACGGGGAGGACGAGGAGGTAGAGGAAGTGTAGGATTAAGAGGACAGGAGGAGACGGAGAGGAGAGGGGATAGGAGTAGAGAGTATAGTACAGTAGAGAGTAGAGAATGCAGGAGAGGGTAGAGAGAGAGTACAGTACAGTAGAAGGGACAACAGAGAGTACAGTAAAGGGACAATAGAGATGCACAATATAGACGCAGAGTACAAGAGAGAGTGGCATCAAGGATCCCTCTTACTGTAGAGTACGATGTAGAGCACGATGAAGGTTACTCCTGTATACAGAACGTCATGTGTGCGGTGTGTCTCGCTGGTCAGCTCTGGGACGGTTGTACTGGGAGTTTTAGTATACAGTATTACTGTTACTCGAAAGGAGGGAAAGAAGATTGAATTGAACTGCCTGCGTCGTGTTGAGTCGTGTGTATGTATATCGATCGTATTAATCGATCGTGTGAATCGTGTGAATCGTGTCAAATTGTACTGCTAGTAATCGCGTCAATTGTCCTGCCAGTCAGCCGTCTGTCTATCTGTATAATCCCATTGTAATCAATCACTCAAATCAATCGTATCCATTGTCCACTCTCCATCACGCCAATTGTCTTATTACCTACACCCCATTACACTCCTCAGTACCACCAGACTCAAACACCTCTAACCGTCCTCTCTCCCCATCTCCGTCTCCTTCCCATTCCCAGCACACCCTCCTCTCCTGCCACCACCCACAACCAGGAACTAACTGACACGAGAGATGTTCACCTAGGATCTCACCACCACAGGGGACCACCAAACCCAACTACAAGGGATCTCACACTGGGGACCGACTCACCAGGGATCCTGTCTCCCTAACCACAGCAGCAGGACGAGACGAGAGACGAGCGTACTCGAGACAGACAGACCAGAACAGAACAGCGTCACACATCCCCATCCCCATCCCTCCTAGTAGTACAGCACATCACCCCAAATCTCCCCTCTCCCCAGCCAACCACGAGCCTTAGACATGGGGATGACAAGGTTCCCGGACCAACTCTGCGGTTTCCCTTTCCCTTTCCCTCACCAAACCCTCTTAGACATCGTACCATATTCCACTCACTCTCGGTACCTCCCTGTTCCCCTGCACCAACCGTATCTGTCGAAATTACAGGTACCTCCACCACCCATCCACTCTAGTACGGGCGAAGCGAGGCGAGACGAGGCGAATTCCGTGCTTGGCAGGTGCTTGGTTTAGTTAACTTGGTCTAGTTTACTAGGATTTGTCTTTAGGCCGATGGAAAGACATAGCTGTTTTGGGACTGGGAGGAGGGTCAAGGGGGCAGGGGAGGGAGTGGCTAATGATGGATCGGGGATTGAGCGGGTAGGGAGGGCGCTAGGGGGAAGGGAGAGGAGTGGTAGGGCAGGTAGGGCGGTAGGGCGAGAGAGGCATTGGGCGGATGGTGGTGTTGGTTGTTGCTTGCGAGATGAGAGACCGTCTGTGTGGGATGGACGGACTCGAGTTTGGTTGGTACTATAGGTGCTGTTATAGGGAGGGAGTGGAGGAGTGTGGTATTGTTGTGCACGATGCGAAACTAGGGGATGTACTATACAGATTGGATTACGGACAAACTGTGCAGAGAGCAGGTACCAGATATACAGATATACAGACATACAGACAGACAGACAGACAGACAGGACAGTCAGATAACACAGTACCTGCACAAAAGCGGTGTCCGTCGTTCATGCCGTCCTACAACCTCCCTCTCCCCCTCTCCCCCTTCACCCTACACTTCCACTCCCTACCCTCAAAACACCACGCTCACACAAACCCCCTCCCCATATTAAACAATCCCCCCGGCCTCCCCATCCAGTGCACATCGAGTGTGAAAAAGTACTTTTTTATACCACCATCCAAATACCACCACCGATACGACATACCACCATCCCACACCATCCCACACCATGCCGTACAACCCACCGACGCTCACACAAGACAAGACAAGCGCTGCGAGACAACGCCGAGAGAAATCCCATCCAATGCAGGACAAGTCCTTCTGTGCACCCAGTTCGGACGCTGGATTCATCGTATAGGCATCTTGTACTTCCCATCTCGCACTGCACTTAGGTACCTTCCTTCTACCACCACCACCACCATACATCCTCCTATACACTATTCAGTACACCCATCCATCCATCCATCCAATCCATCAATTCCAGTAATTAATATACAGTACATCCCCCCTCCGTGAATCCTCACAAAAGTACTCAGTCCCCATCATACCCCCTTCCGGCATAGTTAAACGAACAACTCATCACCCCCCATGTCCCTGCAAAACCCTACCTACCAACCCGCCCTTCCCCCGGTACAATCCCACCCAATCCCATGCCCATCGCACCCACTTATCCCATGGAGCTGGATGGATGCGCGCCGGGACACGCACATCCCGGTGAACCCCTCCCCTGCCGTGGCCTGCCCTGTCCTGTCCTTTTCGGCCCTGCAGATTCTCGGTAAAGAAGGGGGTACGTACTGCGGTTCAGTATTTGGAGTAAGTTTGGCTTGGTTTGTCACTCGGTGCATGTACTGTATCGACCAGTGGTGGATAGAGAAGAGAGAGAGAGAGAGAGAGGTGGATAAAGAGGGTGCAGATGAGACAGCGGTATGGAGACTATTCGATAGACAGCTGTCTTGGCTGGTAGCTCTGTGTCGGTACGGGACGCTGTCATGTAGGTGCGTGCGATCCATCAACTCACTCCTCTTACCCGCCCCCCGATCTCTGGTCCCCTTCGATTCCCTTCCCGAGCGAGATGGGCGGTAGAGAAGGTGACAGGTGAGATATTCACCGGATTCGGCAACACCAATACAACCACCCTCACCCTCACCAGCCATCAACCACCCGCCCACCCTGTCCTAGAGCTCGATACAGCAGGAGGAGGAGTACTGTGGAAAAGTACACACACACACACCACCACCGGTCCGTCCGTAAAAGTATCCTCGATCGTTAATTTAGCACTGGTAGGGATGAGAGGTCGGTATGCACGACACACCAGGCACCTACCACCCATCGCGGCGCCGTCTGTCCCCTAATTCACTAGCTAAAGTCGATACATCCATAATCCATACCGTAGCAGCACTGTAATGTAAATCTTCAAATCCCGAGTCCGTCTCCACAGTAGGTGGTTAACAGGGAAGTTTTAAAGAGACACATCCCCTAGGGATAGGGATAGTAATTTTGTGAACCCCCGAGCCGTGGAGAAGCTCGAAGCGAAGCGGATACATCCATCCTTCACAGTACTGTACTTCGGTAATCTGCTCTCGGCGCTCTTAACCAACTACTGCAGCAGCCTAAGGCCACCACCCACCCACTCATCCACCACCCACAACAATCTCCGCCACACCCACAACACCTACCACCACACACTCACACAGCCCTACGACCACCCCCCCCCCCAATCACCACCCGTCCCGCCTCCCCCCCGCCCGTCTGGGACGGGTGTGGCTGTGGCTGGGGTGAGGTGAGCTATTTATGGATCCACTCGTCTAAATGGGATAGTCGGTGTAGAGTTGTGGCTTGATCGGGTTAGGGGGTGGTGTACCCAGCCACAATTGCTCTGCAGCAGAGATCGCACACTCCGAGATGATGGGTCGGAAGGGGGAGGGGAGAGGGGGGCTAGGACGGATGGGGGTGTATGTGTTGTGGCTTGTGGTGTTGAGGATGGGGGGGATGGGATGGGTTGTGCCGGTGTGGTGGGTGGTGGGTTTAGGATGAGTGAGGTGACTGAGTGAACTGAACTGAGATATCTCCCAGATGACTGATGTTTGAAATGCCGATTGTAGGAATAGTAGTCAATCCTATCGCTGGTAAAACCCCATCACTAGTAAAAACCCATCGCACATCTCGACGGCTAAATCCCACCACCACCCTTCCCTTCGTATCGGCATCCCCAATCCCTCATCCCCAAATCCCACCACCTGACCCAACCCATCGGCCGTACACAAGAACACCCGTTTCACGCACCGCATCGAACCGCATCGCATGGTAGCGCATGTCTCACTCACTCACACCCTACACCCTCCACCCATCCATCCCTCCCGAATCCCCCTCGGATCCCTCTGTGCACCCACCCCATGCAAATCCCATCGCATCTCCACACCGGTCAGTAGGGGATCCCGGGTGGTAACTTAACTTCCTGTACACGGGGTGTCGGTGGTGTGGTGGTCAGAGCCGCCCAGGTGCACAGACGACAACGGGACAACCTTCGTCCGCGGTAGTTTCGTGGGATGAGTCCTATTCCGGACAGCGAGAGTTGGTGTGGGTAGGTGGGTAGGATGGGTGCCTGGTATGCCAGGGGGTAGGTGTGGGTGGTGGTGGGTGTGGCTCGTACCCCTGGAGAATGGACTAGCGGGGACGCTAGAGTGGCAGCAGGGCAACAGGCAGGGGTTTGTACAGGACAAGGGACTGCTGGCGAGAGTTTTGGCGGGCTAGGGACGCCTTACCCGATACAGGCAGTCAGATGGTGTGGCATAACCGAGTGGCTGTGTGCACGGTGGCTCCGCCTTATGGCTGGCGCTAACCTGGAATCGTATGTATGTTTGCTATGCTAGAGGAAAAGTTGGGTATGAACATGGGTATAGGTAGGGAAAGGGTAAATGGGC